GCTGTGTGTGTTAGCTGTGTGAGCTGTGTGTGGTTGCTGTGTGTGCTTGCCGTGTATGTGAGCTGTGTGTGGTTACTGTATGTGAGCTGTGTGTGAGCTGTGTGTGTGGTTGCTGTGTGTGTGGTTGCTGCGTATGTGAGCTGTGTGTGTGTGGTTACTGTATGTGTGAGCTGTGTGTGTGTGGTTGCTGTATGTGCTGTGTGTGTGTGCCGTGTGTGAGCTGTGTGTGTGAGCTGTGTGAGCTGTGTGTGTGTGGTTGCTGTGTGTGCTAGCTGTGTGAGCTGTGTGTGTGTGGTTGCTGTGTGTGCTGTGTGTGTGAGCTGTGTGTGTGTGCTGTTTGTGTGTGCTGTGTGTGAGCTTTGTGCTGTGTGTGTGTGCTGTGTGTGAGCTGTGTGTGTGCTGTGTGTGTGCTGTGTGTGTGAGCTGTGTGCTGTGTGTGTGAGCTGTGTGTGTGGTTGCTGTGTGTGTGGTTACTATATGTGTGAGCTGTGTGTGAGCTGTGTGTGTGCTGTGTGTGTGAGCTGTGTGTGAGCTGTGTGTGTGAGCTGTGTGTGTGGTTGCTGTGTGTGTGGTTACTATATGTGTGAGCTGTGTGTGAGCTGTGTGTGTGCTGTGTGTGTGAGCTGTGTGTGTGGTTACTGTGTGTGTGCTGTGTATGTGAGCTGTGTGTGTGTGCTGTGTGTGTGAGCTGTGTGTGTGCTGTGTGTGTGGTTACTGTGTGTGTGGTTACTGTGTGTGTGGTTACTGTGTGTGTGGTTACTGTATGTGTGTGCTGTGTGTGTGAGCTGTGTGTGTGCTGTGTGTGTGCTGTGTGTGTGTGCTGTGTGTGTGTGCTGTGTGTGTGCTGTGTGTGAGCTGTGTGTGTGTGCTGTGTGTGAGCTGTGTGTGTGTGCTGTGTGTGTGAGCTGTGTGTGTGAGCTGTGTGTGTGTGCTGTGTGTGTGAGCTGTGTGTGTGCTGTGTGTGTGCTGTGTGTGAGCTGTGTGTGTGAGCTGTGTGTGTGCTGTGTGTGTGAGCTGTGTGTGTGGTTACTGTGTGTGTGCTGTGTGTGTGCTGTGTGTGTGAGCTGTGTGTGTGTGCTGTGTGTGTGCTGTGTGTGTGCTGTGTGTGTGCTGTGTGTGTGTGCTTTGTGTCTGCTGTGTGTGTGTGTGCTGTGTGTGAGCTGTGTGTGTGTGCTGTGTGTGTGAGCTGTGTGTGTGAGCTGTGTGTGTGTGCTGTGTGTGTGCTGTGTGTGTGAGCTGTGTGTGTGTGCTGTGTGTGTGAGCTGTGTGTGTGCTGTGTGTGTGAGCTGTGTGTGTGTGCTGTGTGTGAGCTGTGTGTGTGGTTACTGTGTGTGTGTGCTGTGTGTGGTTACTGTGTGTGTGTGCTGTGTGTGTGAGCTGTGTGTGTGAGCTGTGTGTGTGTGCTGTGTGTGGTTACTGTGTGTGTGTGCTGTGTGTGTGTGCTGTGTGTGTGGTTACTGTGTGTGTGCTGTGTATGTGAGCTGTGTGTGTGTGCTGTGTGTGTGAGCTGTGTGTGTGGTTACTGTGTGTGTGGTTACTGTGTGTGTGGTTACTGTGTGTGTGTGCTGTGTGTGTGAGCTGTGTGTGTGCTGTGTGTGTGCTGTGTGTGTGTGCTGTGTGTGTGTGCTGTGTGTGTGCTGTGTGTGAGCTGTGTGTGTGTGTGCTGTGTGTGAGCTGTGTGTGTGTGCTGTGTGTGTGAGCTGTGTGTGTGAGCTGTGTGTGTGTGCTGTGTGTGTGAGCTGTGTGTGTGCTGTGTGTGTGCTGTGTGTGAGCTGTGTGTGTGAGCTGTGTGTGTGCTGTGTGTGTGCTGTGTGTGTGAGCTGTGTGTGTGGTTACTGTGTGTGTGTGCTGTGTGTGTGCTGTGTGTGTGTGCTGTGTGTGTGTGCTGTGTGTGTGCTGTGTGTGTGCTGTGTGTCTGCTGTGTGTGTGTGCTGTGTGTGAGCTGTGTGTGTGTGCTGTGTGTGTGAGCTGTGTGTGTGAGCTGTGTGTGTGTGCTGTGTGTGTGAGCTGTGTGTGTGTGCTGTGTGTGTGAGCTGTGTGTGTGAGCTGTGTGTGTGCTGTGTGTGTGAGCTGTGTGTGTGTGTGCTGTGTGTGAGCTGTGTGTGTGGTTACTGTGTGTGTGTGCTGTGTGTGGTTACTGTGTGTGTGTGCTGTGTGTGTGAGCTGTATGTGCTGTGTGTGTGAGCTGTGTGTGTGCTGTGTGTGTGAGCTGTGTGTGTGTGTGCTGTGTGCGAGCTGTGTGTGAGCTGTGTGTGTGGTTACTGTGTGTGTGTGCTGTGTGTGGTTACTGTGTGTGTGTGCTGTGTGTGTGAGCTGTATGTGCTGTGTGTGTGTGCTGTGTGTGTGCTGTGTGTGTGCTGTGTGCGTGCTGTGTGCGAGCTGTGTGTGAGCTGTGTGTGTGGTTACTGTGTGTGTGTGCTGTGTGTGGTTACTGTGTGTGTGTGCTGTGTGTGTGCTCTGTGTGTGAGCTGTGTGTGTGTGTGCTGTGTGTGTGCTGTGTGTGCTTGCTGTGTGTGTGCTGTGTGTGAGCTGTGTGTGCTGTGTGTGAGCTGTGTGTGTGCTGTGTGTGTGCTGTGTGTGTGCTGTGTGTGAGCTGTGTGTGTGTGCTGTGTGTGAGCTGTGTGTGTGTGTGCTGTGTGTGTGAGCTGTGTGTGTGCTGTGTGTGCTTGCTGTGTGTTCTAGGCCGACGCTGCTGCCCTGAGGGCCCAGCCCGTCCGCACTGTGGGCCCCGAGGGCCTCGTCTACGTCCACCAGGGAGAGATGGCGGCAACTGAGCCCACAGACGGTACTCACCACCACTCACCACCACTCACCACCACTCACCATCACTCACCACCACTCACCATCACTAACGGTACTCACCACCACTCACCACCACTCACCATCACTCACCACCACTCACCATCACTCACGGTACTCACCACCACTCACCACCACTCACCACCACTCACCATCACTCACCACCACTCACCACCACTCACCATCACTCACCATCACTCACCACCACTCACCATCACTAACGGTACTCACCACCACTCACCACCACTCACCATCACTCACCATCACTCACGGTACTCACCACCACTCACCATCACTCACCATCACTCACGGTACTCACCACCACTCACCACCACTCACCATCACTCAGCACCACTCACCATCACTCACGGTACTCACCACCACTCACCATCACTCACGGTACTCACCACCACTCACCATCACTCACCACCACTCACGGTACTCACCACCACTCACCACCACTGACGGTACTCACCACCACTCACCACCACTGACGGTACTCACCACCACTGACGGTACTCACCACCACTGACGGTACTCACCACCACTGACGGCACTCACCACCACTCACCACCACTCACCACCACTGACGGTACTCACCACCACTGACGGTACTCACCACCACAGACGGTACTCACCACCACTGACGGTACTCACCACCACTGACGGCACTCACCACCACTCACCACCACTGACGGTACTCACCACCACTCACCACCACTGACGGTACTCACCACCACAGACGGTACTCACCACCACTGACGGTACTCACCACCACTGACGGTACTCACCACCACTCACCACCACTGACGGTACTCACCACCACTGACGGTACTCACCACCACTCACCACCACTCACCACCACTGACGGTACTCACCACCACTGACGGCACTCACCACCACTCGCCACCACTCACCACCACTGACGGTACTCACCACCACTGACGGTACTCACCACCACTGACGGTACTCACCACCACAGACGGTACTCACCACCACTGACGGTACTCACCACCACAGACGGTACTCACCACCACTGACGGTACTCACTATCACAGACGGTACTCACCACCACTGACGGTACTCACCACCACTCGCCACCACAGATGGTACTCACCACCACAGACGGTACTCACCACCACTGAGAGTACTCACCACCACAGACGGTACTCACCACCACAGACGGTACTCACCACCACTGAGAGTACTCACCACCACTGACGGTACTCACCACCACTGACGGTACTCACCACCACTCGCCACCACAGATGGTACTCACCACCACTCACCACCACTCACCACCACTGAGAGTACTCACCACCTCTGATGGTACTCACCACCACTGACGGTACTCACCACCACTGACGGTACTCACCACCACAGACGGTACTCACCACCACTGACGGTACTCACCACCACTGACGGTACTCACCACCTCTGATGGTACTCACCACCACTGACGGTACTCACCACCACTGACGGTACTCACCACCACTGACAGTACTCACCACCACTGACGGTACTCACTATCACAGACGGTACTCACCACCTCTGATGGTACTCACCACCACAGACGGTACTCACCACCACAGACGGTACTCACCACCACAGACGGTACTCACCACCACTGACGGTACTCACCACCTCTGATGGTACTCACCACCACTGACAGTACTCACTATCACAGACGGTACTCACCACCTCTGACGGTACTCACCACCACAGACGGTACTCTCCACCACTGACGGCACTCACGACCACTGACGGTACTCACCACCACTGACGGTACTCACCACCACTGACGGTACTCACCACCACTGACAGTACTCACCACCACTGACGGTACTCACCACCACTGACGGTACTCACCACCACTGACGGTACTCACTATCACAGACGGTACTCACCACCTCTGATGGTACTCACCACCACAGACGGTACTCACCACCACAGACGGTACTCACCACCACTCACCACCACTGACGGTACTCACCACCACAGACGGTACTCACCACCACTGACAGTACTCACTATCACAGACGGTACTCACCACCTCTGATGGTACTCACCACCACTGACGGTACTCACTATCACAGACGGTACTCACCACCTCTGATGGTACTCACCACCACTGACGGTACTCACCACCTCTGATGGTACTCACCACCACTGACAGTACTCACTATCACAGACGGTACTCACCACCTCTGACGGTACTCACCACCACAGACGGTACTCACCACCACAGACGATACTCACCACCACTGACGGTACTCACCACCACTGACGGTACTCACCACCACTGACGGTACTCACCACCACTGACAGTACTCACCACCACTGACGGTACTCACCACCACAGACGGTACTCACCACCACTGACGGTACTCACCACCACTGACGGTACTCACCCCACAGACGGTACTCACCACCACTGACGGTACTCACCACCACTGACGGTACTCACCCCACAGACGGTACTCACCACCACAGACGGTACTCACCACCACTGAGGGAACTCACCACCACTGACGGTACTCACCACCACAGAAGGTACTCACCACCACTGAGAGTACTCACCCCACAGACGGTACTCACCACCACAGACGGTACTCATCACCACTGACGGTACTCACCACCACTGACGGTACTCACCACCACAGACGGTACTCACCACCACAGAAGGTACTCACCACCACTGAGAGTACTCACCCCACAGACGGTACTCACCCCACAGACGGTACTCACCACCACAGAAGGTACTCACCACCACTGAGAGTACTCACCCCACAGACGGTACTCACCACCACTGATGGTACTCACCACCACAGACGGTACTCCCCACCACAGACGGTACTCACCACCACTGACAGTACTCACCACCACTCACCACCACTGACGGTACTCACCACCACTCACCACCACTGACGGTACTCACCACCACTCACCACCACTGACGGTACTCACCACCACTGACGGCACTCACCACCACAGACGGTACTCACCACCACTGACGGTACTCACCACCACTGACGGCACTCACCACCACTCACCACCACTCACCACCACTGACGGTACTCACCACCACTGACGGTACTCACCACCACTGACGGTACTCACCCCACTCTGGGCTGTTGTTGTTGTTGCCGTCCCTCACCCCAGATGCCGCATGGCTGCTGGGCTCGGAGGAGGCCACAACGTGCCATCTGGTGGTGCTGCGCCATAGCGGTGAGGGTGCGCCCCGATATCCGCCGCCCTCTTATCCGCTCACCCTGTGAACCGCAATTCCGAACTATCACCGCCGTCCTCGTCATCAGCCGCGGCCAATCCGCCGCTGGATGGAGGTCTCCCTCACCCATGCCACCGGCGGCCAACGTCGCTCGCGATTCCCGCGGGGCGCCACCCCAGACGCTCCGTCTCGCGGATGACGCGTCGCGTCCCTCGGCTGCCACTCCCGGCATCGTGTTCTGTTTTTTAAAATGTATATAGATATACGCGTGTGTTTTTATTGCAACACAACGCGAGCACAGCACATCCACCACGCCCGGGGGGGGGCCTTCGGCGAAGGGGGGGCACAGAATCCGCGGATTCTCCCGTTGTCGTTCTCAACCGTCGCCCATCCTCGTCGCCCATCCTCGTCGCACCTCCTCGTCGCACCTCCTCGTCGCCCATCCTCGTCGCCCATCCTCGTCGCACCTCCTCGTCGCACCTCCTCGTCGCCCATCCTCGTCGCTCATCCTCGTCGCACCTCCTCGTCGCCCATCCTCGTCGCACCTCCTCGTCGCACCTCCTCGTCGCACCTCCTCGTCGCACATCCTCGTCGCCCATCCTCGTCGCACCTCCTCGTCGCACCTCCTCGTCGCACCTCCTCGTCAACCATCCTCGTCGCCCATCCTCGTCGCACCTCCTCGTCGCACCTCCTCGTCGCACCTCCTCGTCAACCATCCTCGTCGCCCATCCTCGTCGCACCTCCTCGTCGCACCTCCTCGTCGCACCTCCTCGTCGCACCTCCTCGTCGCACCTCCTCGTCGCACCTCCTCGTCGCACCTCCTCGTCGCACCTCCTCCCCTTCCTGAGCCGCCGCGGCGCGTCCAGCGGCGGCCGCAGCCTCGCCCCGGCAGTCGGTTGAGGCTACGAGGTGGGGGGGAGGATGACGACCCCCCCCCCCCCCCCCCCCACTGTGCGTGTCGTGCAGGCAGTGGGGCCGTGTGCCTGGGCCACTTTGACGGGAGCGGCACCGCGCCGGGAGCGAGGGCGGTGGTGGACCACGTGCTCGCTCTGTCACCCACGCAGTCGCCCGGCCGGTGCCTCCTCACCCCCACCGATCAGAGCACAGCCTCACCATAGCTCCTCACCATCGCTCCTCACCCTCGCCATCGCTCCTCACCCTCGCCATAGCTCCTCACTCTCACTATCGCTCCTCACCGTTACCGTCCCTAGGCCATGCTCACCATCCCTCCTCACCCACGCACAACCTCACCCTGTCTTTCTCACCCGGCAGCCCTCACCATCCCTAACCCAGCCTCTGTCACCCTGTCTCACTCTCCACCCTCCAGGCTCCCTTATCCCCTCTCTCCCTCCCCATCTCTCCCTCCCCATCTCTCCCTCCCCATGACTCTCTCCTCATGTCTCCCTCTCCTCCTCTCTCCCTCCCCATCTCTCCCTCCCCATGTCTCTCCTCCCATCTCTCCCTCCCCATGTCTCTCCTCCCATCTCTCCCTCCCCATGTCTCTCCCTCCCCATGTCTCTCCTCCCATCTCTCCCTCCCCATGTCTCTCCCCATGTCTCTCTCCCCATGTCTCTCCCTCCCCATCTCTCCCTCCCCATCTCTCCCTCCCCATGTCTCTCTCCCCATGTCTCTCCCCCCCATCTCTCCCTCCCCATGTCTCTCTCCCCATGTCTCTCCCTCCCCATGTCTCTTCCTCCCGTCTCTCCTCCCATCTCTCTCCTCCCATCTCTCTCTCCCTATGTCTCTCTCCCCATCTCTCCATCTCCTCTTCTCTCTCGCCATGTCTCCCTCGCCCCCTCTACTCCCCGTGAGTGTCCCGTGCGTGATCCTTCTATCCCGATGCTGGCCGGGTGCTGTAGGTTGGAGCTGCACGTGATTGGAGGCTTTGAAGATGAGAGGGGCATCTCTCAGCGCCTCACCCTCGACGTGCTGGGTGAGCCTTGCCCTCGCCTCACTCACCACACTCACCGCATTCACCGCACTCACCCCACTCACCGCACTCACCGCATTCACCGCACTCACCTCACTCACCCCACTCACCTTACTCACCCTACTCACCGCATTCACCGCACTCACCGCACTCACCTCACTCACCGCACTCACCCCACTCACCGCACTCACCGCATTCACCGCACTCACCTCACTCACCACACTCACCCCACTCACCGCACTCACCGCACTCACCACACTCACCCCACTCACCCCACTCACCGCACTCACCTCACTCACTGCACTCACCCCACTCACCGCACTCACCGCATTCACCGCACTCACCTCACTCATCACACTCACCCCACTCACCGCACTCACCACACTCACCACACTCACCCCACTCACCTCACTCACCACACTCACCCCACTCACCTCACTCACCCTACTCACTGCACTCACCGCACTCACCTCACTCACCACACTCACCCCACTCACCTCACTCACCTCACTCACCGCACTCACCGCACTCACCACACTCACCACACTCACCCCACTCACCTCACTCACCCTACTCACCGCACTCACCGCACTCACCGTACTCACCACACTCACCACACTCACCTCACTCACCACACTTACCTCACTCACCGCAGTCGCCACACTCACCACACTCACCGCACTCACCTCACTCACCGCAGTCGCCACACTCACCACACTCACCGCACTCACCGCACTCACCTCACTCACCGCAGTCGCCACACTCACCTCACTCACCTCAATTACCCTACTCACCACAAACGCCACACTCGCCACACTCACCCTACTCACCACACTCACCACACTCACCTCACTCACCCTACTCACCGCACTCACCCCACTCACCTCACTCACCCTACTCACCACACTCACCACACTCACCTCACTCACCACACTCACCCCACTCACCTCACTCACCCTACTCACCACACTCACCGCACTCACCTCACTCACCGCAGTCGCCACACTCACCTCACTCACCTCAATTACCCTACTAACCGCACTCACCTCACTCACCACACTCACCCCACTCACCTCACTCACCCTACTCACCACTCTCACAGCACTCACCACACTCACCTCACTCACCCTACTCACCGCACTCACCGCACTCACCACACTCACCACACTCACCCTACTCACCACACTCACCGCACTCACCACACTCACCTCACTCACCCTACTCACCGCACTCACCGCACTCACCACACTCACCACACTCACCCTACTCACCCCATTCACCGCACTCACCTCACTCACCCCACTCACCCTACTCACCGCACTCACCGCACTTACCGCAGTCACCACACTCACCGCACTCACCACACTCACCGCAGTCGCCACACTCACCCCACTCATCCTACTCACCGTACTCACCGTATTCGCCACACTCACCCCACTCATCCTACTCACCTCATCCTACTCACCGTACTCACCGCAGTCACCACACTCACCACACTCGCCACATTCGCCCTACTCACCTCACTCACCCTACTCGCCAAACTCGCCACACTCACCGCACTCACCCTACTCACCTCACCCTACTCACCGCACTCACCACACTCACCCTACTCAACACAAACGCCACACTCGCCACACTCACCCTACTCACCACACTCACCACACTCACCCTACTCACCACACTTACCGCACTCACCACACTCACCTCACTCACCCTACTCACCGCACTCACCGCACTCACCACACTCACCACACTCACCCTACTCACCCCATTCACCGCACTCAGCTCACTCACCCCACTCACCCTACTCACCGCACTCACCGCAGTCACCACACTCACCGCACTCACCACACTCACCGCAGTCGCCACACTCACCCCACTCACCACACTCACCCTACTCACCGTACTCACCGTATTCGCCACACTCGCCACACTCACACTACTCACCGCAGTCACCACACTCACCACACTCGCAACACTCGCCCTACTCACCTCACTCACCCTACTCGCCAAACTCGCCACACTCACCGCACTCACCCTACTCACCTCACCCTACTCACTGCACTCACCACACTCACCTCACTCACCCTACTCACCACACTCACCTCACTCATCCTACTCACCACACTCGCCACACTCACCCTACTCACCACACTCACCACACTCACCTCACTCACCCTACTCACCACACTCACCGCACTCACCTCACTCACCGCACTCACCTCACTCACCCCACTCGCCACACTCGCCACACTCACCGCACTCACCCTACTCACCTCACTCACCACACTCACCTCACTCACCACACTCACCGCACTCACCGCAGTCGCCACACTCACCTCACTCACTGCAGTCGCCGCACTCACCACACTCACCTCACTCACCACACTCACCTCACTCACCCTACTCACCAGACTCACCGCACTCACCACACTCACCACACTCACCACACTCACCTCACTCACCCTACTCACCACACTCACCACACTCACCTCAATCACCCTACTCTCCTCACTCACCGCACTCACCGCAGTCGCCACATTCACCACACTCACCTCACTCACCAGACTCACCTCACTCACCACACTCTCCTCACTCACCACACTCTCCTCACTCACCACACTCACCACACTCACCACACTCACCTCAATCACCCTACTCACCGTACTCACCTCACTCTCCACACTCACCACACTCACCTCAATCACCCTACTCACCGTACTCACCTCACTCTCCACACTCACCACACTCACCACACTCACCGCAGTCGCCACACTCACCCTACTCGCCTCACTGACCCTACTCACCACACTCACCACACTCACCACACTCGCCACACTCGCCACTGGGATGGGTGCTCGTGAACAGTGCTTGCCCCAAAAGTCTGGTGAGTCTATGAGGGGGATCTTCGTCTTTGTGTATTTATCTCTTCAGATGCGTTCAGCCAGCAGAAGGAAGAAATCCACCTCGTCACGTTCTGTGCCTCTGGTAGGAACCAGACTGTATGTATGTGTGCCTGAGAGACGGTGGACGAGAGGGAGCGAGTTTGTGAGTGTGTGAGAGTGTGTGAGAGTGTGTCTGAGAGTGTGTGTGAGAGTGTGTGTGAGAGTGTGTGTGAGGTTGTGTGTGAGGGTGTGTGTGAGGGTGTGTGTGAGGTTGTGTGTGAGAGTGTGTGTGAGAGTGTGTGAGAGAGTGTGTGAGTGTGTTTAAGATGATTCATACATGATCTGTGTGCGATGTATCTGCGTGTGTAAGATTGTTCATGCGTGCTATGTGTCTGCGTGTGTGTAAGATTGTTCATGCGTGCTGTGTGTCTGTGTGCATGTGTGTAAGATTGTTTATGCGTACTGTGTATCTGTATGTGTAAGATTCTTCATGCATGATGCGCGTGCTGTGTGTAAGATTCTTCATGTATGCTGTGTGTGTGTGTGTATCTGTGTGTAAGATTCTTCATGCGTGCTGTGTGTGCTGTGTGTCTGTGTGTAAGATTTTTCATGTGTACTGTGTGTGCTGTGTGTCTGTGTGTGTGTGTAAGATTCTTCATGTGTGCTGTGTGTGTGTGTGTGTAAGATTCTTCATGTGTGCTGTGCGTGCTGTGTCTGTGTGTAAGATTCTTCATGCGTGCTGTGCGTGCATGTGTGTAAGATTCTTCATGCGTGCTGTGCGTTGTGTGTTGTGTGCTGTGTGTCTGTGTGTGTGTAAGATTCTTCATGCGTGCTGTGCGTTGTGTGATGTGTGTGTGTGTAAGATTCTTCATGCGTGCTGTGTGTGCTGTGTGTCTGTGTGTAAGATTTTCCATGTGTACTGTGTGTGCTGTGTGTCTGTGTGTGTGTAAGATTCTTCATGTGTGCTGTGCGTGCTGTGTCTGTGTGTGTGTGTAAGATTGTTCATGCGTGCTGTGTGTGCTGTGTGTGCTGTGTGTAAGATTTTTCATGTGTACTGTGTGCTGTGTGTGTGTGTAAGATTCTTCATGTGTGCTGTGTGTCTGTGTGTGTGTAAGATTCTTCATGTGTGCTGTGCGTGCTGTGTATCTGTGTGTGTAAGATTCTTCATGCGTGCTGTGCGTGCTGTGTATCTGTGTGTGTAAGATTCTTCATGCGTGCTGTGCGTTGTGTGCTGTGTGTCTGTGTGTGTGTAAGATTCTTCATGCGTGCTGTGTGTGCTGTGTGTAAGATTTTTCATGTGTACTTTGTGCTGTGTGTCTGTGTGTGTGTGTGTAAGATTCTTCATGTGTGCTGTGTGTCTGTGTGTATGTGTGTAAGGTTCTTCATGTGTGCTGTGCGTGCTGTGTCTGTGTGTGTGTAAGATTCTTCATGCGTGCTGTGCGTGCTGTGTATCTGTGTGTGTAAGATTCTTCATGCGTGCTGTGCGTGCTGTGTATCTGTGTGTGTAAGATTCTTCATGCGTGCTGTGCGTTGTGTGCTGTGTGTCTGTGTGTGTATAAGATTCTTCATGCGTGCTGTGTGTGCTGTGTGTAAGATTTTTCATGTGTACTGTGTGCTGTGTGTCTGTGTGTGTGTGTAAGATTCTTCATGTGTGCTGTGTGTCTGTGTGTGTGTGTGTAAGATTCTTCATGTGTGCTGTGTGTCTGTGTGTATGTGTGTAAGGTTCTTCATGTGTGCTGTGCGTGCTGTGTCTGTGTGTGTGTGTAAGATTCTTCATGCGTGCTGTGCGTGCTGTGTATCTGTGTGTGTAAGATTCTTCATGCGTGCTGTGCGTGCTGTGTATCTGTGTGTGTAAGATTCTTCATGCGTGCTGTGCGTTGTGTGCTGTGTGTCTGTGTGTGTGTAAGATTCTTCATGCGTGCTGTGTGTGCTGTGTGTAAGATTTTTCATGTGTACTGTGTGCTGTGTGTCTGTGTGTGTGTGTAAGATTCTTCATGTGTGCTGTGTGTCTGTGTGTGTGTGTGTAAGATTCTTCATGCGTGCTGTGTGTGCTGTGTATCTGTGTGTGTAAGATTCTTCATGCGTGCTGTGCGTGCTGTGTCTGTGTGTGTGTGTAAGATTCTTCATGCGTGCTGTGTGTGCTGTGTATCTGTGTGTGTAAGATTCTTCATGCGTGCTGTGCGTTGTGTACTGTGTGTGTGTGTGTAAGATTCTTCATGCGTGCTGTGTGTGCTGTGTATCTGTGTGTGTAAGATTTTTCATGCGTGCTGTGCGTTGTGTACTGTGTGTGTGTGTGTGTAAGATTCTTCATGCGTGCTGTGCGTGCTGTGTGTCTTTATGCGTTGTGCTGCCGTTGTGCTGCAGAACTGAATGACGAGCTGCGGGAAGGACACCACTGGCCCGTGATCTACGGCATCGGTTAGACTCCCAACCCAGCCTCCTCACCCATGTGTGACACAGAGTGTGTGTCGTGTCTGCGTGTGACACACACAGAGTGTGTCGTGATACTGAAGATGGAAGGACAACTGACGATTTATAACGAATACTAATGATCAATAATGAATACTAATGATCAATAATAATAATGGATGCTAACGATTAACAATGGATACTAACGATTAACAACGATTACTAATGAATACTAATGATCAATAATGAATACTAATGATCGATTTATAACGAATACTAATGATCAATAATGAACACTAATGATCGATAATGAATACTAATGATCAATAATAAATACTAACGATTAACAATAAATACTAATGATTAACAATGAATACTAATGATGAATAATGAATGCTAATGATCAATAATGAATGCGAATGATCAATAATGAATGCGAATGATCAATAATGAATACTAATGATCAATAATGAATGCGAATGATCAATAATTAATACTAATGATCAATAATGAAAACTAATTATCAATATTGCATACTAATGATCAATAATGAATACTAATGGACAATAACGAATGTTAATGATCAATAATTAATACTAATGGACAATAACGAATGCTAACGATCAATAATTAATACTAATGGACAATAACGAATGCTAATGATCAATAACAAATACTAATGGACAATAACGAATGCTAATGATCAATAATGAATGCTAATGATCAATAATGAATACTAATGAACAATAATGAATGCTAATGATCAGTAATGAATGCTAATGATCACTAATTAATACTAATGACAGCCGATGCACGTGCTCAGTGATAATGACACTTTCCTGCTGCCGCGCAGCAGAAGACTTGGCCCACTAAGTGGATAACAGCAGCAGATCCACGCCAGGCAACGTCAATCAAACTCCGCCCCACTGTTGTAAAACAAATGCAACTACTGTACTGTAGTGGCTTTCACGTGGATTTCGGATTAACCGGAGCAACATCTTTGTTCGCTTGAAGCACGCGACTTGTAACAGACACTTCCGAGAATAACAATGTGTTACTGTTTTTAGATTATTAATTTGGACTCAAGAGAAAATCCACGAGTAATTAACTCGTGTCTAAATTTCAGGTGCCGCGTGGTTAATCCGCAAATCGGAAAAACCGCACGCGGATAATCTGAGTATCGGCTGCAGTTTAATAGTTTAGAGGTCGTTTAGTTTTAATCCTGTGTAAACGAGCCGAATCGCAACAACAGCGGCAATAATCGTAACTCGTGGTGCGTGTGTTGGCTCCGCGTGCCGTAGCTGTGGATGTCCGCGCGGGATCTCTGTTCAGGGCCCGGTTTCCAGACAAGGGTCCCGACCGGGCCTTGAGGAACTCCAGAAACCACGGTGACAACAAGGTGAGCGGTGGCATTCATTTCTTCGAGAGGCTCCGCCGTGTGCCAGGCACCTCGCCGATGACTTACGCAGGAGAGTCCTGGCCGGGTCCCCACGCTCGTCGCGTCCTTAGTTTACAATCTTTGGTTCTTTCGGTAAAGTCACGTAGGTAGACTTTACCGAGAGAACCAAAGAGTATGGATTCCTGCAGTCACGAAAGCTTCAAATCAAGATCGTCCTTAGTTTAGTTTGTTGTCCACCACCCCGCACCTCCGATTAGCCACGGTTGGCTACTTACGGTACGAAAGAAGTTCAACGGACATACATAGACCCACACAGAGACCCATAGTCTCACACAGAGACCCATAGACCCACACAGAGACCCATAGACTCACACAGAGACCCATAGACTCACACAGAGACCCATAGACTCACAGAGACACATAGACCCACACAGAGACCCATAGACTCACACAGAGACCCATAGACCCACACAGAGACCCATAGACTCACACAGAGACCCATAGACTCACAGAGACACATAGACCCACACAGAGACCCATAGACTCACACAGAGACCCATAGACCCACACAGAGACCCATAGACTCACACAGAGACCCATAGACTCACACAGAGACCCATAGTTGTCATTCCCCCGCACCTCCGATTAGCGCGGTTGGCTACGTACGGTGCGAAAGAAGTTCAACACACACATAGACTCGCACAGAGACCCATAGACCCACACAGAGACCCATAGACTCACACAGACACCCATAGACCCACACAGAGACCCATAGACTCACACAGACACCCATAGACCCACACAGAGACCCGTAGTTTGTTGTCCTTCCCCCGCGCCTCCAATTAGCCACAGTTGGCTACGTACGATGCTAAAGATGTATGTACATTGCGCTTAGCACAGCAGCGCCACCGTTCCACAACCAAATTCAAATTGTACTGTGATCCCAAACACTCGTCAATGGAACTGACCGACCGACCAATGCGATAGCAGTTGAACGTACGTACATGCGCGCGCCGGCCATCACAGGTGCTCGTCGACAGCACTTGCCCCATCCATTGTGTTAAAGGCTACACGGGGGGGGGGGGTCTTTGTCTTTGCGTGTGGCGAGGCAGATGGGCGTGATGTACTGCAGGGCTAGTGGCGAGCTCACCGTGCAGCCCATCGTGTGGACGCGCTGGGACAACGTGACGCTGTGGCTCGTGCAGCCGGACGACGTGATCAGACAGGTCTCTCGCAGATCGCGCCCGAGTCATCACGGAGGTCATAAGGGGTCGTCGCAGCGGTCATCACGGGGACTATCATAGAGACTATCACAGCGGTCATCACAGGTCATCACAGACACTATCACAGTGGTCATCACAGGTCATCACAAAGGTCATCACAGAGGTCATAAGGGGTCGTCGCAGCGGTCATCACAGATCACAGCGGTCATCACAGGTCATCACAGACACTATCACAGTGGTCATCACAGGTCATCACAAAGGCCAACACAAAGGTCATCACTGAGGTCATAAGGGGTCGTCGCAGCGGTCATCACAGATCACAGCGGTCATCACGGGGACTATCACAGGGACTGTCACAGCGGTCATCACAGGTCATCACAAAGGCCATCACAAAGGTCATCACAGAGGTCATCAGAATCTTTACTTCTACTGGAATAATCCGATGAGCTATCAATCTCTTTTTCACTGGTGTGCACATATATCCAGATCATCACAGATCATCACAGACCATCACAGATCATCACAGACCATCGCAGTAATCACAGAGGTTATCACAGAGGTCGTCACCGAGGTAATCGGAGGCCATTACAGAGGTCATGCGTTGGTTTTCTCCAGGCGCTCCGGGTTGCTCCCACGTGTATACACACTCATTCATTGGCCGGGTTGCTCCCACGTGTATACACACTCATTCATTGGCCGGGCTGCTCCCACGTGTATACACACTCATTCATTGGCCGGGCTGCTCCCACGTGTATACACACTCATTCATTGGCCGGGCTGCTCCCACGTGTATACACACTCATTCATTGGCCGATAGCGCCTTGATATAGAGAGGACCGCAGAGCTTGGGCTCACCGCGTGGCTGCTGCTACTGCCGTTCACGCTCTTGCGTGGTTCCTCCTCCTGGCGCCTCTGAATCGCCCTCCCCCCTCCTCTCTTTCTCTCTCGTCGAGAGCGAGCAAGCACCGTGGCAGCGCGGCGTTGAGAGTTGATATAATTCTTGTTATTATTATTACTACTACTACTACGTGTGAGGTGTATCGTGTACCACGTGTCGTCTTGCGTCTCATCCCATGTGTCACGTCCCATGTCCCATGCGTGATATTGTGGTGACTTTCATGTCCCCCATAGCCCGTGTCCTACGCATCACGTCCCACATCTCACGTGTCCCGTCTGTCCCATGACCCTTGACCCTTGCATCATGTCCCGTGACCCACACGTCTGATCCCGTGACCCACACGTCTGATCCCGTGACCCACACGTCTGATCCCGTGACCCGCGTCACACGTGTCGTACTCCGTGTCTGACATCCCCCCCCCCCGCCCCCTGCCTCCCGTGTCTCTCTTCCGGTCCTCCCACCGCCAGTTCCTGTCCACGTCGCCGCTGGTAGAGCCCCCGGACTTTGCGGCGAACATGCGCCAGTTGATGCGCTTCATGCTGCTGCACCCCGAGCCCAGCGAGGCCATCTTCCCCGCTGGCGCGGCTCGCCGATACCGCCGGGGCCCCCGCGGATCCTGGCAGAGGGTCCCCTGAGGAGGGGCCCCGGTGGGCGTCCGGCACTCTGACGCAGCCACATCACCTACCGCCCCACCCCCCACTCTGTGTCAGCCAGTGACTGGGCCTCTCTCCTGCCCCAGCGCAGCTGCACCGCCTGCACGCTCGAGCAGCAGCTCCGTGGTTCAGTCGCTCGATGCCAATGTGGAGGTCTCCTGCTGCTGCTGCTGCTCGCCGCGACGATAGAGGCCTTCAGCAGAGAGAGAGCTCGTGTCGCTGTTCCTCCTCCTGCGATGTCGTTGAAAGAGCGCGCGGACCACAGTGGGTTTACTGTGCATGGTCCGTATTTTGGGTTGCGTGGCCACGATCGCACTCCTGGGGGTTGTGTCTTTATGTTCGTGAAGGAGACGTGAATCATCGGAGTGTATTCCTGTTCTGATGATGCGGTTGATGGCCGGCAAGTTACAACCACAAACAATACGGAATCTTTATTTCGACTGCAGAAGGAATCCGACGAGCTTTAAAGCTCTTTTTCACACATGTCCAGTAGGGGCCGTTTAGAACGTTACAACAACGAGTGCAAAAAAAAACGACAGTGAAACGTTTCAGAAAGGTAAACAATACTCTTTGTTTTTTTCGGTAAAGTCACGTAGGTAAAATAAAAGAAAAGAAAACAAATTAAATCACGACGTTTCGGAGGCAACACAAGCTTCCGCCTTCAGGTGGAACAGTCAGCAGAATAGCTGTGCCAAGTGGGGGAGCTGTTGAGATGACCGGGATTATATACAGGTGAGTGTACTGGCAGTCTACATTATAGACTGCCAGTACACTCACCAAACTTAATAACCAGGCTACAGTCTACATTATAGACTGCCAGTACACTCACTAAACTTAATAACCAGGCTACGGTCTACATTATAGACTGCCAGTACACTCACCAAACTTAATAACCAGGCTACGGTCTACATTATAGATTGTGCCAGTACACTCACCCAGCTTAATAACCAGGCTACAGTCTACATTATAGACTGCCAGTACACTCACCAAACTTAACCAGGCTACGGTCTACATTATAGACTGCCAGTACGCTCACCCCGTTTAATAACCAGGCTACAGTCTACATTATAGACTGCCAGTACGCTCACCCAGTTTAATAACCAGGCTACGGTCTACATTATAGACTGCCAGTACGCTCACTCAGCTTAATAACCTGGCTACAGTCTACATTAGTAGTTTTAATGTTTATTCACTTTATTTATTATTTTATATCTACCGAAAGAAACAAAAAATATGAAGGTAAACATCATTTAAAATAAATAAGCTAAAAATTAACCATTTTTTTTACCAGGTAAGGCCTCGACTGAGCTACATAGCTAATTTTCCAGACGCAACCTGGCCATCACAGAAGGAGGCTTGTCACCACCATCATCACCACGTGGAAATCTGTTACGGATGCGTTGCGTTATTTAATCGTGCGTCTGGCACCAGGCTGGAGTGCAGTCCTCTGCCGCTGAGTAGTGACGGACTAACTCCAGCCGCTGAGTAACTACGGACTAACTCCACCCACTGAGTAGTTACGGACTAACTCCAGCCGCTGAGTAGTTACGGACTAACTAAAGCCACTGCCGCAACCAGGGGGAGGGGGGGGGGTGTAGGTTGCAGGGTGTATGGGGTATGTGGGGTGTGTGGGATGTGTGGGGTGTGTGGGATTTGGGGTGTGTGGGATGTGGGGTATGTGTGGTGTTGTGATTTGGGGTGTGTGTGGTGTGGTGATTTGTGCTGTGGGATGTGCGGCGGTGTTTACGATGGGACACATTCCGGGCCCGGTATTTCACCGTTACCTTTACAAATAAAGTATTTATTTTGTACGGACGCTCTGTGACCCCGCGTGTGTCTGCGTGCATGCTGCCCGTGACTGCCCCGGTCGGGAGCGGTGGTGCAGCGGTTAGCGCGCTCCGCAACGAATCTGGCGAGCCGAGTTCGATGCCCGCTAAATGGCACGGCCAACAACCAGTGACGGATTACCTGCACCGCCTCGTAGGGAGACAAAGGCGGCCGGGCGTGGTGCTCACCACCCAACAACCCCCCCCCCCGGTGACGCTTACAGCACTTGCCCCTCGCAGTGTTAGAGGCTACACGGGGGTACTTTGTCTTTGCCGTGTTGCCATCAGAGATGGAAGAGCGTCCTCCTACCGCCATCTGGCGACTAAATCGCGCAAGTTCGCCACCACCGCCACGGCTGTTGTTGCCGAGAGAGCGGGGGGAGAGGGATAGCGGCGAGAGGCGTCTTGAGTCTCGCCTGGGCACCATGGAGGCCGAGATGACGGCTCCGAGGACCCTGCCGGGCAGTCGGAGCGGCGGCTACGGGGCCATGGACGACACCAGCTGGGGTCGCGGGACGCGCGCAGGTACGGGCAGCACCGGAGGTGGTGGGGTGGGGAGCACGGGGCAGTGGGGGGCACGGGGCAGTGGAGGGCACGCAGTAGTGGGGGGCACTGGGCAGTGGGGGGCACGAGCCAAGGCGTAGCGGGGGTCATGAGGATATATACAAGGGGGGGGGGTGGGTAATGCGTAACGCAGGGTGCAGTGGGGGTATAGTACAGTTTAATAAAGGGGGTACAGAATTTTGGGGGGCACCGGGTGGTAGATACAAATAGCGGGGGGGGGGGGGGCACGCGGTTATGGACATGAGGGGCGGGGGCTGGACAGTGAGGCGAGGGTGTGGGGGGGGGGAGATGTGGGGGGAGTGCATGAACGCATTACTGTGTCGCCACGAACTCGAATGTAACCTGTGTCTGTGTGTGAATGCGCGAATGAATATTTGAGATCACGTTTACAATTGGGCTCATTGGATGGGAAAACGGTGGCGGCTGATTTAATCGCTGGTCGGGGCGCTCAGCACGATTATGAAGGAATCGGCGGAGGGGGGGGGAGATCTTTATTCATTCATTCGCTCATTCATTCATTCGCTCATTCATTCATTCGCTCATTCATTCATTCGCTCCATCGCCATCCAACAGCAGTCCAACATTCAGTCGCCCAACGGGAGCTGTGCAGTCGCCAATTTCAAACCAAATCACAATCCCGCATCAAATCATTGCGGCAATTTTTCGAAAGTCCGCCCATTCGTTCATCCTTTAAACCATTCCGGCTCAACGCCGCGGTGGCTAGGAGATGTTAACTACCTCGCCTGGTGTACAGGAGGTCGTGGGTTCGATCCCGACCCTGACGCTTGCTGCTGTATATTTGGAGTTTGCGTGTCTCTCTCACATCATCATCACGGTGGCTAGGAGATGTTAACTACCTCGCTTGGTACGCAGGAGGTCGTGGGTTCGGTCCCGACCCTGACGCCTGCTTCTGAGTATTTGGAGTCTGCGTGTCTCTCTCTCTCATCATCATCACGGTGACTAGGAGATGTTAACTACCTCGCTTGGTACGCAGGAGGTCGTGGGTTCGGTCCCGACCCTGACGCCTGCTTCTGAGTATTTGGAGACTGCGTGTCTCTCTCATTTAGAATCGACACCACCACGCGCTTCGAGAATTCGGCTGCTCTAAACGATGATGATGATGATGATAAGCCACTTCGTCGAGTTGTCATTTGTGATCGCCAGGTCGCTTCTGAGAGAGAGCTAGAGAGCGCAGTGGGCCTTACCCGATAAAATAAATAAAGCAATTGTTACCGGATCGAATCGGCCGCAAACTACACGCGCTGCACAAGCCCGATGCTTGCTAAACCACCCTCGTGGAGCGTTAGCGATGCGCGCTGTCGCGTGCACGCCCGGCCACTGCAAATACCAGAGGGGTGACACGTTTCATGTACAGCATGCGAACTATATATTCTTAGCTCTTTCGGTAAAGTCACGTTGAAGGGAAACAATACAATAATAAAAAATATAAAACAATTGCAAATAATAAAAATTCTCACGACGTTTCGACCATAACACAAACGGTCGTCATCAGGTGTGTCGGTTTGCATTAATTTATGCGAACTATTTGGGCGGTCGGGACCGGTGGCGCAGTGGTTAGCGCACTGTGGCTATGAAGCCGGCGAGCCGAGTTTGACTCCTGTTCACGGCCAATAACAGTGGCAGCGAATGTGTGAACGGGCCCAGGGCCTCCCCTAGGTCAACTCAGCCTAAACATGAATCCCCTGGTGTAGGGTGTAAACATTAGCAGTCTGTTAAAAGCTATGGCGGGGGGGGGGTCTTTGTCTTTGGTAGTGAAGGACCATGTGTGTGTGTGTCTGGTGCGGTAGTCATGGTGAGTCCATCACTATTGTGTGGTCTCCATGGTAACCTGGGGAGACACATCCTCCGTGACTCAGCCGTGTGGTAGTCATGGTGAATCCATGGTAACCGTGTCCCCATCCGTCACTATTGTGTGGTTTCCATGGTAACCTGGGGAGATATCCTCCATGACTCAGCCGTGTGGTGACGGTGGACCGCGTCATTGTGTGGGCGCCCTACGCGGAAACAAAGACAAAGATCCCCCGTACAGTCTTAACAGATTGTTGGGGCAAGTGCTGCTAGCGAGCAGCACCTACGAAGGCTGGAACGGCACACGAGGGGTGAGTGGCCAGCACCACTCCCGGCCGCCTTTGTCTCCCCAGTGGCGATGTTTACCCACCACACCAGGTACTCGTTTTGAGGCTGAGTCGACCTAGGGGAGGCCCAGGACCGGTTCAGACAAATCGCTCGAAAGATGTTCACCGCACGTGCTGGTGTTGGTTGATGTTGATGGTAGCGTTGGTGTTGTTTACGTTATTATTGATGCTGTTGTTGATGATGTTGTTGATGTATGTTGAAATTATTTCGCACCGTGCGTAGCCAACTGTGCAAGACGGAGATGCGGGGTGTTGTTGATGATGTTGTTGTTGCTGTCGATGTTGTTGTTGATGATGCTGTTATTGTTGTTGATGACGATGTTATTTATGTTGTTGATGACGTTGTTGATGGTGTTCCTGATGCTGTTGTTGATGATGCTGTTATTGATGTTGTCGATGCTGTTGTTGATGTTGTTGATGATTATGTTGTTGATGATGTTGTTGATGCTATTGTTGATATTGTTGTTGATGGTGTTGTTGATGATATTATTGATGCTGTTGTTGATGTTGTTGTTGATGGTGTTGTTGATATTGTTGATGATGTTGTTGATGATGGTGTTGATGTTGTTGATGCTGTTTGTGTTGTTTATGATGTTGTTGATGATGTTGTTGATGACGTTGTTGATGATGTTGTTGATGCTGCTGATGACGTTGTTGATAGTGTTGTTGATGTTGTTGATGATGTTGTTGATGCTGCTGATGATGTTGTTGATGCTGTTGTTGTTAATGCTGTTGTTGATCATGTTGTTGATGTTGTTGATGATGTTGTTGATGATGTTGTTGATGCTGTAGTTGATGTTGTTAATGCTGTTGTTGATGATGTTGTTGATGCTGTAGTTGATGTTGTTAATGCTGTTGTTGATGATGTTGTTGATGTTGTTGATGCTGTTGTTGATGATGTTGTTGATGATGTTGTTGATGTTGTTGATGCTGTTGTTGATGTTGCAGCAGACGAGGAGGCGGGCGACGTGGTGTCCATGGCCGACTCGACCGCCACGCTGGAGGACCTGGAGGAGGAGATGGTCCGCATCGAGCGCCTCCGCGAGCAGTTGGTGCGGCGCGAGTCGGAGCTCAGATACATGTGAGGGAGCGCTCCGTCACGACCCTCCACGTCCCCTTAATGTCCCCTCAACGTCCCCTCAACGTCCGCTCAACGTCCCCTCAACGTCCCCTCAGCACCCCCTCAGTGACCCCTCAACACCCCCTCAGTGACCCCTCAACACCCCCCTCAGTGACCCCTCAACACCCCTTCAGTGACCCCTCAACACCCCCCACAGTGACCCCTCAACACCCCCACAGTGACCCCTCAACACCCCCCTCAGTGACCCCTCAACACCCCCCTCAGTGACCCCTCAACACCCCCCTCAGTGACCCCTCAACACCCCCCACAGTGACCCCTCAACACCCCCACAGTGACCCCTCAACACCCCCCTCAGTGACCCCTCAACACCCCCCACAGTGATCCCTCAACACCCCCCTCAGTGACCCCTCAACACCCCCCACAGTGACCCCTCAACACCCCCCTCAGTGACCCCTCAACACCCCCCACAGTGACCCCTCAACACCCCCCCAGTGACCCCTCAACACCCCCTCAGTGACCCCTCAACACCCCCCTCAGTGACCCCTCAACACCCCCTCAGTGACCCCTCAACACCCCCTCAGTGACCCCTCAACACCCCCTCAGTGACCCCTCAACACCCCCCACAGTGACCCCTCAACACCCCCCTCAGTGACCCCTCAACACCCCCCACAGTGACCCCTCAACACCCCCTCAGTGACCCCTCAACACCCCCCTCAGTGACCCCTCAACACACCTCAGTGACCCCTCAACACCCCCTCAGTGACCCCTCAACACCCCCTCAGTGACCCCTCAACACCCCCCTCCGTGACCCCTCAACACCCCCTCAGTGACCCCTCAACACCCCCCACTGTGACCCCTCAACACCCCCCTCAGTGACCCCTCAACACCCCCTCAGTGACCCCTCAACATCCCCCACAGTGACCCCTCAACACCCCCTCAGTGACCCCTCAACACCCCCCTCAGTGACCCCTCAACACCCCCTCAGTGACCCCTCAACACCCCCCACAGTGACCCCTCAACACCCCCTCAGTGACCCCTCAACACCCCCTCAGTGACCCCTCAACACCCCCCTCAGTGACCCCTCAACACCCCCCACTGTGACCCCTCAACACCCCCCTCAGTGACCCCTCAACACCCCCCACTGTGACCCCTCAACACCCCCTCAGTGACCCCTCAACACCCCCCTCAGTGACCCCTCAACACCCCCCACAGTGACCCCTCAACACCCCCCCTCAGTGACCCCTCAACACCCCCACAGTGACCCCTCAACACCCCCCTCAGTGACCCCTCAACACCCCCTCAGTGACCCCTCAACACCCCCCACTGTGACCCCTCAACACCCCCCTCAGTGACCCCTCAACACCCCCCACTGTGACCCCTCAACACCCCCCTCAGTGACCCTCAACACCCCCTCAGTGACCCTCAACACCCTCCTCAGTCACCCCTCAACACCCCCTCAGTGACCCCTCAACACCCCCCACTGTGACCCCTCAACACCCCCCTCAGTGACCCCTCAACACCCCCCACTGTGACCCCTCAACACCCCCTCAGTGACCCCTCAACACCCCCTCAGTGACCCCTCAACACCCCCTCAGTGACCCCTCAACACCCCCCTCAGTGACCCCTCAACACCCCCTCAGTGACCCCTCAACACCCCCTCAGTGACCCCTCAACACCCCCCACTGTGACCCCTCAACACCCCCCACTGTGACCCCTCAACACCCCCCTCAGTGACCCCTCAACACCCCCCTCAGTGACCCCTCAACACCCCCTCAGTGACCCCTCAACACCCCCCTCAGTGACCCCTCAACACCCCCACTCAGTGACCCCTCAACACCCCCCTCAGTGACCCCTCAACACCCCTCAGTGACCCCTCAACACCCCCCTCAGTGGACCCCTCAACACCCCCATCAGTGACCCCTCAAACACCCCATCAGTGACCCCTCAACACCCCCCATCAGTGACCCCTCAACACCCCCCTCAGTGACCCCTCAACACCCCCTCAGTGACCCCTCAACACCCCCCCACAGTGACCCCTCAACACCCCCTCAGTGACCCCTCAACACCCCCCTCATAGTGACCCCTCAACACCCCCTCAGTGACCCCTCAGCACCCCCCTCAGTGACCCCTTCAACACCCCCCCTCAGTGACCCCTCAACACCCCCTCAGTGACCCCTCAACACCCCCTCAGTGACCCCTCAACACCCCCTACAGTGACCCTCAACACCCCCCTCAGTGACCCCTCAACACCCCCTCAGTGACCCCTCAACACCCCCCTCAGTGACCCCTCAACACCCCCTCAGTGACCCCTCAACACCCCCTCAGTGACCCCTCAACACCCCCTCAGTGACCCCTCAAACCCCCCACTGTGACCCCTCAACACCCCCCTCAGTGACCCCTCAACACCCCCTCAGTGACCCCTCAACACCCCTCAGTGACCCTCAACACCCCCCACAGTGACCCCTCAACACCCCCTCAGTGACCCCTCAACACCCCCTCAGTGACCCTCAACACCCCCTCAGTGACCCCTCAACACCCCCTCAGTGACCCTCAACACCCCCTCAGTGACCCCTCAACACCCCCTCAGTGACCCCTCAACACCCCTCAGTGACCCCTCAACACCCCCCACTGTGACCCTCAACACCCCCTCAGTGACCCCTCAACACCCCCTCAGTGACCCCTCAACACCCCCTCAGTGACCCCTCAACACCCCCACAGTGACCCTCAACACCCCCTCAGTGACCCCTCAACACCCCCTCAGTGACCCCTCAACACCCCCCTCAGTGACCCCTCAACACCCCCTCAGTGACCCCTCAACACCCCCTCAGTGACCCCTCAACACCCCCACAGTGACCCTCAACACCCCCTCAGTGACCCCTCAACACCCCCTCAGGACCCCTCAAACCCCCCTCAGTGACCCCTCAACACCCCCTTCAGTGACCCCTCAACACCCCCTCAGTGACCCCTCAACACCCCCCTCAGTGACCCCTCAACACCCCTCAGTGACCCCTCAACGCCCCCCTCAGTGACCCCTCAACGCCCCCCTCAGTGACCCTCAACACCCCTCAGTGACCCCTCAACACCCCCTCAGTGACCCTCAACACCCCTCAGTGACCCTCAACACCCCCTCAGTGACCCCTCAACACCCCCCACAGTGACCCCTCAACACCCCCCTCAGTGACCCTCAACACCCCTCAGTGACCCCTCAACACCCCCTCAGTGACCCCTCAACACCCCCTTCAGTGACCCCTCAACACCCCCTCAGTGACCCTCAACACCCCCCTCAGTGACCCCTCAACACCCCCTCAGTGACCCCTCAACGCCCCCCTCAGTGACCCTCAACGCCCCCTCAGTGACCCCTCAACACCCCCCTCAGTGACCCCTCAACACCCCCCTCAGTCACCGATGTTGTCCGTGAGCGGGAATCGAACTCAGGTCGCCAGGTTCGTAGCACAGTGTAGCGCTAACCACTACACCACCACTCCCCACCCGCACACACACAACACGCACACCATACACAACACACACCACACACAACACACACACAACACACACACAACACGTACACACGCACACACACAACACGCACACCACACACAACACACACAACACGCACACAGACACAACACACACAACACGCACACACGCACAACACACACACAACACGTACACACGCACACACACAACACGCACACCACACACAACACACACAACACGCACACACACGCAACACGCACACACACAACACGCACACAACACACACAACACGCACACACAACACACACACAACACACACACCACACACACACACAACACACACGCACACACACAACACACACACAACACGCACACACACAACACGCACACACACACCACACACGCAACACGCACACTACACACGCAACACGCACACCACACACAACACACACACACAACACGCACACAACACACACAACACACACACAACACGCACACACACAACACGCACACTACACACCACACACAACACGCACACAACACACACACAACACGCACACACACAACACACACACAACACGCACACACACAACACACACAACACGCACAATGTAGCTTGCATTGTCAAGACAAACCTCCCAAGGCCGACCCCCCCCCCCCCGCCGGCAAATCACTCGGTAGGCCACACAGCAACAGCAGCAGCAAAAAAAACTCGTCGGGACCCTCCTGAAAAGGAGTCTTGAGACTCGGCGAGGCTCCGCCGGTGGTGAACGGGCGGAACGTCAGCGACGGTAGCGCGTGACGATTCCGTCGGTGGTGCCGTGTGCCGGCAGGATGGACGACATGCAGCTGTGTCAGGAGATCTCCCGTCTCAAGGCGGAGCTCCAGGCATTCGTCTCCCTGCCAGGTCACTACTCACGGGGGGGTCCCCTCCAAGGCTGCACCCCCACCCACCTCCCTGCACCCCCACCCACCTCCCTGCACCTCCACCCACCTCCCTGCACCTCCACCCACCTCCACCCACCTCCCTGCACCTCCACCCACCTCCCTGCACCTCCACCCACCTCCACCCACCTCCCTGCACCTCCACCCACCTCCCTGCACCTCCACCCACCTCCACCCACCTCCCTGCACCTCCACCCACCTCCCTGCACCTCCACCCACCTCCACCCACCTCCCTGCACCTCCACCAACCTCCCTGCACCTCCACCAACCTCCCTGCACCTCCACCCACCTCCCTGCACCTCCACCCACCTCCCTGCACCTCCACCCACCTCCCCGCCGCTCGCCTCCGTTGTCTCCGCTCTCCCCCAGACGCGGAGCGCACGGGAAGCGTGGTGCGGGCCCAGGAGGAGTCGCTCATCAGGACGATCCAGGAGCTGGTGGAGAAGAGGGACTACCTGGTGGACGACGTGGAGCTCGAGAGGCTCAGGTGCGCGGACCCCTTTCTCCCCGCACCCCCAAAGACAAAGATTCCCCGTGTAGCCTTAGAAGGCTGTTGGGGCAAGTGCTGTTAGCGAGCGCCTGTGACGGCCCACACGGCGCTCAAGGGGGTGGGTGGCCAGCAACCACGCCCGGCCCCCTTTGTCTCCCCAGCGGCGACGTTTACTACACACCGCACCGGGTACTCAGTTAATGGCTGAGTCTACCTAGGGGGAAGCCCAGAACCGGTTCGGATAATCGTCACCGCTGGTGTTGGTGGCCCGCGAGCGGGAATCGAACCCGGGTCGCCGGGTTCGCGGAGCAGCGCGGCGCTAACCGCTGCGCCACCGCTCCCCCGGGGGTGGGGGGGGGTCGACCCCGCGCTGTGTGGCACAGGGAGCGCGAGGAGGACAAGGAGATGTCGGATTTCCTGCAGAAGAAGCTGAGGAAGAAGGAGCGGCCGCTGCGAGCAGGTAACTAGCGAGCACGCGCGTTACCCCTCCGAAATTGAGAATCGACACCGCGCGCGTTCGTCTGCCGCTACGGACGTCCACAGGGTGACGAGCCGCCGCCGCTCAGTCGAGACGTCGTTTTGTGACGATGGCCAGGTCGCTCAGTGGGCCATAGCTGGTGTGTGTAACAAAAAATGAATGTATCGACGGCGACCCGCGACGTCTGTCCGCGTGTGCCTACGCAGACGCGGTGCGGGCGGGTGGCCGCCGGGAGAGCGAGGGGTCCCCGCCGGTAAAGCCGACGCTCGCCAAGACCGGCCTCGCCCTCCTCAAGGACTGCTGCGGACTGGCCTCCTGCTGTGTGCAGTGACCTCTCGTGGGGACAGCGCTCGCGTCGCGAGCGAGAAGGCGTGCGTGTGTGCGGGCGTGTGTGGATGAGTGAGTGTGAGCGAGTGTGGGTGAGTGTGAGCGAGTGTGAGTGAGTGAGTGTGAGCGAGTGTGGGTGAGTGCAGGCATGTATGCGGGCGAGCGTGGGCGTGTGTGGATGAGTGAGTGTGAGCATGTGTGGGTGAGTGAGTGTGAGCGAGTGTGGGTGAATGTGAGCGAGTGTGGGTGAGTGTGAACGAGTGTGGGTGAGTGTGAACGAGTGTGGGTGAGTGTGAGCGAGTGTGGGTGAGTGTGAGCGAGTGTGGGTGAATGTGAGCGAGTGTGAGTGAGTGTGAGCGAGTGTGAGTGAGTGCGGTCATGTGTGCGGGCGAGCGTGGGCGTGTGTGGATGAGTGAGTGTGAGCATGTGTGGGTGAGTGAGTGTGAGCGAGTGTGGTCGTGTGTGGGTGAGTGTGAGTGTGGGCAAGTGTTTGTGCGTGTGGGAAGCGATAGTGTAGCGGTTAGCGCTACGCTGCGCTACGAACCCGGCGACCCGAGTTCGATTCCCGATCACGGCCAACACCGGCAGTGACGATTATCTGAACCGGTCCCGCGCCTCCCCAAGGTCGACTCAGCCTCAAATGAGTACCTGGTGCGGTGTGTAGACATCGCCACTGGGGAAACAAAGGCGGCCGGGCGTGGTGCTGGCCACCCACCCCCTTGTGCGCCATTCCGGCTTTCATAGGTGCTCGCTAATAGCTCTTGCCCCAACAGTCTGTTAAGGCTACACGGGGTATATTTGTCTTTATCTTCGTGTGCAGAGCGAGCGGTAGTGTAGCGGTTATCGCACTGCGCTACGAACCCGGTGATCCAAGTTCAATTACCAACATCAGTGACGAATATCTGAACTGGTACGAAGCCTGACGTACAGTGGTCATCAATACCCTGACTGATTCGGCAAAATGCTGCTGCCAATCAGAATTGGGATGCGGGAGATGTTGACCTTCCTGTTCAGACTTCTATTTGCATCTGTTGGGACTTTCGAAATCTATTAGGACTTGCATCTGTTGGGACTTGCATCTGTTAGGACTTCCAGCATCTATTCGGACTTGCATCTGTCCGGACTTACATTTGCCGGGACTTACATCTGTCTGGCTGTTTAGACTTGCATCTGTTAGGACTTCCAGCATCTATTCGGACTTGCATCTGTCCGGACTTACATCTGTCCGGCTGTTTAGATTTGCATCTGTTAGGACTTGCATCTGATCAGACCTCCGTCTCTTTATAATTCGATCTGTTGGGACATCGGCGGAGAGGAGTGGCTCCGATTCTACGCTATGCTTGTGTATGGCTGCTGCTCACCATGGCGAGAGGGCTTCAGCAGAGAGTTCGTTCGTGTCCTGTCGCTGTTCCTCAACTTCCTCCGTTGAAGGAGCGCAGACTGTGGTACTTTACGATATCGTCCCTAGTTTGGGTTGCATGGCCACAGTCACCCTCTGACTTGTATCCAATGTATCTCTGTGTACCTCTATGTGTCTCTATGGGTCCATTTGGCTCTTTATACGTCTCAAAGTATCTCTACGAGTCGCTGTGGGTTTGCTATATGGTGCATAGTTGTGGTTGCATGGCCTCAATCGCACTTCTGTTGCGCGTGTCTTTAAATCCCTATTTGTGAAGGAGACGTGCGCATCGGGCCTGTTGTTGTTGATGTTCTGATGATGCGGTTGATGGGTCCACCACCAGTGTCGCCAACGAGGAGGAGGTATGTCACAGGCAGGAGGAGGTGCGATGATGACGTTTTGGGTCTCGAATGAGGAGGTGTTGATTCATCTGGACGTGCACGTTGCTGCACTCAGTGCAGCAGCAGCAGCAGCGTTCTGCTGGGTCTGAGTGGTGAGATTCTATGATGGTGACAGCAGTAGCGCGATCCGAGAGTGGATGGGGATCTTGACTTTGAGTCGTGGGCGAGGTGAAATACTTGAGGTCTTGGTTGAGATACAAAGACATCCACAGAGACTCATAGAGATACAAAGAGACCCATTAGAGACTCATAGCACCGGCTCCTCACCGCGCGTCTGTGATTCCTCCTCCTCCTCGCGCCTCCAAGTCGTCCCTCCCTCTCCCTACGAGAGCGACGTGCGACTCCTCCGTGCGACTCTTCCGTGCGGTTCATGCCTCCTCGGTCGTCGTCGTTGCATCGGTGAGCTCGGCGGGAGAGGGTGACGCCGTCTCTTCGAATTGCCGGCTGCAGGGCGCACGCTTGCCCATTGTCGACACGTTACCGATGTCCGTCGCGTGGCGGCGGTGGTGGTGGTCGCCGTGTGGATGTTCCGTGTTTGTGCAGGGGTCGCCAGGGGTCGAGCTCCATCCGTGCGGTGATGACCCCTGGCCCCCCTGAATGGTGAACCCCCCCTCTCCCAATAAAATGTGCAATCACCACACCCCTCACCCCTGACTCCTCTCTATCACAATCTGTCTCTCTCTCTCTTTCTCTCCTGTGTGAGGTCAGCAGTTGTCGCCCCGGTGATTGTTGACCCTACGAGGTCAGTGGTTGGTTGGCAGAGTGGAGTTTGTGCGGTGGTAATGCTCGAAAATGGCCCTGGGTTCGATTCCCCGACACGTGTGTTCTCCTGTTCTGCAGTGTGAGAGTGAGTGGAGTTTTATGATCTCCTGCTGTTCTGCAGAGTGAGTGGAGTTTGTATGATCTCCTGCTGTTCTGCAGAGTGAGAGTGAGTGGAGTTTGTATGACCTCCTCCTGTTCTGCAGAGTGAGAGTGAGTGGAGTTTGTATGACCTCCTCCTGTTCTGCAGAGTGAGAGTGAGTGGAGTTTGTATGACCTCCTCCTGTTCTGCAGAGTGAGAGTGAGTGGAGTTTGTATGACCTCCTCCTGTTCTGCAGAGTGAGAGTGAGTGGAGTTTGTATGATCTGCTGTTCTGCAGAGTGAGAGTGAGTGAAGTTTGTATGATCTGCTGCTGTTCTGCAGAGTGAGAGTGAGTGAGTGGAGTTTGTATGACCTCCTGCAGAGAGAGAGTGGAGTTTGTAGATTATCTCCCCCAGTTCTGCATCTGTTTCCTCTAGATTTTCCGGCATTCCTCCTCCCGCAGTTAAACACAAACACAAGTGCAAACTGGAATTGATCAAAGAAATATCCCAGCGGCTAAAAAAAATTACCGGACAATTACTCATTCGGGATCACACGCAGCAGCGGCAGCAACAGCAAAATCGCCCTCCCTACTGCGAACAACTTTGGCAGGAAAAGTCTTGAGACACGTGAGTGAGGCTTTGAAGTAAACACCTCGATATGCGTACCTTCGATATCACGAACTTTGGCTTTGTGACCATTGCTTTAAGCAGAGGAAGGACCTAACAGAATGGCTTGACGACAGCGGAAGATATTGGGTGTCAGTATGATGTGGTGCACTACTTGAGCGTATTACAAAACAGAGAGAGAAAAGTGGAAACGACAAATTATGTAATGTGCAGTGGACACCTAACGGGGCCACGTGTCCATGAATCGTGGTGATGATGATGATAATATACTTACTTTAAACGAAAGGCTAAATATATAGTATGATAAAGCATAAAATACAATATGAATGTACGACGCTCCAGGAAGGTATAATACAGAGTGTTTTTTTTTTTTTGGGGGGGGGGGGGAGTTAGATCGTGTAAATATAAATGTGTCGTTAAACCCGCTAACCACCCGACACAGCCAATTACTAAGGTATGTCACGTAAACAAACTTTACATAAACCGTATTAACTTCACATTTCTATTTACGCGATCCAACCACCCCCCCCCCCCAAAAAAAAAAAAACCTGTACTATGAATTATATTGGTCGCGTCAGCCTGCTTGTTAAGCCGAGGTTTTGCAGTCCATGCCGGAGTCGTGGTGGATGTGTTCTGATTTAGATCTGGAGCGATGGGATAGCTTCGTGGGTAGACGCTGCTGGGTTGAGATGCTGGCAGTGGCTCAGGGAGGCCTTCATCCAGTAGTGGATTGGCACGGTTGGTTACGTACGATGCGAAATAATTCTAAATACATGGCTGATGATATTATTGACCCCATACACAACACCGCAGGTGTTCTCTCTCAAGCGAGAATGTTCACAGCTGCCAGTGGGTTGAAGGATTTCGAGTTCAAATCCGACTTGGGGGGGTTGGCTCAACCCATCATCCTCTGCCTCCAGCCGAGTTGGGGGAGGGTCGATAAATTGAGTACCACTTTGTTTTGGAAGTCAACAGCGATTTGCCTTCACAAAAATAAACTGAAATAAAACATAATTATATAGGCAGTCTCCAACCCTTATGCATCGCTCTCTGGCCTATGTGTAGTGTAGGAGGGCCATTGTCCGAAACGTCGTCTTATACAGGGACTCCTCTGCTTATGAACATTCGACCATCAGAGATACGAAAAACCTGTCCGTATTTCATGTAGATGCTACATGAAGAACTAGTGGCATTTACGTCTGTAGAACGTGAAGAACCAGTGGCATCTACATTTACAGAACGTGAAGAACCAGTGTCATCTACATCTGCAGAACGTGAAGAACCAGTGACATCTACAGCTGCAGAACGTGAAGAACCAGTGGCATCTACATCTGCAGAAAGTGAAGAACCAGTGGCATCTACATGTGCAGACCATGAAGAACCAGTGGCATCTACATTTGCAGAACGTGAAGAACCAGTGGCATCTACATTTGCAGAACGTGAAGAACCAGTGACATCTACAGAACGTGAAGAACCAGTGGCATCTACATCTGCAGAACATGAAGAACCAGTGGCATCTACATTTGCACAACGTGAAGGACCAGTGGCATCTACGGTACATCTGCAGAACGTGAAGAACCAGTGGCATCTACATCTACAGAACGTGAAGAACCAGTGGCATCTACATCTACAGAACGTGAAGAACCAGTGGCATCTACATCTGTAGAACGTGAAGAACCAGTTGCATCTACATCTGCAGAACGTGAAGAACCAGTGGCATCTACATCTGCAGAACATGAAGAACCAGTGGCATCTACATTTGCAGAACGTGAAGAAGCAGTGACATCTACAGAACGTGAAGAACCAGTGGCATCTACATCTGCAGAACGTGAAGAACCAGTGGCATCTACATTTGCAGAACGTGAAAAATCAGTGACATCTACAGCTGCAGAACGTGAAGAACCAGTGGCATCTACATCTGCACAACGTGAAGAACCAGTGGCATCTACGGTACATCTGCAGAACGTGAAGAACCAGTGGCATCTACATCTACAGAACGTGAAGAACCAGTGGCATCTACATCTGCAGAACGTAAAGAACCAGTTGCATCTACATCTGCAGAACGTGAAGAACCAGTTGCATCTATATCTGCAGAACGTGAAGAACCAGTTGCATCTATATCTGCAGAACGTGAAGAACCAGTTGCATCTACATCTGCAGAACGTGAAGAACCAGTTGCATCTACATCTGCAGAACGTGAAGAACCAGTGGCATCTACATTTGCAGAACGTGAAGAACCGGTGACATCTACATCTGCACAACGTGAAGAACCAGTGGCATCTACGGTACATCTGCAGGACGTGAAGAACCAGTGGCATCTACATCTGCAGAACATGAAGAACCAGTGGCATCTACATTTGCAGAACGTGAAGAACCAGTGACATCTACAGAACGTGAAGAACCAGTGGCATCTACGGTACATCTGCAGAACGTGAAGAACCAGTGGCATCTACATCTGCAGAACATGAAGAACCAGTGGCATCTACATTTGCAGAACGTGAAAAACCAGTGACATCTACAGAACGTGAAGAACCGGTGGCATCTACATCTGCAGAACGTGAAGAACCAGTGGCATCTACATTTGCAGAACGTGAAGAACCAATGACATCTACAGAGCGTGAAGAATCAGTGGCATCTACATCTGCAGAACGTGAAGAACCAGTTGCATCTACATCTACAGATCGTGAAGAACCAGTTTTATCTACATCTGCAGAACGTGAAGAACCAGTGACATCTACAGAACGTGAAGAACCAGTGGCATCTACATCTGCAGAACGTGAAGAACCAGTGGCCTCTACATTTGCAGAACGTGATGAACCAGTGACATCTACAGCTGCAGAACGTGAAGAACCAGTGGCATCTACATCTGCAGAACGTGAAGAACCAGTGGCATATACATCTGCACAACGTGAAGAACCAGTGGCATCTACATCTGCAGAACGTGAAGAACCAGTGGCATTTACGGTACATCTGCAGAACGTGAAGAACCAGTGGCATCTACATCTACAGAACGTGAAGAACCAGTGGCATCTACATCTGCAGAACGTGAAGAACCAGTTGCATCTATATCTGCAGAACGTGAAGAACCAGTTGCATCTACATCTGCAGAACGTGAAGAACCAGTTGCATCTACATCTGCAGAACGTGAAGAACCAGTGGCATCTACATTTGCAGAACGTGAAGAACCGGTGACATCTACATCTGCACAACGTGAAGAACCAGTGGCATCTACGGTACATCTGCAGGACGTGAAGAACCAGTGGCATCTACATCTGCAGAACATGAAGAACCAGTGGCATCTACATTTGCAGAACGTGAAGAACCAGTGACATCTACAGAACGTGAAGAACCAGTGGCATCTACGGTACATCTGCAGAACGTGAAGAACCAGTGGCATCTACATCTGCAGAACATGAAGAACCAGTGGCATCTACATTTGCAGAACGTGAAAAACCAGTGACATCTACAGAACGTGAAGAACCGGTGGCATCTACATCTGCAGAACGTGAAGAACCAATGACATCTACAGAGCGTGAAGAACCAGTGGCATCTACATCTGCAGAACGTGAAGAACCAGTTGCATCTACATCTACAGATCGTGAAGAACCAGTTTTATCTACATCTGCAGAACGTGAAGAACCAGTGACATCTACAGAACGTGAAGAACCAGTGGCATCTACATCTGCAGAACGTGAAGAACCAGTGGCCTCTACATTTGCAGAACGTGAAGAACCAGTGACATCTACAGCTGCAGAACGTGAAGAACCAGTGGCATCTACATCTGCAGAACGTGAAGAACCAGTGGCATATACATCTGCACAACGTGAAGAACCAGTGGCATCTACATCTGCAGAACGTGAAGAACCAGTGGCATTTACGGTACATCTGCAGAACGTGAAGAACCAGTGGCATCTACATCTACAGAACGTGAAGAACCAGTGGCATCTACATCTGCAGAACGTGAAGAACCAGTTGCATCTACATCTGCAGAACGTGAAGAACCAGTTGCATCTACATCTGCAGAACGTGAAGAACTAGTGGCATCTGCAGAACGTGAAGAACCAGTAGCATCTACATCTACAGAACGTGAAGAACCAGTTGCATCTACATCTGCAGAACGTGAAGAACCAGTTGCATCTACATCTGCTGAACCTGAAGAACCAGTGGCATCTACATCTGCAGAACGTGAAGAACCAGTGGCATCTACATCTGCAGAACGTGAAGAACCAGTGGCATCTACATCTGCAGAACGTGAAGAACCAGTGGCATCTACAGCTACAGAACGTGAAGAACCAGTGGCATCTACATCTGCAGGAGATTATACAGGTTTTAAAGCGCATTCCCCGTGTTTAGTGTACACGCCGTACAACGCGTTTGGAGTAAAGTTACGAACAGAGACCTCTGGAACGGAACTCGTTCGTAAGTCGAGGAGTCCTCGTTGTATATAAAAAGTCACTGACAAGGCACAATCACCAAATTCTAAGTTATCTCTCCCTGTGTGGACGTGGGAGGGGTGCGGGTTCCACCGACCACTGCTCCACCCTCTATGCTCCACGCTCATCCCCGTTCAGAGGAATGAGGAATTTCCACCGCTGGCTCGAGGGAGAGGGATTGTCACTTTTGTTGTTGTTGTTGTTGACAAGCCGTGCAGCACGTGACTCCTGACGTCTTACGGCCTCTGTGGCCGCCATGTTGGGTAAGTAGGTTCCGCTATTTTGGACGAGCATTTGCAGCCATGTTGGGTGAGTAGTTTCAGCCATCTTGGGTGAATAATTTGCAGCCATCTTGGGTGAGTAATTTGCCGCCATAATTGGGGAGGAATTTTGCCTTGAGGGCGTTTTCACATTAATATTCTTGGTTCTTTCGGTAAAGTCACGTAGAAGGGAAACAATAAAATAATACAAATATAAAACAGTAGCAGTCAAAGTAATCGACTCAGCTAGGTCCTGTAAATCGATTCCAGAGACGGCCATAGCGACAGATTAAAATTTACGATTCCCAATTTTGTAAAGCAATAATCGAAGAATCGATTACTGTTTGTATTTTGCAGGCAAGGCAATCGACGTCGACGGGCCGCCCACCGCGGTCTCGTGGCTGGAGCCGGCCCTGGGCAGTAACAAAGCGATCCGCGCAAAACTCCTCAACACGATTGTTCTCTCATAGTTCAGCGTAATTAATTAACGCAATTAATGAACACTTCACCTCATAATTTACCTCATGATTATCGTATTTTAGCTTCACTCGGGTTTTTTTTTTATTTTGTTGTTTTGTTGTCGTTCAAGGCGGCGGGGGGGGGGTGGTGGGAATTGCTCAATATTGGTGGCGGCCTCGAGCAGAGACGGGGTCAGGGTCTGTGGGGTCAGCGTGACCTGGGTGAAGGGAAGAGAGAGGGGGGATACGTGAGGGATACGTGGAGGGATACGTGAGGGGATACGTGAGGGATACGTGACGGATACGTGAGGGGATACGTGAGGGATACGTGGAGGGATACGTGAGGGGATACGTGAGGGATACGTGAGGGATACGTGGAGGGGATACGTGAGGGGATACGTGGAGGGGATACGTGAGGGATACGTGAGGGGGTACGCGAGGATTCCCGGGATCGACCAGGCCATGACGTGTGACCACTGCACAAAGGCGGTGAGGAGGGCGGTGGCGACGTGGGGGGATGTCGTGTAAATGATGAGTGATGTGGAAGACATCAACACGTGGTGATGGCGTAAGACGGCGCTGCGGGTGTAAATGTTGATGTTTGTGAGTGACGGTGAAGTGGGGGTGATGGTGCGAGCGATGTTGATGTGGGGGTGATGGAGTGATGGTGCGAGTGATGTTGATGTGGGGGGAGGTGATGGTGTGGAGGTGATTGTGATGTGTGGGTGTGATAGTTTGAGTGTTGTTCGTGTGTGTGGAAGGGGGTGATACAGCGTAAGAGGTGTGAGAGATAGTGTGATAATGGGGGGGGGAATGATGTGAGTGATAATGTGATGGTTGTGGTGTGATGGTGTACATGACGATGATATGGAAATGATGATGTGGGTGATGCGGGGATGATGCGAGTTGTGGTGGTGTAAGTGTTGCGAGGGATGGTGGGAGTCATGGTTCGAGTGATAGTGGAGTAGGTGACGGGAGTGATTGTGTAAGACTTGATGTTGTGAGCAGTGCCGTGGTGATGTGAATGGTGATGGGAGTAATGCTGCGAATATTGGTAGTGAGTGATGCTGTAAGGGGTACTGCGGAGGTGAGATGTTAACTACCTCGCAAGGTATACAGAAAGTCGTGGGTTCGATCCCGGCCCTGACGACGCCTGCTGTATATGTGGAGTTTGCGGTGTCTCTCCCCGTGGTCGCGTAGATTTTTCTCCGGCTCCGGCTTTCCCTCCACATTTATATAATCAACATGCGTTTAGAGTATTTGGCTGCTATACATTTCCACGTGAATGAGCCACTTTGTTGAGCTATAATTTGTGGCCAGGTCGCTTCTGAAAAAGAGCTTTACAGCTCAGTGGCATTTACTTTGTTAAATAAATACTGTATAGTAATTCACCGTCTATTGGAACCCCACTTCTCTGTTTTCTCTATGTGCTGTGAAGATGGCCCATTGCCTGAAACGTCGCCAGTAATATACTCTTTCTTTTTAAGGTGACAGTCCTCTTGACGAATATGTTGAATTTTATTTGTGACACCACTGCCAATGCAGCAGCGTCACCACATACATTTTAACCGATATTATTAGACTTCGCTTACCACCTCCGCTGTGTGCAGGAATGCTCCAAGAGGAAAGGGGTGACCCCCGGGGCAGCGGGGGAGCAGGCGGGGAGCGCGGGGGAGCATGGCGCAGAGGAGAAGGAAGCGGGCCGGGGTGAGTGTGGGGGTGAGGAGCGGACACAGGCCCTGCTGGTGAGCGACTGCCTGGCGTGCGGAGGGTGTCTGTCGGCGGGTGAGCGCGTGCTCATGGCTCGGCAGAATCCCAAGCAGCTGATGGACGTGCTGCGCCCGCCAGAGGTGATGAGGCTCTGGGGAAACCACGACTACATTTACACAACTGTAAACATACACTCAGTCACCTACGCAGCTGCAAATACTACAACAACAGCCGCCTTTCGCCACTAAGCGGCGGTGATGTCACCACCGCGCCTGTGCCAGGCCGGGTGCACGTTGAGGACACGTGAAGTGTCGAAGGCTCGCTGACGGGAGCTCACGGAACAGACCCAGGTGGTACGATGGGTTGACTAACTGAGGTGATTGGTAGATGCACCACCAGCTGTGCCCCCTACTGTACCCAAGCTTGATGCATTTTAGTTGCCCGGCGCTCCGCTCGTTGTTGTGAGCGTCGCTCCTCCGCCCTCCGTTGTTGTTGGAGGGCGACTGCCTCCAACTGCCCGGCTACAAATACATCCACGTGTGTACATGCGATGACGTACACCAAGACAAATACCCCATCTATGGTGTTGACAGGCCTTTGGGGCAAGTGCTATGAAGACCGGCACGGCGCACGAGGCGGTGGGTGGCCAGCACCACGCTCGGCTGCCTTTGTCTCCCTAGTGCAAATGTTTACACACCGCACCAGGTACACATTCTAAGAGTCGACCGAGGGGAGGCCCAGGACCAGTTCACATCTTCGTCACCGAGGTTGGCCGTGAGCGAGAATCGAACTCGGGTCACCGGGGCCTCGTAACTCAGTGCGTGAACCACTGCGCCGCCAACAACCGCCATTCGCCACTTAAGTGGCGGTCACGTCACCACGACGCTTGTGCCAGGCCATGTGCACCTTGAGGCCACGTGAAGTGTCGAACGCCCGCTGGCAGGAGGTCACGGGGCAGACCCAAGTGCCACGGGTCGACTGACTGAGATGACTGAGATGACTGGCTGATGCACCACCTGTGCCCCCTACTGTGCCATCATGCGCCACCGTTCGCCACTTCGCTGACCCACTCGCCCAAACACAACCACGCAACACAACCACCACCTACACCGCCGCCCCGTGGCTCGCGAGCGCTGAAGGCCGTGTTGGCGGTTGTCACAGGGCGGGCGCCGGGTGCGGGAGGTGGTGGCGTCGGTGTCGCCCGAGTCGCTGGCGTGGCTGGCGGCGCGGTACGGCATGGACACGGCGGAGACGGCACGCAGACTCACGGGCTTCCTGCACGGCCTGGGTGAGCCCTCGATCGCACTCGCACGGTCACACCCCCTCACACTCCCTCACTCACACCCCTTCACTCACACACCCTCACTCACACTCCCTCACTCACACTCCTTCACTCACACCCCCTCACTCACACCCTCACACTCCCTCACTCACACCCCCTCACTCACACACCCTCACTCACACTCCCTCACTCACACTCCTTCACTCACACCCCCTCACTGACACTCCCTCACTCACACCCCCTCACTCACACCCCCTCACTCACACCCCCTCACTCACACCCCCTCACTCACACCCCCTCACTCACACTCTCTCACTCACACCCCCTCACTCACACTCCTCAATCACACCCCTTCACTCACACCCCCTCACTCACACTCCCTCACTCACACTCCCTCACTCACACCCGCTCACTCACACCCCCTCACTCACACTCCCTCACTCACACACCCTCACTCACTCCCCCTCACTTACACACCCTCACTCACACTCTCTCACTCACACCCCCTCACTCACACCCCCTCACTCACACACCCTCACTCACACCCCCTCACTTACACACCCTCACTCACACTCTCTCACTCACACCCCCTCACTCACACCCCCTCACTCACACCCCCTCACTCACACCCCTTCACTCACACCCCTACACTTACACCCTCTCACTCACACTCCCTCACTCACGCCCCTTCACTCACACACCCTCACTCGCACTCCCTCACTCACACACCTTCACTCACACTCCCTCACTCACACCCCCTCACTCACACCCCCTCACTCACACTCCCTCACTCACACCCCCTCACTCACACCCCCTCACTCACACACCCTCACTCACACTCCTTCACTCATACCGCCTCACTCACACCCTCTCACTCACACCCCCTCCGTCACGCCCCCTCACTCACACCCCCTCACTCACACTCCCTCACTCACACTCCCTCACTCACACCCCCTCACTCACACCCCCTCACTCACACTCCCTCACTCACACCCCTTCACTCACACCCCTACACTTACACCCCCTCACTCACACTCCCTCACTCACGCCCCTTCACTCACACACCCTCACTCGCACTCCCTCACTCACACACCTTCACTCACACTCCCTCACTCACACCCCCTCACTCACACCCCCTCACTCACACTCTCTCACTCACACCCCCTCACTCACACCCCCTCACTCACACACCCTCACTCACACTCCTTCACTCATACCGCCTCACTCACACCCTCTCACTCACACCCCCCTCCTTCACACCCCCTCACTCACACCCCCTCACTCACACTCCCTCACTCACACTCCCTCACTCACACCCCCTCACTCACACCCCCTCACTCACACTCCCTCACTCACACTCCCTCACTCACACTCCCTCACTCACACCCCCTCACTCACACTCCCTCACTCACACCCCCACACTCCCTCACTCACACTCCCTCACTCACACTCCCTCACTCACACCCCCTCACTCACACCCCCTCACTCACACTCCCTCACTCACACTCCCTCACTCACACCCCCTCACTCACACTCCCTCACTCACACCCCCTCACTCACACTCCCTCACTCACACTCCCTCACTCACACCCCCTCACTCACACCCCCTCACTCACACTCCCTCACTCACACTCCCTCACTCACACCCCCTCACTCACACTCTCTCACTCACACCCCGTCACTCACACCATCATGGGATTCCTGCACTGCCTGGGTGAATTCTCACTCATGTACACATCTTCCTTTCACTATTTATCCCCGTATCCCCCTCTCCCCCTGTCTCCATGTCCCCCGTGCCCCCTCTCCCATGCCCCCCTCCCTGTGCGTCGCCCCCCCGTGCTAGGTGTGCACCGTGTGCTGGACGTGTCGCTGGCGCGTGACGTGGCGCTCGCCGAGTGCCAGCGCGAGTTTGTGCAGCGATTCCGCCACGAGCCGGCACGACTTCCCCTCCTCACATCCTCCTGCCCCGGTAGAGACACCACACCATCGCCACACTACACCGTCACCGCAAAACGCCATCACATTACCACCACACTGCAGCATCACTGCCACGCATCACCACGCTGTACCACCACTCCCTCACTCACCACCACTCCCGTGACCACAGCGGCACCACCTGTGTGCGGCGCAGGCTGGGTGCGCTTTGTGGAGCGACTGCACGGGGAGGCGGTGGCTCCCTACCTGAGCCGCGTTCGCTCGGCGCAACAGGTGATGGGGGCCCTGCTCAAGGAGAGGTTTGCTCAGCGGCAGGTGAGGGCGTCGCGTTACACTCATCCGCTCACTCGCTCGTCCGCTCATTCACCCACTCAAACGCTTGCTTACATACCCATCCACTCACCGGCTCACTCGCTTACATACTCACCCGCTTGCCCACCCACTCACGCGCTCAATTACATGATCATCCACTCACCCGCTCACTCGGAAACATACTCACCCGCTCACCCACTCACTTTGCTCACCCACTCACACACTCGCATACATACTCACCTTGCTCACACGCTCACCCCCATTTACTATATCACTCAGCCACTGTATCACTCGAGCCACTCACTCTTTCAAAAATGTATTTGGCAAATCACTCAACCACTAAATCACTCACACTGTCTCTTAACTATAACACTCACTTAACCACCCACCAATACACTCATTGTGTCAATTAACCACCATCTCAGCCACTCACCTGTTCACTCACTATATCACTCACGTAATTATGTAGGTCCATCTAAAAAAAATTCTCAACCATGTAATCATTCAATTAACCATTCTCCCACTTGCTCATTCGCTCACTCACCCCTCAATCACTGACTTGCTCAACCCAATTCATTCAACGTGTCATACACACACATTCACTCTTTCCCCATCCCCTCACTATATAGTGTGTGTGGGGGTAGTGCAACAGCACACTGCGCAAAGAACCCAACGACCCGAGTTCGATTCCCGCTCACGACCAACACCAGTGATGACTGTGAACCATTCCTGGGCCTCACCATAGGTCGACTCAGCCTCAAATGAGTACCTGGTGTGGTATGTAAACATCGCCACTGGGGAGACAAGGACGTGGTGCTGGCCACCCACCCCCTCGTGTTCTGTGCCAGCCTTCATAGGTGCCTGCTATAACAGCAGTCTGTTAAGGCTATACGGGGGATCTTTGTCTTGTCCTTGCCTTTGTGGTGCAGGGAGTCGGTGCCGAAGAGCTGTTCCATGTCACGGTGATGCCGTGCTACGACAGGAAGCTGGAGGCCACTCGGCCAGAGTTCCGGCACGCGACTGGGGAGACCCCACACGTGGACTGTGTACTCACCACCGGTAACACTCCCCATGCGCTGTGCTTCCTTAATAGGTGCTCACTAAAACCACTTGTCCGAACAGTCTGTTGAGGGCTACATGAGAGAGTTTAGTCTTTTTATCTGGGAATGTGTCTGTGTGTGTCTTTAACTCAGGTGAGCTGGTTTCCATGCTGGATGCAGAAGGGAAGTCACTGGCGGAGGTCGAGCCAGGTCCCCTAGATACTCTGTGAGGACAGCCAGCTCTCACCCGCTCGCTCACCCACTCGCTCACCCAGCCACTCGCTCCCCAACACGCTCACCCAGCCACTCGCTCCCCTACTCGCTCACCCAGCCACTCGCTCCCCCACTCGCTCACCCAGCCACTCGCTCCCCAACTCGCTCACCTAGCCACTCGCTCCCCCACTCGCTCACCCAGCCACTCGTTCCCCAACTCGCTCACCCAGCCACTCGCTCCCCTACTCGCTCACCCAGCCACTCGCTCCCCAACTCGCTCACGCAGCCACTCGCTCAACCTTTACCTACTGACTCATTCACACTCACTCAACCACGCACACACCCACATCACAATCACTTCCTCATTAATATGCTCACTCAATTACTCACTCACCCACCACTGAACCTTTTACTGACCCACGCCCCCACCCCACTCATGCTTGACTCTTTTTCAGGAGGGTCTTGCCAAATTTTTGCAGTAGGTGCCAATGATTGGTGCTGTTGTTGCTGGTTGGGGCCGACTGAGTGCCTGTGTGCATTGTCTTGTGCGTCTGTTAAGGTTTGGGGAACAGTGGTGTAGTGGTTAGCGCTACACTGCGCTACGAACCTGGCGCCCCGAGTTCGATTCCCGCTCACGGCCAACACCATTGACGATTATCTGAACGAGTCCTATACATCACGCAATGAGTACATGGCGCGGTGTATAAACATCGCCACTGCAGAGATGAAGGCGGTTGGGCGCGGTGTTGGCCACCCACCCCCTTGTGTGCTGTGCCGGCCTTCATAAGTGCTACTCGCTAACAGCACTTGCCCCTACAGTCTGTTAAGGCTATAATGGGGGGGGGGGGGGGAATCTATGTCTTTAAGGTTTGGGGAGGAGGGTGCAGAAGGCCCTGGGCAGGAACGGCTGTGGGGGCCTGGGCGGCCAGGGGGCCCTGATGGCGCCGTGGGCTGCTACCTGGAGGCCGTGCTGAGGCACGCAGCGCACGAGCTCTTCGGGGTCGACGTGAAAGAGGTGACCTACAGCACGCTGCGGTGAGTGAGCGCGAGCGGTACCGTGGGTGGTGCCGTGGGTGGAGCCGCGGGCGTTGCAGTGGGTGCCGCGAGTGGTGCCATGGGTGCCGTGGGCGGTGCCGAGGGCGGTGCCGAGGGTGGTGCCGTGGGCGAGAGTGCGAGGGCAAGTGTTTGTGCGACAGTGACGTCGCAAGGTTGTGTGGTGTGAATGTTGGATACGCGTGGAGCTCGGCGGTGGTGGTTATGCACAGGGTGGCGAGATTACCTCGCCTGGTATACAGGAGTATGTTTGTATGTATGTTGAACTTCTTTCGCACCGTGCGTAGCCAACCGTGCTAATCGGAGGTGTGGAGGAAGGACAAAACAAAAAAAGCAGTATTAAAGAAATAAGTTATATTTATCTAAATATACAGAAGACCCTTACACCTGTATATTTAGAGTTTGCATGTCTCTTCCAGGCCCTCCAGTTATTCCCTCCACGTTTATGCTACTTGTAATTACCGGCGAAACGTCACGATACTCGAATTGTAAATATTGTGGGTTTACTCTCCAACACACCGGTGTGCTAAACTAGTAACGAATTGGCACGTTTTGTTTACGTGACAAACCCTTACTGGTTGGGTGTGTCGGGGTGGTGGCGGGTTTATCGACACATTTACGAGATATAACCCCCAAAAACAAACCTCCATTATAGTTGTTAAGAGTACTGCTGCCACCGCTACGCGTGTCGAGTCCCCCCGTGCCGTGTCGCGCAGCAACAAGGACATGTGGGAGGCACACGTGGAGCGGGACGGCGAGGTGTTGCTGCGGTTCGCCGGCGCGTGCGGCCTGCGCAACGTGCAGAACGTCGTGGCCAAGCTGCGCCGTGGCCGCCTGCTGTACCACTTTGTGGAGATCTCCGCATGCCCCTCCGGTGAGTCTTGGGGGGGGGTGTGTCACTTCGTCAGTCGTGAGTAATCAGCTGCTGGATGAAGGCCTTCCCCACCTCCACCAAGCTGTAATTTTCACCGTCGTTAATTTGAACATCAGGCGAGAAGACTCTGCCATTTCCTCCCAGGCCACGGTGTGATTGCGAGCATGAGCAGCTGTATGTATAGGGTGCTTAGGATTCCCCGGCGTCTCAAAGCTGCCGAAAAGGAAACCTTTCTGGATCACAATGCCCCTCGACACTTTCAAACTAAACATTTTTTTTTATTTTACCAGGTAAGGCCCACTGAGCTATATAGCTCTTTTTCAGACGCGACCTGGCTATCACAAATGATAGCCCAATGAAGTGGCTTATGTGGAAATTTATAGCAGCCGAAAACTCTAAACGCATGTTGATTCTCAATGTCGAGTGGAAAAAACGGAGGACCCAGAGAAAAATCCACGCGACCACAGGGAAAACATGCAAACTCCAAATATGCAGCAGGCGTCAGGGTCGGGATTGAACCCATACCCTCCTGTACACCAGGCGAGGCAATTAACATCTCGCCATTACGGCGCTCAACAGCTGGGGAAGACGTCTACAATCAGGGCTGCAGAGCACAAGCTCAAAAGCCCAAAACGCCAAGCGGCCAGAAATAAGTGGCACCAAATTAAGTTGATAGATTTCGAATTACGGCGTTTATTTAATCGAGCGAGGTTTTTAAGTACTCAGAAAGAGAGACAGTGGAGCAGCGTGACACTCGGGACTGGTTTTGTCTTGCCAGGCTGCCTGAATGGACCGGGTCAGCCCAGCGATCAGGCCGGAGGTCAGCCCGGCGGTCAGCCCGGTGGTGGCAACCTGGCCGCGGCACAGGAAGCGTACCGCGCGGCCACTCCTCGTGACCCCCCTGACCTACGGGAGGTCGGCTCGGATTGGCTGGGAGAGGCCGACTCCGGGAGAGCTCTGAGAGAGCTGGTCACCACCACTTTCCAAACGCGCGCGACGGGGGACGCGGAGCAGGGCCACCAGTGGTGACGGGGGTCGAGGTTGGGGACGACGCACACTAGTGTAGCGGAAGGGGCCTCCCCTCCCACCAGAGGGAGCTCTTGAAGAGCCCCTCCAGACGGTGTTGTTTTGCCCTCCTCTTCTGCGCTGGCTCAGGAATACTCGCGGATCACCCCCCCCACTGCCGATCGACTGTGGGTGTGCCCATTCGTACTGCCGGGCTGACTGGTGGTGGTGGTGGGGGGGCGGCAGCGGAGATATTAACAAAACTTGCGCCGTCGTTTCAACTGCGGAGCTGGGGGATCAAACCGAACCGACCTCTGAACCGGCGACCTCTAAAATCAGGTGTGCCGCTAAACCGCCACACCACAGTGGCAGCTCGTACGTACGTGTTCGTTAATAAAGCATGCACTGATTGGAACTTGTGCCGGTGAGATGTTTTGCACTATTTAACTATAAACTATGTTTTTATTTTACCAGGTAAGGCCCGCTTAGCTGTATAGCTTTTTCAGAAACGACCTGGCTGTCACAAGTGATGGCTCTCAACGAAGTGGCTTATCAGGTGGAAATTTATAGCATTAGCCAAATACTCTAAACGCGTGACATCGATTTTAAATGAGGGAAAAACCTGGAGAAAATTCCACGCGACCACGGGGAGAGAGACGCGCAACGGGAGCTGTGCGGCCCACTTCAACGTGCGCCCTCGGCCTGGCGAGGCTACCGTGGGGGTCCCGGGCCGAGCCCACTCGCCACTTTGCAAACTGGTGGTCGTGTGAACTTGGTATCTTTGTCAAGGGGAAAGCCTCAGTTTGAACAAGACGGCCAGCGGAGTTCACCGCCGGTACTTAGCCCGAAGCTATCAAACTTTTCCCGGGTTTGGAGCGAGACGGTCCCGTTGGTGTAAGAAAATTATCTTCCCACCCCCGGTGTCTCCGGTCACGATTGTAAAAATCAGCATTTCATCCCTGGTTTAAATATTCCAACCGCATGCTTCACTTGTGCGGGAGGAATGGTGGGGATTCCCGAGTAGTGGGGTGGAGTCATGGTTCTGAACGTGCCAGGAGGCAACTTGCTGTGTGCGGGCAGGGATGGTGGATGGGTGGGCATGGTTATGTAAAAGTGGGCGGAGTTGGCACGAAGAGAGGGGTGGCCAACTCGCTGTGTGGGGCATCGTGGTGGCAAAATGTTAACTCTCTTGCCCGGTATGCAGAATGTCGTGGGTTAAATCCCGACCCCGACGCCTGCTGTATATTTGGATTTTGCGTGTTCTCCCCATTGTCGTGCGCATTTTTCTCCGGGTTACCTGGTCTTTCCCTCCACATTTAGAAACATGAGTTTAGATTTTTCGCCTGTGATGGTAAGCCACTTCGTTGAGCTATCTGAAAAAGAGCTATATAGCTCAGTGGGGCCTTACCTAATAAAGAAAAAATAGTGAATGTGTCCCGGTTGAGTCCCCAGAAAGTAGCTTCGCTGCCCTGACAGCAGCCAAACACAGACACCGAAGCGGACGCACCAAGATCTGCAAGAGCCGTTTATTGTCGACTAGCTGTAAATATGAAATATTCAATAGAAAAATTGTTCAGCTCATGATTATTAATGAGGGGAGGGGTGCGGAATGTGCAGTGACATCACGCACAGGATGTAGCACTGTGCTGCGTAGATTTCTTTTCACTTTCTGTAAAGAAACGTCATATTTGAAGCGACTTTGCGTAATAAATTATTTAATTCAGCTCGACCTTCCTCTGCGTTAGTGTAAAAATCCACCCACTCATGAATATAAATGAGGGGGGGGGGGGGTGGGCCTCATGTGGAGTGACATCACGAGCGGGACGGACAGACATTTCTGGGTGATTATAGTAGGTCATTGCGAGTGGCGCTGGGGGCAGGTGGCGCCGCGTGACTTGTGTGCGCCGTTGCCGCCGCCGCAGCGGCGCTAGCAGCCGACCTCCCGCGCCGGGGCGCAGTAGCTGATCTGCACGTGCCCGGACTCGTTCCACGGCGCCACGAAGCCCTCGAGAGACACCGGCTGCACCAGGAACTCGAGCAGAGCCTCTCCGGGGCCCACGTGGGACGGCACCAGCAGCTCGTGCAAACGGTACACGTTGGTGAACGCCTCGCCCAGCAGTGCTGGCTCGGCCGTTCCTTCGTCGAGAGTGGTGGTCGTGGTGGCGGCGGCGGCGGTGCCGCCGTGAGCCGTCGGCAGGGTTCTCCAGGAGACGCGGAAGCACGCGAGGTGGCGCGACGGGTAGGACCAGCGCAGCGTGGCGCTGAGCAGGAGGGAGGCCGGGGTGGCGCCGCTCGTCCAGGTCACGTCCCACAGCCCCACGTCGCCGAACGCCTCCCAGCCCCGCGCCAGCGCGCTCGCGTCAAACATCTGTCGACGGGCACAGGCAGCACAGGCAGCACTGGCTGTCAAACCTCCCACACCTTAGCCGTCGTTGAAAGCCGATCGCTAGGTCTCCCCCACGGCCACGTGAAGCCAACCCGGGGCTTAAGTTTCTCACTGAATATTCTCCCGGGTCCGCCGTTCAACTGGGGTAGGTGGCACGTTACGTGTAGCCAAAGCCATGGCTAGAGAGATCCTACGTGTGGTATGGCCCGCGCCTCGCGATATTTTATCCATCGCCGCTGGCACCTTAGCCAGACTAATCGGGCACGAGATGGGGTAAATATTTCGTGTGCTCTATATACTAAAACTTTTTATTTTACCAGATAAGCCGCAGTGAGCTATAACGGTATTTTTCAGATGCAACCTGGCCACAAATTATAGCTCAACGAAGTGGCTTATTCACGTGGAAATTTAGAGCCGCCAAATACTCTAAATGCATGTTTCTAAATGTAAAGGGAAAAACCGGAGAACCAGGAGAAAAATCCACGCAACAACAGGGAGCACACTCAAACTCCAAATATACAGCAGGAGTCGCGGTCGGGATCGAACCCACTACCTCCTGCATACCAGGCGAGGCAGTTAACATCTCGCCACCGTGGTGCCCTCAGTCGCCGCGAGGGCAACGAGTCGAATGCTTCCGGCGTGAACAAGGCTCGTGGCGAGCGAGGGTAAGCCCGCGGGCACCTGCAGGAGGCCCAGGTGGCACTGGAAGGACACGGGGCCCGACACGCCGGGGGCCTTCTCCACCGTGACGAACACATCCTGCAGCATGCAGTCACGCAGCTCCAGCAGGTAGCACCTGCACGCGCACAAAACACAAACGGCCCCCCACCCACCGATAGCCTTAAGCGACTGCTGTTAGCGAGTAGCAGCGCCTACGAAGGCCGGGCACGGTGCACGAGGGGATAGGTGGGTGGCCGGCACCACGCCCAGCTGCCTTTGTTTATCTAATGGCGATGTTTACACATGGCATCATTTGAGGCCGAGTCGACCTCGGGAAGGCCCAGGTTTGGTTCAGATTATCGTCACTGGTGTTGGCCGTCAGCGGAAATTGAACTCGGGCCACCGGGTTCGTAGCGCAGTGCGCGAACCACTACACGACCGCTCCCCACCAGCACACGCATGCACACGCATGGGGAAAAGAGTGGGTTTACAACTGTGCGAGTCTACACGTGTGCGACCCTGTGAGTCCACAAGTGTTTGTCCACGTGAGCTTATGCGTGTGAGTTTGTGTGTGTGTGAATCTATACTTGTGTGTAAGCAGCGGTGGTGCAGTGGTTAGCTACAAAACGGCCGACCCAGGTTCGATTCCCATCCACAGCCAAAAGTGACGAATACGTGAACTGCTCCGAGGCATCCCCTAGGTCGACTCAGCCTTAAATGAGTACCTCGTCAGCACTGGGAAGACAAAGGCAGCCAGGCGTGGTGCTGGCCGCACAACCCCCTCCTTCACAGGTGCTCGCTAACTGCACTTGCCCCAACAGTCTGTCAAGGCTATACGTGGATCTTTGTATCTTTGTTGCGAGTCAGACCTGTGAGTCCAGCTCTGGTGGGGCAGCCCCCCACACTGCTGCCTCAGCCGAGACGAGACCGCGTCGCCAATCGGCAGAGCGGTCGGGCGGTGCGTGGTGACCGGTGCTGTACACACACGCACGCACACACACGTACACGGTACAGCTTTACACATACAGCCAAGGACAAAGATCCCCCTTGGAGCCTTGACAGACTATTGGGGCAATGGCTGTGGCAGTACACACTAATATACACACGTGCGTATGTTAACCACACCATTCCTGTCAACCTATTATCTTTTTATAGACCAATCCAGACCTTATTGGTCACGCCGTGCCCCTTATACATCTCAACGTTCATCCTACAAAGTCTCATCATAAGGGAGAAACACAAACAAATGGACTATTATTTTTCCCGTATTGAAACGGCTGTACGCCGTATGGATCCGAAAACTAAATTTATTCGTACAAGAATACGGGGTAAACCATATGGGTTGACACGGTATGCCACACGCGTATACATAAATTAACCTTGGCTGCACACACGTACTCGCTTGATAGTCACAGGTCCACGTGCTCGCACACATGGGCGTGTGTATATGTGTGCGCATCAGTACACGTGGCGAGCGATAGTGTAGCGGTTAGCACGCTGCGCTACGAACCTGGGGACCCGAGTTCGAATCCTGCTCATGACCAACATCAGTGATGTCAGTGATGTTGGTCATGGGCCTCCCCCAGGTCGACTCAGCCTCAAACGAGTACCTTGTGCGATGTGTAAACATCACCACTAGGGTGGATCTTTGTCTTTGTGCGTCAGCCAATTTAAGTTGGTCAAACCATGGAACCTGGGACCTCCTGCCAGCGAGCCCTCGACACTTGACGTGGCAGCCTCATGGTGCACCTAGCCTGGCGCAAACGCCGTGGTGACGTCGCCGCCAACTCGGCGGCGAACGGCGGTCGTCGTGGTGGTGCGTGCGTCACCGTGCAGCACGGACACGTTGCTGAACGTGCACTTGGTGCTGTCCATGGTGGTGAGCTCGAGGCCCAGCCTCACCGGCTCCCCCGCCGCACCCCCGCCAGCCTCTTCGCTGCTGCCCCCCCCTTCCCTGGCCCCGCCGCCGCTGCCGCCCCCAACTCGGTACACGTAGGAGAGCAGCAGAGTGGGCGGAGAATGCACCATCACGCTCAGCAGCCTGCTCGGGGGGGTGGGGGTGGGGTCACAGGGGTGGAGTGGGGGTCACGGTGGTGTCATCACCTTGCTGATCTCGTCAAGGAGAATAAAGCGGCGCGCCAGCTCCGGTCATCCTCGCAGCGGCGGCTTTTGGCTAGCGTCCAACGTCAACGGTCAACCGCATCGTGCGCTTTCAGGGGCTCTTCTGCGGCCATCTGGAATGCTCTGCTTGACATCTTCCCATATTAGGAAGCTCACCCCTTTCGGCGTCTCTCCCCGAGCCTCCTCCCTGAGCCTCCTCCCCCCCCCCCCCCACCATGTCTCACCGCACGGCGAGCCGGGCCTTGTCAGGAGCAAGCAACCCCTGCACCAGCAGGCAGCCGCCCCCCTCGAACGCCACGTCCGTCACGCTGCGCAGGTACACGTGGCTCTCCAGCGTGGACGCCACCGCGGCCCCCACCGCGGTCGCCTCCGCGGCACCCCCGGGAGCGCCCTCGGGGTTGAGCTGTCTGGTGTCCGTGTAGATCGGCTGCAGGTTCTGGGCGCTCAGGTTGTGCCACGGCCCTGCCCGGCACACCTGGGGCGGGCGACAACGACCGAGACGCGCAAAGGTCCGGTCTCAAGCCGGTCTCGTTTCGTCCAGGCGGGAGCGTCCCAACGGACCGGGAGAGAGTCTCACACGTGGCTTAGTGGTTGTCGTCCTTCTCCCCGCACCTCCGATTAGCCACGGTTGGCCACGTACGGTGCCAAAGAAGTTCAAGGTACGCACGTACATACAGAGAACCTGGGTCACCGGCCACATCGAGAACATCTTCCAATCGCATCTAACCGCCCACGTTATTAATCACATCGTCACACCACTGATCACCCCCGACAGCCACAACATCAACGTGTTCCATCTGTTTGTCACAGAGCGTTTCCCCCTCGCACGAGTGGGTTTCCTCCTGCCGCGTGTATAAACACTCATTAATTGGCCGACAACAACTTCACATTTAGAGGGGCCGCAGAGCTTGGGCGATTGTCGGTAGCGCCGGCTCGGCGCATGGCTCCTGCTGCTGCCGCCGCCACCTTCCCGTTTGTCTGTGGTACCAACTCCACGCTCCTCCGAGCGAGCGAGCGAGCGGACCACTGTGTCACAGCGTTGCAAGTTGAATATTGTTATCAACGATATTATTATCAACTAGCTATCAAGTCCCACCACATCACGAACCGCACACGAGCTACCACCAGCTGTCCACCACCCCCAGTGCCCCCCCCCCCACACGTGTCCCCCCCGTGCCCCCCCCCACCCGTGCCCCCCCCCCCCCCCCCACACCTTGCCGCGCCGGTAGAGGTTGCGTCCCTGCCCCCGGCAGAAGCTGGTGGAGATGGGGAGGGCGGAGACGCTGTGTGGGTTTGTGTGCTCCACCATGGCGCTCCAGAACCTGACACACATGCGCACACACATATATAAAGACAAATATCCCCCGTATAGCCTTTAACAGAATGTTGGGGCAAGTGCTGTTAGCGAGCAGCACCTATGAAGGCCGGCACGAGGAGGTGGGTGGCCAACGCCACGTCTGTCCGCCTCTGTCTCCCTAGCGGAAATGTTTGAACATCGCACCAGGTACTTATTTGAGGCCGAGTCGACCCACAGATACACACACAGATCTGTGGGATCCACCAACCTTTGCTTCAACGAAGCTGGATCACAGGTGTTTAACCACGCACCCGGCTCCGTGTCTTTCCATGTCTCTCCGTGTCTCCGTGCCCCTCCGTGTCTCGTTACCCCCATGGTGCTCGTCGTGGTGAAACCCTGGCCGCTTGTGTCTCCGCCGCATTCCCCTCCCATTGTCAACGTTCCCCCCCCACTGTCTGCCTGTGTCGCCTGGTCCCCTGTCTCCCTGTGTCTCCCCACGTCCCCGTGTCTCCACACCGGTGCTGGTGGTTGTGAAAGTCCGGCCGCTCGTGTCTCTCGTAGACCCAGCCCGGGGCGAAGATGGCGGCGGAGAGACGCAGATTCCAGATCTCCTGCATGGACTGAGAACATCGTCACCATCGTTATCATCACCACCGTCATCGTCATCACCGTCATCGTCATCACCGTCATCGTCATCACCGTCATCATGCAGGGTGGTAACGCTCGTGCCTCACTTTGAGTTTGGTATAAGTTCAATTCTCGACTCGGGTGTATTTCTTTGTGGCGTTTGTGTGTTCTCCCCAAGTTCTGCAGAGTGTGTAGAGTTTGTGTGTTCTCCCCCTGTTCTGCACGGGTTCCCTCTGGGTTCTCCACACACACACACAAGATGTAACTGGTATTGGCCAAATGATCCCAATGCTGACAAATTCCCTGCAAATGATTTAATTGGGATCACACACAGCAGCAACATCGCACCCTACTGCGTAAAAAAAAACTTGGCAGGACCCTCCTGAATAAGAATCTTGAGACTCAGCGAGACAATTCTGGGTAAACGAACGCAGAAATAATAATAATAACAACAAAGACGTCACCACATTGCGTGGTTGATTTCAGATGCGCAACTGGGGCTGTCTGTAATGCTCTTCTGATATTAGGAATCCATTGGAGCTATGCGCTCTTAAATCATCTAGACCAGGGGTCACCAAACTTTTTTCACTGTGGGCCGGATAACTGAAAGAATGACGAGCGTGGGCCGCATAATAAATAAATATTTCTGGAGCGTCGGACCTGTGTTGACAGCTGGAAAATCTTGGGGGGTGGGAAAGATGCGTGTTTGTGTGTGTTGCCATGGAAACCATGGTAACGTCAGAGCGTAGGCGGAGCTACCACGAGCCGGGGAAGCACTTGGGATGGCGCAAAATAAGCAAACATTACGATAAACAAGAAAACCTAGATACAATAATTTAAAATTTAAAATAGAAAATTTAAGGGACATAGCAGTCAGGAGGTCTCCGCACACGTGAAGATCTCCTAGTATTCTAAACATAATATTTAAATTGTATCACAACGTCTCGTGTTCCATACGTTTTATCAACCAAATTCAAGTACCGTCGGCGGGCCTGATGGACTGACGTCGCGGGCCGTAGTTTGGTGACCCCTGATCTAGACTGACAAACTCGTTTCTTTCAGAACTGCTTTTTGTGTTTAGTTTGTTGTCCTTCCCCCGCACCTCCGATTAACACGGTTTGCTATGCACGCTGGACAAAATAATTCAAAATATAAACTACTATACACTACACACTACACTAAAATACACGACACACTGTACACTACACACTTTACTACTATACACTACACTACTATATACTACGCTACTATACGCTCCGATTAACACAGTTGGCTCTGTACGTTGCAAAATAAATGTAACATTTCGATTTAAAGCTTTCGTGACTGCAAGGATTCATCTTCTTTGGTTCTTTCGGTAAAGTCACGTAGAATGAGAATAAAATAATAAATTAATAAAATAAAATAACACAATAAAATTCTCATGACGTTTCGGCCACAACACAAGTGGCCTTCATCAGGTGAAGCGCTGTCCTCCAGACAGTCTCGTCCCTTCACCTGATGAAAGCCACTTGTGTTGTGGCCGAAACGTCGTGAGAATATTATTGTGTTATTTTATTTGATCAATTTATTATTTTATTCTCATTCTACGTGACTTTACCGAAAGAACCAAAGAAAATGTAACATACATACAAACTGCTATACACTATACACTACACCACAATACAGCACACTATACACTTCACTACTACAATAGACTATACACTGCACTACTATACACTCCGATTAGCATGGTTGGCCATGTTCGTTGCGAAATAAACTACTATACATTACGCACTACTAGGCACGACACTGCACACTACACTACTATACACTACAATTTACACTACACTACTATATACTGTGATCAGCACGTTTGGCTGGGAAATGGTACGATTAGCTTGCTGCGCTATGAACCTGGCGACCCGAGTTCGATTCCCGCTTACGGCCAACACCAGTGACGATTATCTGAACCAGGTTCTGGGCCTCCCCTAGGTCGACTCAGCCTCAAATGAGTACCTGGTGCGGTGTGTAAACATCGCCATTGGGGAGACAAAGGCGGCCGGGCGCGGTGTTGGCCACCCACCCCCTCGTGTGCCGTGCCGGCCTTCATAGGCGCTCGCTAACAGCACTTGTGTCTGTGTGTGTCTGTGTGCGTGTCTGCGTGCGTGTCTGCGTGCGTGCGGTCACTATTCTGGCGGCGTAGCCCTCTCGCCCGGGCAGCCCCCGGCCGAACACGTCCACCCCGGCGTAGACATCGGCGCGCCGCGACCCGGCGAGCTCAGCGCTGCGGACCAGCCCCTCGGAGGTCCACGCGTAGTTGAGGAAGATCCCGTCGCTCGCGTCGAAGAATGGCCTGGGGAGCCGGGGACGGAGCGGAGGTGGTGGCAGAGGGGGTGGCGGATAGAGCGAATCAGAGGGGCTACGTACGGTGTGAAAGAAGTTCAACGTACATACAGGTGCCGTTAGCGAGCGGCACCTACGAAGGATCGGCGCGGCACGCGAGGGGGTGGGTGGCCAGCAGCACCACGCCCGGCAGCCTTTGCCTCCCCAGTGGCGACATTTACTAAACACCGCACCAGGTGCTCAGAATCTTTATTTAGAATCAGAATCTTTGTTTAGACTGTAGGATGAATTGCTCTTTGTCACAGATGTCCTGGAGGGGCACAGGGGGTCAGCAAAAGGGGTCAGCAAGTTACAACGACAAAAATACAGAATCAGAATCTTTATGTCGACTGGAGGAATCGGATTCTTGCAGTCTCAATTGCCGCTGCGGGCACACTACCCGAACTCGGGCCAACCCTGTGTGTGTGTGTGTCTCGAGGAAGGGGTGGAACCTAAACAGATAAGAGGTGTGGCCTGATCAGGAAGGGGGCGGGGCCCAAGAAGTAAGGGGGCGGGGCACAAAGAGGAAGCAGGCGGGGCTTAGTAAGGTTGACTTTCCCTGTTGAGCTAAGGTCACGGACGCGTAAAATCAACCACGGGCAGCAGTAGCAGCAGCGTAGCATTAGTGCCGCAGACGCGACCACTGGTGAACGAGTTATGATTATTGCTGCTGCTGCGCACGTTCACCTAGGAAAGCTTCGGAAACTCGTGACGCTTTTTCAGGAGGGTCATCGCGTGCTCCCCCATCATCTCCCCGCGTGTGCCCGCGTGTGCCCGCGTGCCCCCATCTCCCCGTGTGCCCCCCGGCATGCCCCCCACGTTCCCACGTGCTCACCCCGCTTGCCCCACCCCCACACCCCCCCCATCATCTCACCGGTTTTTGTCGTTGAGTTCATTCTGCCAGTCCAGGCGGCCGCTCGCGACGACGCTGTCGTACCAGAGCACCATCGCGCGGGGCGACGCTGCGCGCAGCAGCTCCCGCAGGTAGCGCAAGAACCCCAGCAGCACCGCCACCTTCTCCGGCTAGGCGGGGCGCGCCGGGTGACGCACACACACGGGGTACACACGGCACACGTGGCACCCTGAGGAGTTCACGCGCCCGGCGCCTGTTGCGCCGCCGGTTGAGCTGCTGTCCTTTGTTGCCATTCCAACGGTGCTGCTCTGTGCAGTATCATCATTCAGGCGATTACCGATACCCCCGATGAGGCCCTCCTCGTACATCGCTTATAGGCAATAATAAATAGCGGTTTGGAACGCTATCCCCATTGGAACCATGTTGTAGTGACCTCCTATAGCACCGTTTCCTACAGCACTGTGGGTAACACATCTCCATAGCAACCATGTTAAAGTGTTAAACTGACCTATAGCGCTGTTTCCTATAGCGCTGTTTCCTATAGCGCTGTAGGTTACGAATCTCCATGGAAGCCATATTATAGCGACCTCCTATAGCGGTGTTTCCTAGAGCGCTGTTGGTAACACATCTCCACAGGAACCAGGTTATAGTGACCTCCTATAGCGCTGTCTCGTACAGCGCCATAGGAGAAGAACGCATCCTGAGCGCTATCGGAGTTACGCCTCTATACAAAAATGTTAATATGCCGTGTCTCGGCATGCCGCAATGGCCGAAGGCGCGACGCGGCGACGGATGATCCCCGGAGGGGGACGAAGATGAGACGGGCGCGAGCGCGGCGAGGGAGACGCGATGATGTCTGCGGCGAGAGGTGAGGGAGACGACGAGGGGGGGGTGGGGGGGTAGTCAGGGCTGCTCACCTGGACGTTGTTCTCGATGTTGATGAACCAGCCGTCGAGCTGGTAGAACGTGGAGATGCGCACCAGCTGGTTGGCCAGGGCCCGCGCGGACTCTTCGCCCTGCAGGAAACGGTCGCACACCTCCTCCCCGCCGCGCCACTCCGTGATGAACGTCCCTGGTCACTCGCACGGCGAGCACAGCAAAAGATAAAAGATCCTCCGTAAAGCCCTTAACAGACCGTTCAGGGAAAGTGCGGTTAGCGAGTCGCACCTATGAAGGCCGACGCGGCTCACGAGGGGGTGGGTGGCCGGCACCACGCCCGGCCGCCTTTGTCTCCCCCTGTAGCGATGTTTACACAGGTGCTGCTGGGTGGGGGTGGGCATGGTGTTGGTGGTGCGGTGTTGGTGGTGCGGTGTTGGTGATGCGGTGGTGGAGCGATGGTGGTGGAGTGGTGGTACCGGTGGTGGAGCGGTGGTGGTGGTGGCGGTGCAGTGGTGGAGCGGTGGATGTGGTGGCGGTGGTGGAGTGATGGTGCAGTGGTGGTGGTGGAGTGGTCGTGAAGGGGGTGGAGCGATGGCGCGTTGGTCGAGCGGTGATGGAACGGTGGTGGTGGTGGTGATGGCGGCGGCGGTGCCCCGCGTACCCACCCAAGATGGGCACGGCGTGGCGGTGTGCCGCGTTCACCCAGCCCACGGGCGGCACCGTCACCGTGTGGTGGCTGAAGTAGATGAACACGTCCACGTGGGCCCAGTGGTAGAACGAGTACGGCTCGTCTGAGCACACGCCCTGCACGAACCTGCACCACCACCACAACCACCTCAATCACCACCATCACCTCAACCACCACAACCACCACAACTCCCGCCACAACCATCTCAACCCACACAGAATGAGCACACGCCCTGCACGAACCTGCACCACAAACACCACAGCCACGAACCAACTCCACACAGCCACACAGCAAACCACAACACTTGTTATTATTACTGTATTGTCATTCCGTTCGCTCACCCGGGGTTAATGCTAAGTCAACACTTCAGTGGGCTTTGCCTGGTAGTATGAGGATGGTTTAGTGTTGTTTTTGTTTGGGGTGATTTTTTTACCTTTCTTGTACTTTGCACATCTGTCGTGTGTGTGTGTACTGTTTGTTGTAACGTTCTTACCCAGTGCCCCTACTGGAGATCTGTCACAAAAGAGCTTTATAGCTCATCGGATTTCTCCTGCAGTCTAAATAAAGATTCTGATTCTGAAAGCCTCGGCAAGACTCTTTGTCAGGAGGGTCCTGCCAAGTTTTCGCAGTAGGGAGGGACGTTGCTATTAAAACTAAAATATTAAACTATCATTTTATATTTTACCAGGTAAGGCCCCACTGAAGCGACCTGAACACAGAGTATAGCTCAACGAAGTGGCTTATCATCATGTGGACATTCATCGCAGGCAAATACTCGAAACGCACGTTGATTATAAATGTGGAGGGGAAAAACCGGCAGACCCAAAGAAAAATCCACGCAACCACAGGGAGAACATGCAATCTTCAAATATACAGGCGTATATACAGGCGTCAAGTGTCGGGATCGAACCTACGACCTCCTGCATACCAGGCGAGGGAGTTGACATCTCGCCAACGCTACGTGTGAACCCAATTGAGCGATTTGCAGATGATTTCATTTGGCCAATACCAGCGACATTGTGTGTTTGTGTGTTTAGCTACGAGAGGAAACCAGAAAATCCGGAGGAAGCCCATGCAGAATAGATGGAGAACACACAAACTCTACTCACTGTTACACACTGCAGAATAGATGGAGAACACACAAACTCTACTCACTGTTACACACTGCAGAACAGAGAGCGAACACACAAACTCTACTCACTGTTACACAATGCAGAACAGAGTGAGAATACACAAACTCTACGCACTGTCACACACAATGCAGGACAGGGGGAGAACACACAGACTCCAATCACTGTTACACAATGCAGAACAGGGTGAGAACACACAAACTCTACACACACTGCAGAACAGGAGAACACACAAACTCTACACACTCTGCAGAACAGGGTGAGAACACACAAACTCTACACACACTGCAGAACAGGGGGAGAACACACAAACTCTACATACACTCCAGAACAGGAGAACACACAAACTCTACTCACTGTTACACAATGCAGAACAGGGTGAGAACACACAAACTCTACACACTCTGCAGAACAGGGGGAGAACACACAAACTACACTCTGCAGAACAGGGTGAGAACACACAAACTACACACTCTGCAGAACAGGGTGAGAACACACAAACTACACTCTGCAGAACAGGGTGAGAACACACAAACTACACTCTGCAGAACAGGGGGAGAACACACAAACTACACTCTGCAGAACAGGGGGAGAACACACAAACTCTACACACTGCAGAACAGGGTGAGAACACACAAACTCTACACACTGCAGAACAGGGTGAGAACACACAAACTGTACACACACTGCAGAACAGGGGGAGAACACAGAAACTCTACACACCGTGCAGAACAGGGTGAGAACACACAAACTCTACACACTGCAGAACAGGGTGAGAACACACAAACTCTACACACTGCAGAACAGGGTGAGAACACACAAACTACACTCTGCAGAACAGGGGGAGAACACAGAAACTCTACTCACTCTTACACAATGCAGGACAGGGGGAGAACACAGAAACTCTACACACACTGCAGAACAGGGGGAGAACACAAACTCTACACACTGCAGATCAGGGTGAGAACACACAAACTCTACACACCGTGCAGAACAGGGGGAGAACACAGAAACTCTACACACCGTGCAGAACAGGGTGAGAACACACAAACTCTACACACTGCAGAACAGGGTGAGAACACACAAACTCTACACACTGCAGAACAGGGTGAGAACACACAAACTACACTCTGCAGAACAGGGGGAGAACACAAACTCTACACACCGTGCAGAACAGGGGGAGAACACACAAACTCTACTCACTCTTACACAATGCAGGACAGGGGGAGAACACAGAAACTCTACACACACTGCAGAACAGGGGGAGAACACAAACTCTACACACTGCAGATCAGGGTGAGAACACACAAACTCTACACACCGTGCAGAACAGGGTGAGAACACACAAACTCCACTCTGTAGAACAGGGGGAGAACACACAAACTCTACACACTCTGCAAAACTTGGGGAGAACACACAAACTCCACTCACTAACACCCCCCCCCCATCCCCCGGCGTGCCACCAGCACCACCACCAGCAGCACCAGCAGCACCAGCACCTATCGTCCAGGTAGCCCCCCATCATGTCGTGGCACACGAGGGTGCGGGGGGTGCCGCGGCCTTCGACGTCCCCCGGGGTGAAGCGGCGAGCTCCCGGCGCCATGGGCCGCTGGAACGCGGCCCAGTCGGGGCCCTTCCCGGCCTCCGTCCACGCGAGGACCTCGTCCAGGCCGTCCAAGGGAGCGCATTGAGGCTCCAGGTTGCCTTGGGGGGGGTGGTGGGGTGGGGGGCACGAGAGAGAGAGAGACACGCGGCACACGCCGTCAAGTATCTCCCTCCCGACACGAGCCCGCGTTTGTTTAAAAACGCTGTCGAGACGGTAACGGGGTTGGGTCCACATGTCTTGTGACCCCCTCCCCACCACCGCTCCATTTATTTATCTTAAACATGTGGGGGGGGGGGGGTTCAAAAGTTTATTTATTAAACATAAATTAATTTTCAAAGGTGAGAGAAATTAATAAAAGTTATGGGGTGGGGTGTCACGAGACATGTGGACCACGCTGTACAGTGCTTGCTCGGGACTCCCGGGCTGGTTCAGTACCGGGTGGGCCTGCCGATGGTGGCCGCGCTGCTGCTGCTGCTGCTCCTGCTGCGTCTCCCTCGCCCGGGACCCCTCTCCACCCGGGGTCCGCGGGGTCCGCGGGGTCCCCCTCAGGCCCCGCGGTGGTGGTGGTGGTGCTGCCGATTGACTCCGCCATGGATCGCCGCTCCGCTCCTCTCCAGCCGTCGTCCGCTTCCGCCCCCTTCCAGATGTCACCCCCCCCCCACCCCTCGTCACCCCCCCCCACCCCTCGTCACCCCCCCCCACCCCTCGTCACCCCCCCCCACCCCTCGTCACCCCCCCCCCACCCCTCGTCACCCCCCCCACCCACCCCTCGTCACCCACCCACCCCTCGTCACCCCCCCCCACCCACCCCTCGTCACCCCCCCCACCCACCCCTCGTCACCCCCCCCACCCACCCCTCGTCACCCCCCACCCCTCGTCACCCCCCCCCACCCACCCCTCGTCACCCCCCACCCCTCATCACCCCCCCCCACTCCTCGTCACCCCCCCCCACCCCTCGTCACCCTACCACTCACCACACTGCCTGTCACACAACAACACTCACCCACTCACCAACCCGCTCACTCTACCACTCACCACACTGCCTGTCACACAACAACACTCACCCACTCACCAACCCGCTCACCCTACCACTCACCACACTGCCTGTCACACAACAACACTCACCCACTCACCAACCCGCTCACCCTACCACTCACCACACTGCCTGTCACACAACAACACTCACCCACTCATCAACCCGCTCACCCTACCACTCACCACACTGCCTGTCACACAACAACACTCACCCACTCATCAACCCGCTCACCCTACCACTCACCACACTGCCTGTCACACAACAACACTCACCAACCCGCTCACCCTACCACTCACCACACTGCCTGTCACACAACAACACTCACCCACTCACCAACCCGCTCACCCTACCACTCACCACACTGCCTGTCACACAACAACACTCACCCACTCACCAACCCGCTCACCCTACCACTCACCACACTGCCTGTCACACAACAACACTCACCCACTCACCAACCCGCTCACCCTACCGCTCACTCTACATTGGGTCAAACTTAACATCTCTTAATGTTCGACGGCTTGTGCACCAGATCTTATTTATTCACGATGTACTTACAAAAAAATCCGTAGACTACCTGCTGCTGGATCTCCTCTCTGTTTCAAAGAACAAATTTGACCTCAGGTCTTCGCTCATTTACCAGCTTCACATTCCCTATTGCCATACAAAAACCGGAGGAAGGGCCTTTGCTATTGATGCCCCCAGGGTCTGGAATGCTATTGCCAATAAACTGCAACTTGAATCACTACCTATGAGATCTTCACTCAAAACTGCTCTAGAGGAGTTGTATAGCCCTAGCTGCCACTGCTATTCAGTGGCCTAAAATATGGCTCTAGATTTTGGTGTTATAACTTATTTATGTAGTTTATTGTTAAAAATTCGGGCACAGTCCCAATGATCACGGTTACATTGGATTTATGGCTTTTATTTTGGTGATTTCGAAAAGTTTTTGTTTTGGCCATGTTTTTGTTTATTGTAGTACGGAGTTAGACTGATGGCCTTAATCTTAGTTGTCTTGTGGTTGTTGTTGTTATTTGACTTGCATCCCACTGGGATTTTTGCACACAGCGTTGGTGTACGGTGCTATTTCAGGAATATTTTGATATTTTTTTCCTGTATTTTCTGTTTGCACAGTCACATAATCACTTTAAGATGTTTTCTTGTTCATGTTTTTGTGTTTTTTGTTTGTTGCGGTTGCACCCGATTCAAGAGCCGAATGGCTCACAGGGCTATACCAAATAAATGAACTATGAACCACACAGTAGGCTCACTCACTCCTCTCTCTCTGTGCCTCTTCCATCCCAACTGCTCCACTGCTGAATCTCCTCCTCCCATCATCATCATCATCGTCTCTGAGCCCGCAATCTCTCTCCACAACAACAACAACCAACAACAACCAACAACAACAACCAACAACAACCACCTGATCTATTACACCCACGGCTAGTTGCTGCGTGTTGCTGGCCGCTTGGCGGGGTTTTTTTTTTGGGCCAGCTACCGTTGACTTATTTAAATCATAGAGAGATGGCGGGTGAGGAGGGGGTGAAGAGTTGGGGGGGAGGAGGAGGGGTAGGGGGGTGAGGGTGAGGAGGAGTAGAGGGTGAGGAGGGATAGGGGGTGAGGAGAGGTAGGGGGGGTGAGGGTGAGGAGGGGTAGGGGGGTGAGGGGGTGAGGAGTAGAGGGTGAGGAGGGATAGGGGGTGAGGAGGGGTAGGGGGTGAGGGGTAAGGGGTGAGGAGAGGTAGGGGGGTGAGGGTGAGGAGGGGTAGGGGGGGTGAGGAGAGGAAAGAGGGGGTGGGGAGGGGGGTGAGAAGAGTAAGGGGGGGTGAGGAGAGTAGGGGGGAGGGGTAAGGGGTGAGGAGAGTAAAGGGGGGTGAGGAGGGGTAGGGGTGAGGAGGGGGGTGAGGAGAGTAAGGGGGGGGTGAGGAGGGGGGGTGAGGAGAGTAAGGGGGGGGGGGGGGGTGAGGAGGGGGTGACGTTTTCTCCGTCTCTGTTCCTCACCACAGGAGGGCGCCATCCGCCCTCGCGACCCCCCGACAGTCACCGGCCGAGCCCCCCCTGGTGGCCAAACAGCCGGGGGGGGGGGGGGCTCGTGGGGGGGGTAGTGAGGGGGGGCTCGTGAGTAAACGACAATGGGGGCACTGCTGCCTCTTCTGCTGCCTCTTCTGCTGCTGCTGCTGGTGGTGGGAAGCGAGGGGGCGAGGCCGAACTTCGTGCTGGTGGTGGCGGACGACCTCGGCTGGGGAGACGTGGGCTGGGCCCGTGCTGGCCGTGAAGGACGACGAGGAGGAGGAGGTGGCGGTGGAGAACGAGGTGGTGGTGGAGGTGGTGGAGAACGAGGTGGTGGCGGTGGAGGAGAGAGCGAGACTCCGAGCCTGGACGAGATGGCGAGGGACGGCATGCGGTGGGTGCACGGTGTGTGTGTGTGAGGAGCGGTGTGTGTGTGTGTGAGGAGCGGTTTGTGAGGAGCGGTGTGTGTGAGGTGTGTGAGGTGTGTGTGTGAGGAGCGGTGTGTGTGTGTGAGGAGCGGTGTGTGTGTGTGTGTGAGGAGCGGTGTGTGTGTGTGTGTGTGAGGAGCGGTGTGTGTGTGTGAGGAGCGGTGTGTGTGTGTGTGTGAGGTGTGTGTGTGTGAGGTGTGTGTGTGTGAGGTGTGTGTGTGAGGAGCGGTGTGTGTGAGGTGTGTGAGGTGTGTGAGGTGTGTGTGTGAGGAGCGGTGTGTGTGTGTGAGGGGCGGTGTGTGTGTGAGGTGTGTGTGTGTGTGAGGTGTGTGTGTGTGTGAGGAGCGGTGTGTGTGTGTGAGGAGCGGTGTGTGTGTGTGTGAGGAGCGGTGTGTGTGTGTGTGAGGAGCGGTGTGTGTGTGTGTGAGGAGCGGTGTGTGTGTGTGTGGTGTGTGTGAGGTGTGTGAGGTGTGTGTGTGAGGAGCGGTGTGTGTGTGTGAGGGGCGGTGTGTGTGTGTGAGGTGTGTGTGTGTGAGGAGCGGTGGGGAGCGGTAGTGTAGCGGTTAGCGCTACGCTGCGCTATGAACCTGGCGACCCGGGTCCGATTCCCGCTCACGGCCAACACCAGTGACGATTATCTGAACCGGTCCCGGGCCTCCCCTAGGTCGACTCAGCCTCAAATGAGTACCTGGTGCGGTGTGTAAACATCGTCACTAGGGAGACAAAGGCGATCGGGCGTGGTGCTGGCCACCCACCCCCTCGTGTACCGTTCCGGCCTTCATAGGTGCTCGCTAACAGCACTTGCCCCTACAGTCTGTTAAGGCTATACGGGGGATCTTTGTCTTTGTGTGTGTGTGAGGAGCGGTGTATGTGAGGGGCAGTGTGTGTGTGAGGGGCGGTGTGTGTGTGTGAGTGGCAATGTATGTGTGTGTGTGAGGGGCGGTGTGTGTGTCAGGAGCGGTGTGTGTGTGTGTGAGTAGCGATGTATGTGTGTGAGGAGCGGTGTGTGTGAGGAGCGGGGTGTGTGTGTGTGAGGGGCGGTGTGTGTGTGAGGAGCGGTGTATGTGTGTGTGAGGAGCGGTGTGTGTGTGTTTGAGTAGCGGTGTGTGTGTGTGAGGGGCGGTGTGTGTGTGTGTGAGTAGCGGTGTGTGTGTGTGTGAGGAGCGGTGTGTGTGTGTGTGAGGAGCGGTGTGTGTGTGTGTGAGGAGCGGTGTGTGTGTGTGTGAGGGGCGGTGTGTGTGAGGTGTGTGTGTGTGTGTGAGGAGCGGTGTGTGTGTGTTTGAGTAGCGGTGTGTGTGTGTGAGGGGCGGTGTGTGTGTGTGTGAGTAGCGGTGTGTGTGTGTGAGGGGCGGTGTGTGTGTGTGTGAGGGGCGGTGTGTGTGTGTGTGAGTAGCGGTGTGTGTGTGTGAGGGGCGGTGTGTGTGTGTGTGAGGAGCGGTGTGTGTGTGTGAGGGGCGGTGTGTGTGTGTGAGGAGCGGTGTGTGTGTGTGAGGGGCGGTGTGTGTGTGTTTGAGTAGCGGTGTGTGTGTGTGAGGGGCGGTGTGTGTGTGTGTGAGGAGCGGTGTGTGTGTGTGTGTGAGGAGCGGTGTGTGTGTGTGAGGGGCGGTGTGTGTGTGTGTGAGGGGCGGTGTGTGTGTGTGTGAGTAGCGGTGTGTGTGTGTGTGAGGGGCGGTGTGTGTGTGTGTGAGTAGCGGTGTGTGTGTGTGAGGGGCGGTGTGTGTGTGTGTGAGTAGCGGTGTGTGTGTGTGTGAGGAGCGGTGTGTGTGTGTGTGAGGGGCGGTGTGTGTGAGGTGTGTGTGTGTGTGTGAGGGGCGGTGTGTGTGTGTGTGAGTAGCGGTGTGTGTGTGTGTGAGGAGCGGTGTGTGTGTGTGTGTGAGTAGCGGTGTGTGTGTGTGTGAGGGGCGGTGGCACTGTGGTTGGCGACACAAAGCCCCGGCGAGCCGCTCACGCGACGCCAACAACAACCGGTGACGATTATCTGAACCGGTCCTGGGCACTCCCCTAGGTCGGCTCCGCCTCAAATGACTTAGCTGGTGTGTGTTGTGTAGTTTAGCATCGCCACCGGGGAGACAAAGGCGGCCGGGCGTGGTGCTGGACACCCACCCCCTCGTGTGCCGTGCCGGCCTTCATAGGTGCTCGCTAACAGCACTTGCCCCTACAGTCTGTTACAGCTACACGGGGGATCTTTGTGTTGCGTGAGGGGGTCGCAGGGGGAGTGAGGGGATTGCGCAACCCTTGTGACCGTGGCCACTCCGCGCTGCGTGTTCCCTGTGCCCCCCCCCCATACTCCCCTATGTTTCTGCACCCCCCACCTCCCCCATCCACGTTCCCTCGTATCCACCCTGTGCGTCCCCACGGCTCCCCGTGTCCCCCTTAGCTCGTTTTCCATTGGCACATCTGAGCCGAACCAGGGCAGGGCCCACACGGTACAGGTGGGGGGGGGGGGTTCTTCCCCACTGCCAATTTACCGTGGCGAGCCGGAAACCAAACCATGCTGCGCTGGTGACCTCGCCACAGCTGGTCGGAATCCGGCTTGCTGGGGGCCAAGCAGGGCCAGGAGTGGGGTGGGGGGCTTTTTTCGGGTGCCACGGTGGTTAGGAGATGTCAACTACCTCGCCTGGTATGCAGGAGGTCGTGGGTTCGATCCCGACCCTGACGCCTGCTGCTGTATATTTGGAGTTTGCGTGTCTCTCATCATCATCATGGTGGCTAGGAGATGTCAACTACCTCGCCTGGTATGCAGGAGGTCGTGGGTTCGATCCCGACCCTGACGCCTGCTCTACATTTGGAGTCTGATGATGATGATGTTAAGCTACTTGGTTGAGCTATCATTTGTGATAGCCAGGTCGCTCCTGAAAAACAGCTATACACAGTTCAGTAGTGGGTTCTGCCTGGTTTAAAAAAAATTGTGTTTAGTTTGAAAGTGTCGAGGGGCATTGTGATCCAGAAAGGTTTCCTTTTCGGCAGCTTTGAGACGCCCTATACATACAGCTCCTCATGCTCGCAGTCACACTGTGGCCTGGGAGGAAATGGCAGAGTCTTCTCTTTTATAGTTTATAGGGTCGCTAAATTGACAACAACAAAATATGAGCAATATTAACAGGATTTGAAGCAATATGGAACTGGACGGAGCAAAAAAACAACGACAGCTTGAGAGAATCAAAAACAGATCACAACCATAAATCAACGCTCATGAATGAATTCCCAGGAGCTCGAGTCGTGGGCCCTACCTGGCAAAATGAAATAAAAAAAATAGTTTAATGATTTTAACGAGGCATTCGCCGTGCGTGGACGCGGCCTCGACGCGTCTACCCGCACTGCGTCTGCTGGGGCCCGTCGCGACACCCCCGGATGGCCAAACGCGATCCCCGGCGCGGCTCGCTTTGCGAGCTTGGAGGGGACAAAAAATAAAACGAGGAAGGTTTACGCGGCCGCGCGTCTCCCCGCAGGCTGCTGGACTTCCACGCGGGCGCGTCCTGCTGCTCGCCGTCGCGTGCCGCCCTGCTCACGGGCCGCCTGGGCGCCCGCACCGGGGTGACGCGCAATTTCGCCGCCGCGGCGCGGGGCGGCCTCCCCCTCAACGAGACCACGCTCGCCACCGCCCTGCAGGACGCAGGCTACAGCACCGCACTCATCGGTGAGACGGGGGGGGGGGGGGGCGGGGTGGGGTACAGCACCTCACTGGTGGGTTAGACTGGGGGGGGGGGGGGTACAGCACCTCACTGGTGGGTTAGACTGGGGGGGTACAGCACCACTGGTGGGTTAGACTGGGGGGGTACAGCACCTCACTGGTGGGTTAGACTGGGGGGGTACAGCACCTCACTGGTGGGTTAGACTGGGGGGGCACAGCACCTCACTAGTGGGTTAGACTGGGGGGGTACAACAACTCACTGGTGGGTTAGACTGGGGGGGTACAGCACCTCACTGGTGGGTTAGACTGGGGGGGTACAAACCACTGGTGGGTTAGACTGGGGGGTACAGCATCACACTGGTGGGTTAGACTGGGGGGGTACAACACCACTGGTGGGTTAGACTGGGGGGGGACAGCACCTCACTGGTGGGTTAGACTGGGGGGGTACAACACCACTGGTGGGTTAGACTGGGGGGTACAGCATCACACTGGTGGGTTAGACTGGGGGGGTACAACACCACTGGTGGGTTAGACTGGGGGGTACTGCACCAGTGGTGGGTTAGACTGGGGGGGTACAACACCACTGGTGGGTTAGACTGGGGGGGGTACAGCACCTCATTGGTGGGTTAGACTGGGGGGGGTACAGCACCACTGGTGGGTTAGACTGAGGGGGGTACAGCACCCCACTGGTGGGTTAGACTGGGGGGGTACAGCACCACCGGTGGGTTAGACTGGGGGGGCACAGCACCTCACTGGTGGGTTAGACTGGGGGGGTACAGCACCACCGGTGGGTTAGACTGGGGGGGCACAGCACCTCACTAGTGGGTTAGACTGGGGGGGTACAACATCTCACTGGTGGGTTAGACTGGGGGGGTACAGCACCTCACTGGTGGGTTAGACTGGGGGGGTACAAACCACTGGTGGGTTAGACTGGGGGGTACAGCATCACACTGGTGGGTTAGACTGGGGGGGTACAACACCACTGGTGGGTTAGACTGGGGGGGTACAGCACCTCACTGGTGGGTTAGACTGGGGGGGTACAACACCACTGGTGGGTTAGACTGGGGGGTACAGCATCACACTGGTGGGTTAGACTGGGGGGGTACAACACCACTGGTGGGTTAGACTGGGGGGTACTGCACCAGTGGTGGGTTAGACTGGGGGGGTACAACACCACTGGTGGGTTAGACTGGGGGGGGTACAGCACCTCATTGGTGGGTTAGACTGGGGGGGGTACAGCACCACTGGTGGGTTAGACTGAGGGGGGTACAGCACCCCACTGGTGGGTTAGACTGGGGGGGTACAGCACCACCGGTGGGTTAGACTGGGGGGGCACAGCACCTCACTGGTGGGTTAGACTGGGGGGGTACAGCACCACACTGGTCAGTGAGACGGGGATTGGAAGTGTTTTTATTTTATCCCACTCTGCCCTGCTCTGTCCCACTCTTCTCATTGCAGGGAAATGGCACCTGGGCCACGTGGGACATTACCACCCCAACCACCGAGGTACGTGCGGACGACACGGAGGGGCCTGGGTGCAGAACCTTGCTGCAGCCTAGATCATTCAGAACTCCTCTCGGTCAGTTGAGTCCCCCCGGAATCACGTCCGTGTTCACTCGTCCGTGTACGTTAAGGCCCTTTCCCATTGTGCTTATGCTTGCTAGTTACATTCAGTTGCATCTGTTCAGGGTTCTACAGTATCTGTCAATGTGCGTGTACGTTGAACTTCCTTCGCACCGTACGTCGCCAACCGTGCTAATCGGAGACGCGGGATGAGGACAACAAACTCTGCTTCTATAGAAATGAGTTTCCATATCTAGGCAAAGTTTTGATTGGGCTCGGGTTGTCGCCTGCGAGGCGCTGTGAGCCCACGTGTCTGCGCCCGGCGCCGCGTAGAGTTTAGCGTCTCGAGGCGGTGGCCGTGTGCCCCCCCCCCCACCCCCCAGGTTTCCGTTACTACTTCGGGCTGCCCTACAGCAACGACATGGGCTGCACAGACCACCCAGGCTGCGACCTGCCGCCCTGCCCACACTGCCCCGGCGCCTGGGGCAGCACCGACCATGCTGGGCGCAACGCCAGGTGGGCAGCGGCAGCGGCAGCGGCGGCGGCGGCCTTGGCAGAGGGTGTGGTGGCGTCCCGGGAGCGGTGGCGCGGCGATTGGCTCGCCGCACCGCCGCGAACCTCGGTGACACGGGTTTGACCCCGGCCGGGGCTATCGGCGGTGCGTGATCAGAACTGGTAGCTGGCGCATCTTTGTAGAGCATCGGCAATGGGGAGACAAAGGCGGCCAGGCGTGGTGTTCGTCACCCACCCTCCTCATTGAGCCGTGCCGGCCGTCAAATGTGCTACACGTTAACAGCACTTGCCCCAAACGATATGTGAATGCTATACGGGGGACATTCGTCTGTACCGGTTTTGTGAGTGTGCGTGTGTGTGCAGGGGAGCGGTAGTGTAGTGGTTAGCGCTCTTCGCCACGAACCCAGCGACCCGAGTTCCATCACCGCTCACGGCCAACATGAGCGATTATTATCTGAACCGGTCCTGGGCCGCCCCTAGGTCGACTCAGCCTCAAATTAGTACCTGGTGCGGTGAGTAAACGTCCCCACTGGGGAGACAAAGGCGGCCGGGCGTGGTGCTGGCCACCCCCTCGTGTGCCGTGCCGGCCTTCATAGGTGCCACTCGCTAACAGCACTTGCCCCAAAAGTCTGTTAAGGCTATACGGGGGGGGGGGGGGGGGGGGGGGGGTCTTTGTTTTTGGTGGTGGAGAGGGTTTGGCTGTGGTGGCAGGCCTAGTGGTGTTGGTTGTTGTTGTTGTTGATGTTGGTGGTGACTGCTGAGATGTGCTGCGTGTGTGTGTGTTTGCAGGCTGTGCACTAAGTGGTTGTGAAGGTGGCTGTGGTGCTGACCACCCACCCCCTCGTGTGCCGTGCCGGCCTTCGTAGGTGCCACGTGCGAACAGCGCTTGCCCCAACGGTTCGTTAAGGCTATAGGGGAGGGATCTTTGTCTCTTTTTGTCTTTGCGCAGTGGCGGCGGCTGTGCAGATCCTGTGGGGGTTCCGCTCTTTGAGAACGCGGAGATCGTGGAGCAGCCGGCCAGGCTGGAGACACTGGCCCGGAGATACGCGGAGCGCGCAGAGTGGTTCATCCGCCAGCACAGGTAGGCCGGCGCCAACCCCGACCAGCAAAGGTGACCCCCGTGTCGCCTTCTCGCACTCTAGGGGAAACCCCTGGTGAGCACGGCTGGCTACGTGCAGTGCGAAAGAAGTTCAACGTACATACAGCTCATAGACTAACACTACCCATAAACTACCACTACCCATAGACTAACACTACCCATAGACTAACACTACCCATAGACTAACACTGCCCATAGACTAACACTACCTATAGACTAACACTACCCATAGACTAATACTACCCATAGACTAACACTGCCCATAGACTAACACTAAGCATAGACTAACACTACCCATAGACTAACACTACACATAGACTAACACTACCCATAGACTATCACTACCCATAGACTAACACTACCTATAGACTAACACTACCCATAGACTAATACTACCCATAGACTAACACTGCCCATAGACTAACACTGCCCATAGACTAACACTACCCATAGACTAACACTACCCATAGACTAACACTACCCATAGACTATCACTACCCATAGACTAACACTACCTATAGACTAACACTACCCATAGACTAATACTACCCATAGACTAACATTGCCCATAGACTAACACTACCCATAGACTAACACTACCTATAGACTAACACTACCCGTAGACTAATACTACCCATAGACTAACACTGCCCATAGACTAACACTAAGCATAGACTAACACTACCCATAGACTAACACTACCCATAGACTATCACTACCCATAGACTAACACTACCCATAGACTAACACTGCCCATACACTAACACTGCCCATAGACTAACACTGCCCATACACTAACACTGCCCATAGACTAACACTACCCATAGACTAACACTACCCATAGACTAACACTGCCCACAGACTAACACTACCCATAGACTGACACTACCCATAGAGTCTATGTGTAGTGTTAGTCTATGGCATAGACTAACACTACACATAGACTAACACTGCCCATAGACTAACACTGCCCATAGACTAACACTACCCATAGACTAACACTGCCCATAGACTAACACTGCCCATAGACTAACACTACCCATAGACTAACACTACCCATACACTAACACTGCCCATAGACTAACACTACCCATAGACTAATACTACCCATAGACTAACACTGCCCATAGACTAACACTACACATAGACTCAACACTACCCATAGACTCAACACTACCCATAGACTAACACTACACATAGACTCAACACTACCCATAGACTCAACACTACCCATAGACTAATACTACCCATAGACTAACACTGCCCACAGACTAACACTACCCATAGACTAACACTGCCCACAGACTAACACTACCCATAGATTGACACTACCCATAGACTCGACACTGCACCTCCGATGAACACGGTTGTCTACGTATGGTGCAAAAGAAGTTGAACATACATATGTACATACACACACACGCACAAGTAACCCATCCACACAAGGACACAGATGCAGTGTACAGCCTTAATAGACTGTAGGGGCAAGTGCTGTTAGCGAGTGGCACCTACGAAGGCCGACACGGCACACGAGGGGGGGAGGGGGGGGGGCCAGCAGCACAAAACGCGCCTCCCCGGTGGCAATTTTTACACACTGCACCAGGCACTCAGAATCAAAATATTTATTTATCCTGGAGAAATCTGATGAGCTATGAAGCTCTTTTTCACAGGCATCCAGTAAGGGACTCATTCAAGGCCGAGTCTCCGTTTGTGTGTCTGTGCGGTAGTGGAGCGGTGAGCTCAACCCGAGTTCAATTCTTGCTCACAGCCAACACCATTGACGATTACCTGAACCGGTCCCGGCCTCCCCTAGGTCGACTCAACTTTACAGGAGTACCTGGTGCGGTGCGTAAACATCCCCACTGAGGAGACAAAGGCGGCCGGGCGTGATGCTGGCCACCCATCCCCTTCGTGCGCCGTGCCGGCCTTCACAGGCGCTGCTACTCGCTAACAGCACTTGCCCCTACAGTCTGGTCAGGCTACACGGGGGACCTTTGTCTTTGTCTCGCAGTGCCCCAGGGTCCCCCCCGTTCCTGCTGCTTCTGGCCCCTGCCCATGTCCACGTGCCGCTGCCGTGGGCCCCGGGCCTGCGGGGCCCCTGGACAAGGGCGCTGAAGGAGCTGGATGAGACGGTGGGCCGAGTGGTGCGGGCGCTGAGGAGCACCGGCCTGAGCAACAACACACTCGTGTGGTTCTCCAGTACGCACGCACACGCACTGGCGTGCACAAAGATCCCCCGCGTAGCCTTAACAGACTGTTGGGGCAAGAGCTGTTAGCGAGCGTCACCTGTGAAGGCCGTCACGGCACGCGAGGGGATGGGTGTCTCCCCAGTGCCGATGTTTTACACACCGCACCAGGTACTCATTTGAGGCCCAAGACCGGTTCAGATATAATCGTCACTGGTGTTGGCCGTGAGCGGTGATGGAACTCGGGTCGCTGGGTTCGTAATGCAGCGTAGCGCTAACCGCTACACGGCCGCTCCAGACACACACATGCACTGGCACCCACACATACATGCACTGGCACCCACAAACACGACTGGCACCAACACATACATGCACTGGCACCCACACACACTGGCACCCACACACACACACGACTGGCACCAACACATACATGCACTGGCACCCACACACACGCCATGGCACCAACACGCCATGGCACCCACACATACATGCACTGGCACCCAAACACACGACTGGCACACACACGCCATGGCACCAACACATACATGCACTGGCACTCACACACACACGCCATGGCACCAACACATACATGCACTGGCACCCACACACACACGCCATGGCACCAACACATACATGCACTGGCACCCACACACACACGCCATGGCACCAACACGCCATGGCACCAACACATACATGCACTGGCACCCACAAAGACACCTATGAGGGCCAGAATGGCTCACGAGGGGCTGGGTGGCAAGCACCACGCCAGGCCACCTTTGTTTCCCCAGTGCTGATGTGTTACACACCGCACCGGACCTAGGGAAGGACCCAGGGGCGGTTCAGATATCCGTCACCGATGTTGAACGTGAGTGGGAATCGAACTCGGGTCACCAGGTTCGTAGTGAAGTGGCACAAACCACTACGCCACCGCTCCACATGGGCTCACATGGGATTTGGTGTGGTTGTTGTGTTTAGTTTGTCGTCCTTCCGCGCACCTCCAATTAAGCAGGGTTGGCTACGTACGGTGCGAAAGAAGTTCAACATACGTACAATACATACATAGGCTCACACACACACACCCACACATTGTATGCACCGTATGTTGAACTTTTTTCGCACCCTACGTAGCCAACCGTGATAATCAGAGGTGCGGATGCAAAAACAAGGGACCCACACACAGGCACACGCTGCGTGAGTGTTCACCGTAAATATTACTCTGCGTAGTCTGCTTCGCCACGGTGAACGTTACCGATCCCGTGCCGTTGTTTCTCGAGGGTCGGCCATCGTGTGTTGCCGGCGTCACGGTACCAAATTTGCCAAGTTGGTAAAAATGACACCGCAAATTACTCGGTTGGGATCACACGGCAGCAGCAGCAATCATCACCCACCGCCCGACCACCCCCCACTGCGAAAACACTTGGCAGGACCCTTCTGAAAAGGGGGTCTTGGGACTCTGTGAGGCTACCCTGGGTTAACGAGCCCTAGGTTAACGGTGTCTCTCTCATCATCATCACGGTGGCTAGGAGATGTTAACTACCTCGCCTGGTGTACAGGAGGTCGTGGGTTTGAACTCTACCCTGACGCCTGCTGCTGTATATTTGGAGTTTGCGTGTCTCTCTCTCTCCCCTTGGTCGTGTGGATTTTTCTCCAGGCCCTCCGGTTTTTTTCTCCCCGCATTTAGAAATCGTGCGTTTGGAGTAATTGGCTGCGATGAATTTCCACGCGATGATAAGCCGCTTTGTTGAGCCATCACTCGTGACGGCCAGGTCGCTTCTGAAAAAAGAATCTCCGTAGCTCAGTGGCACCTCACCACCTGGCAAGATAAAAAAAAAGTTTTAGTTCGCTGCGCGACGATAGCGAACCGCACGTTTTGGGTTTTACGAGACCTGAGCCAATCCTCGTGGCTCCCCTCCCTGCGCTGTGGCCATGCAGGTGACAATGGGCCATGGGACGAGAAATGTGATCTGGCTGGGAGCACGGGGCCGTACACGGGCAAGTGGCAGTGTCTCAGAGGTGGGCACCAGCACCCTGCATACAGCACGCTCATATACCACCTAGCACTCTCACACAGCACCCTGCATATAACACCCGCACACTAACACCCAGCATTTAGCACCCTGTACACTAATACCAGCATACAGCACCCTGCACACAGCGTTGGTGTACGGTGCTTTTTCAGGAATATTTTGCTGTTTTTTTTCCTGGATTTTCTGTTTGCACAGTCACACACAGTCACTTTAAGATGTTTTCTTGTTCGTGTTTTTGTTTGTTGCGGTTGCACCCGATTCAAGAGCCGAATGGCTCACAGGGCTATACCAATTAAATTAAACGGAAACTCTCAGACAGCACCCTGCACACAGTACCCTCCCGCAAGCGCCCTGCACACAGCACCCTGCACACAGCACCCAGCACCCTGTCTACAGCACCCTGCCCGGGTGTGCGTTGTCTTCGTGGCGCAGGCGGGGCGGCAGGCAAGCGCACCACGTGGGAGGGCGGTCACCGCGTGCCGGGCCTGGCGCTGTGGCCGGGCCGCGTGCCGCCCGGCTCCTCCAGCTCGGCACTGCTCAGGTGACGACGCCGGAAGGCTGCCCCGCCCCTGGCCGCCGCTTCCTTCCTCCTGCCAGACTACGCAGGCGTGGTGCGGCTGGACGGGTGTTCCCCGTGCGTGCTCTGCGTGAAACTAAAGCTATAAACTCGTTTTGATTTCACCAGGCAATAACCCCACAGAGCTGTGTAGCTCTTTTTTTCAGAAGCGACGTGGCCATCGCGAATGATAGCGCCACGAAGTGGCTCGTAGAAATTGAGAAGACGTCCTGTTAAACGCGTGGTGATGTCTATTCTAAATACGGAGGGCAAAACCGGATAACCCAAAGTACAAAAATCCACGCGACCACGGGCAGAGGAAGACACGCAAACTCCAAATATACAGCAGCAGCAGCAGCAGGCGTCAGGGTTGGGATCAAACCCACGACCTCCTGTGTACCAGGCGAGGTTGTTAACGTCTCACCCTGTGTCCCCTCATCTTCATTATCTTCTGTGCTTCTGTCTCCCGCATCTCGCGTGTCCCCGTGTTCGCAGCTCCCGTACCTCCCATATCCCCGTATCTCACTGAATCTTCCCAGAGTCTCCCTGCGTCTCGTTTTGTCTGCCGTGTCCCCATCTCGCAGAGGCTTTTTGCTCGGCCATCGAACAAAGACGGTGGTCACCGCGTCGCGCGGCGCTTCTGCGGCCATCTGGAACGTTCTTCCTTTCCGATATTAGGAAGCTACTGGAGCTATGCATTTTTAAATCATCATCTAGATTGAAAACTAATTTATTTAGAACTGCTGGTTGTTGTGTTAAGTTTGTTGTCCTTCCCCCGCACCTCCGGTTAGCATGGTTGGCTACGCATGGTGCGAAAGAAGTTCAACGTACACACGTACATCTCTGAATCTCTCCGCGTGTCCCCCGTGTGTGCAGTGCGCTGGACGTGCTGCCCACGCTGCTGCCCCTGGCGCGGGTGCCCCTGCCTCCCGGGCGCCGCTATGATGGCGCGGACATGCGGCACGTCCTGCTGGGACAGCGGGACACGGGACACACGGTGACGGCGGGACCTGGGGACACGGGGACCTGGGGACATGGGGACACGATGTAACGGGACACGTGGACACGTGGACACGAGGACAAGGGGACGTGGGGACACGTGGAACTGGGGACACGGAGACAGAATCAGAACGTTACAACAATAAACAAAACAAAAACACGATAAGAGTGCAAAGTATAGGAAAGGTGAACATATCACTTTTTTAAAAGAAATATACAAATAAATTAAAACTACTTATCTTACCAGGTCATGCCCACTGAGCTATTAGCTTCTTTTTAAGAAGCGACCAGGCCACAAACGATGTCTCAACGAAGTGGCTTATCATGTGCAAATGTATATCCGCATGGGGCATGTGGGCACGCGGGGACGCAGGAAATGTCTCTAGAACTGCTTTTTGTGTTTAGTTTGTTGTTGTCCTTCCCCCGCACCTCCGATTAGCACGGTTTCCTAAGTACGGTGCAAAAGAAGTGCAAAATACGTACGTGATGTGTATGACACTCTGAGATTTGACCCTGCTGTATGAGTGACCCTGTTGTGACCCTGCCATGACCTTGCTGTATGAGTGACCCTGTTGTGTGACCCTGCCGTGTGACCCTGTTGTGTGACCCTGCCGTGTGACCCTGTGACCCTGTTGTGTGACCCTGCCGTGTGCCCCTGCTGTATGAGTGACCCTGTTGTGTGACCCTGCCGTGTGACCCTGCTGTATGAGTGACCCTGTTGTGTGACCTTGCTGTGACCCTGCCTCAGGTGCTGTTCCACCCAAACAGTGGAGCTGGGGGCGAGTTTGGCGACCTGGACACAGTGAGGGTGGGGCCTCACAAGGTGTTCTTCCTGACGGGTGACAACTCACACTCTCACACACAGATCAAGATCCCCCATGTAGCCTGAATAGACTGTTGGGGCAATAGCTGTTAGCGAATAGCACCTATTAAGGCTGGCATGGGGGCACACGAGGGGGTGGGTGGTCAGTGCCACACCCTGTCGCCTTTGTCTCCCCAGGAGCGATGTTTACACATCGTACCGGGCACTCATTGAGTACATTCACTGACTCACCCAACCTTCACTCATGCGTTCACTCACCTCCCCAACCTTCACTCGGAGCCTACACACATTCACCTACTCACCTCCCCAACCATCACTCCTGCCTACACACATCCACCTACTCACCTACCCAACCATCACTCCTGCCTACACACATTCACCTACTCACCTACCCAACCATCACTCCTGCCTACACACATCCACCTACTCACCTCCCCATCACTCCTGCCTACACACATCCACCTACTCACCTACCCATCACTCCTGCCTACACACATCCACCTACTCACCTCCCCATCACTCCTGCCTACACACATCCAACCGACAACTCCCACGCATAAGCACACCTACAGCGGTATAGGCACCACGCCATCGCTTCCCTCCCCCTGCCGGATTCCGTAGTCGTCACGTGCCGCCGCCGTTTCCCCTCCCGCAGGTGGCGCCCGGCCGTGCGGAGGGCCGCCACCGGCGCCCCCCGTCCTGCACGACCCCCCGCTGCTCTTCAACGTGGAGACCGACCCCGGGGAGGGGTCCCCCGTGCGGGCCGCGGGGCCGCAATTCTGGGGCCCCGTCCTGCGGGCCCAGGCGGCGCTGCGGGCCCGGCTGGAGGACATCGGCTCGGATCGCGTGTCCCGCGCGGACTACGGCCACGAGGACGACGCGCGGCCCTGTTGCCGGACGGACCTCCCGGCCTGCCGTTGTGACCCCACCCCCATCGTCACCGTCCGCCAGGTCGTGCCTCCAGTTTGAATGTTTTAAAAACAAACCCGGGTGAGAACAGCTCAAGAGAGAGACACCAGGATGAGGAGTCTCATTCGCAAGAGTTGACCGACCCAGTCGTGGCCACCGCGGTGGTGAGATGTTAACTACCTCGCCTGGTATACAGGAGGTCGCGAGTTCAATCTGGACCCCGACGCCTGCTGTATTTTTGGAGTCTGCGCGTCGCTCTCCCCGTGGTCGCGTGGATTTTTCTCTGGGCCCTCCGGTTTTTCCCTCCACATTTAGAATCGACATCACCACGCGTTTAATAGGACGTCTTCTAAATTTACACAAGCCACTTTGCTGAGCTATCATTTGTGATATCCCAGGTTGCTTCTGAAAAAATATAGCTCAGTGGGCCTTATCTGGTAAAATAAAAAAAAATTGTAATACTTTATAGGGTCACTAAATTGACAAAAACTAAATATGAGCAAGTATAACGGGATTTGAAGCATCATAGAAATCGAGAGAGAAAAAAACTGCGTTGCGACGTGAGGAATCTAAAATATTGCACAACCATAAATTCATGCTCGTGAATGAATTAAACAGGAATATTGTACTATCCACGAGGGTTTTTTTGGGTTAGATTGTGGGAATCTAAATGTGTCGTTAAACCAGCCACGACCCGATACAATTAGTAAGGTTGTGGGTTAGATCCGGACTACTCTACTACGATGTAGACGCAGTGTTCTTGACTCATTTTCAGAGGGGGGGGGCCACATTCTCCGATAAGACATCATCAGTGAGAGGGCCGCCACACATTTGAAACTATTGGGGGTTTGACAGCAGCACGCCAGGGGCCGCCAGTGGCCCGTGGGCCTTGCAGTGAACAACAATGCTGTAAACAGACGAGGATGTACGACGTCAAATGCAATTTGCAAGAGACATTATCACACGGCATCGACAGCTCCGCGGCAAATTGCGATTCAGGTAATAATCTCAACGAGTGACGCTAGTTGCCATCGCACACAGCACTCGCTCGCTCTCGACGAGAGAATTTCAGAGGCACGATGAACCACAGACGAGCGGGAAGGTAGCAACAGCAGCCACGCGGTGGAGCCGGCGCCAAGAGCTCACGCAAGCTCTGCGGTCCTCTACATATTAAGGTGTTATCGGCCAATTAATGAGTACGTATGTTGAACTTTTCACACCCTACGTAGCCAACCGTGCTAATCGGAGGTGCTTACCTGTGGGAGGAAACCGGAGCACACGGAGCAAACCCACGCGTGCAAGGAAGAAGCGCTCTATCCCATACAGATGGAACAGCTGGGTGGAGTCCACATTTTTACTGTTCCCACCTTCTGGCGAGCCAGGGTAACGGGCGCTCCTCGCCGGCCATGGGAAGGGAGGTTCACAGCATCTGTGCGCGCTCCAGGGACGTCTGCAAAGCGATGGAAACTCCAGGCGTTTGGATGCGTTTCACAGCCGAGTTGACGGAGGCAAGGCCCGGGGCCCCGTTGAGATATTCGTCAAACGATGTTGGTGGCTGTGAGTGGCAATCATCAAGCTCTGGTCGCCGGAGGTTTGTAGCGCGACGCGCTAACCGCTGGCTACACTGTCTCGCACAGTGGTGTTGGAGGGGCGGTGGGCATGTGTGCGGGGGCTATGATTGTAGTGTGTTTGTAATAAAATGCACACGTGTGTTTAAAACACGTGTTGATTTATTCGGCGCCAACAAAACGCACAGACGCGTGCGCAGACACAAACAGGCACGCGCAGACGCACGCACAGCCAAGCAGACAGACGCAAAGGCTGTTGTCATGGTCCCTGTCTCTTACGGTTTCTGATGGCCAGTGCTGGGGTTGAAGGGATCTGTGTGAAGGGGCTATGTGAGGGTTCTGTATCAAGGGTCGTGTTAGGCATCTCACGTGAGGGTTCTGTGTTAGGGATCTCAATCAGGGGACCATGTTAGGGGTCTCCGCGAGGGGTCTGTGTTGGGTCCCGGGCGCGTATGGAGAGGAGACGCAAGGGGGCGTCGTGGCCGGCGTTGTCGCTCGGCTCCAGATCCATGGCCTCCACCTGCAGAGCGGCCTCACCTGGACACACACAGAGACAAAGATCCACCGTGTAGCCCACGCAGGCTGTTGGGGGCAAGCGCTGTTGGCAAGCAGCGCCTGCGAAGGTCGCCCGCGGGCACACGATGGGGGTGGTGTGATGCCAGCAGCATCACGCCCGGCCGCCTTTGTCTCCCCGGCCCTGCTGTTGTTAGCACACCGCGCCCAGGTCCGACTCGCGCTCCCCCACACACAATATATGTAAATATTTGACTAGGTAAGGCCCACTGAGCTATATAGCTCTTTTTCCGACGCGACCTGGCCATCACAAATAATGGCTCAACGAAGTGGCTTACCATCATCGTGTGGAAATTGATAGCGGCCAAATACTCTGAACGCGTGATGTTGATGTAAATATGGAGGGAAAAACCGGAGGACCCGGAGAAAAATCCACGCGACCACGGGGAGAGGACACACCGCAAACTCCAAATATACAGCAGGCGTCCAAGGTCGGGATCGAATCCACGACCTCCTTGCATACCAGGCGAGGTAGTTAACATCTCGCCACGCACGACGCGGCGACTCACCCAGGCACCGCAGGAAGAGCGCGTAGGTGTCCTGGTTCCGCACCGCAGAGGCCACGAACCCGACGGGGCCGCCGGCCGTGCCGCCGTCCCCCGGCCCCATGCGGTGAAGCAGCAGCAACCGCAAAACCCGCACCAGGTCGTCGATGAGGTCCGGGTCGTACACCACGTCTAGATCCGCAGCGGTGGAAAATCGTAGCCAACGGTGGTTATTTCAGGCCCCGTGTTTTCAGTCGTAGCTCAGGTGAGGCGGCTCGGCTCCAGCTCAAGCTGAGCCCTGGCTCAAAGCCGCCATATTTAACTCGAGCCGGCTCTGAGCCATGTTCCTGGCCACACGCTCAGGTTTTTTCCATGAGCTGAGCCAGAGCCGAGCCACGGCTGAGCCGTTCACTTGTGCGTCCTTTGGAAGCAGCCGAGTGCTACTCCCTACCAGGGTCCCTGTGAGGTGCAGCGCTATTCTCTACCAGGGTTCCCGTGAAGTGCAGCACTACTCTCTACCAGGGTCACTTGTGATCTCCAAGACTACTATCTATCGGGGCCCATGTGAGGTGCAGCACTACTCTCTACCAGAGTTCCTGTGGCTGTAGAACTACTCTCTACCAGGGTCCCGGTGAGGTGCAGCACTCCTCTCTACCAGTACCGGCAGCGAGGATGACTTCGGCGTTCAGCTCCTGCAGCTCCTCCTGCTCCGCGGCCGTCCAGTCCAGTGCCACAACCCGACCATGGGGGCCCTTCAAGCCCCTAGCAGTAGGGGGGCAGGGTCACAGCGAGGTCAAGTTAGAGTACGTTTAACCCCTCTTCCACTCAGACATACGAGCCAGCCCTGGGCCCTCACAGCACTGGTGGTTTTCCACTGGCAATTTGTTGACTTGAGCCGCAGCCAAACCGTGGTTTAGGAGGTGTGGGGGAGCAGCACCTTTGGTCTAGGAGGTGGGGGGGGGGAGCAGCACGTGTCGCACTGGGGGCACAGCACCTGTGTGTGTATGCAGGGGGCACAGCACCTGTGTGTGTATGTAGGGAGGGCAGCACCTGTGTGCGCGTGTGTTATGGAGGGCAGCACTTGTGTGTGTTAAGGAGGGCAGCACCTGTGTGTGTGTTAGGGAGGGCAGCACCTGTGTGTGTGTTAGGGAGGGCAACACCTGTGTGTGTGTGTTAGTGCAGCACCTGTGTGCGCGTGTGTTAGAGAGGGCAGCACCTGTGTGTGTTAGGGAGGGCAACACCTGTGTGTGTGTTAGGGAGGGCAGCACCTGTGTGTGTGTGTTAGGGAGGGCAACACCTGTGTGTGTGTTAGGGAGGGCAGCACCTGTGTGTGTGTGTTAGGGAGGGCAACACCTGTGTGTGTGTGTGTTAGTGCAGCACCTGTGTGTGTGTGTTAGGGAGGGCAGCACCTGTGTGTGTGTGTGTTAGGGCAGCACCTGTGTGTGTGTTAGGGAGGGCAGCACCTGTGTGTGTATGTTAAGGGATCAGCACGTGTGTGTGTGTTAAGGGGGCAGCACCCGTGCTGTAGGTGGCGAGGGGGGGGGGCAGCACCTGTCGTGTTGGGGGCACAGGTGTTTGTGGTTCAGCGCCAGGTTGTGCTCCAGCTGCTGCAGCACGGCCGAGTGAGCGTCGCTCAGGATGACCTCACGGGGGCCGCAGCCCGCCAGCACTGCCAACCCCACCAGGCCCGGACCCGCGCCCAACTCCAGCACACGCCTGCGGGTTATCAAGTGGTTGATTGTTATAGTAATAGGTTTTACCGTTTTAACTGGCACAAAAACTGACACCTTTATTCAAGGCATCAAGTTAAAAGGGTAAAACCTATTACTATATCTTGTTACTGGCAAAGGAGGTCTCATAATGGTTGATTGTTGTTATTGTTTTAGCTCGTTGACACGGGAAAGCCTCGCTGAGTCCCAAGACTCTTTTTTCAGGAGGGTCCTGCCAACTTTTTGCAGGGGGGGGGGGCAATGTCGCTGCCGCTGCTGCTGTGTAATCCAAATTCAGTAATTTCAAGGTGATGTTTCAGCATTGGGATGTTTTGGCCGATACCGGTTACATTGTGTGTGTTTTGCGTGTTTAGCGATGGGAAGAAACCCTTGCAGAACAGCGGGGGGAGAACGTACAAACTCTCACACTCACTTTCACAAACTCACTCACCCGTACACTCAATCATTCTAACACACACAGTCTGCAGAACAAACTCGTACACACAGAAAGGCACCCAAGTCGGGAATTGAACTCAGGTGGTTAGGGTTAAACTATGGCACTTGTTATTGAGAGCTGCGGGCTGGGGAACCACAGCCCCCCACCGCACCACTACGGAAGCTGGGATGGTGACATCTAAGGTGGAATTAACTCTGTGGTGGGGTAAAGTGTGAGTGGGTGCAAGGGGCACTCACCTGTGCTGTAACAGCTGGCGGTGACTCAGGGCCCAGGATGCAAGGGCCCGCGCCGCACCCCAGCTCACAAGGCCTGTGGTCCCGTGAGAGACGAAGATGGTGGACTCCCGCAGAGTTACCTGCACACCATGGTCCTGCAGTGTCACACAAAGCGGAATACCACTCCACACAGTTACACACACACACTACATCACACAGTTACACACACTACATCACACAGTTATACACACACCACCCAGTTACACACACATCACCCAGTTACACACACACACTACACCACACAGTCACACACACCACTCCACCCAGTTACACACACACACTACATCACACAGTTATACACACACACCACACTACACCACTCCACCCAGTTACACACACATCACCCAGTTACACACACACACTACACCACCCAGTTACACACACACCACACCACACAGTCACACACACACCACACTACACCACTCCACCCAGTTACACACACATCACCCAGTCACACACACACACTACACAGTCACACACACACAACACACTACACCACATCACCCAGTTACACACACATCACCCAGTTACACACACATCACCCAGTTACACACACACCACACTACACCACACAGTCACACACACACCACACCACCCAGTTATACACACATCACCCAGTTACACACACACACACACCACACTACACAGTCACACACACACACTACACCACACAGTCACACACACACCACACTACACCACACCACCCAGTCACACACACACACAACCCTACACAGCCACACACACCACATCACCCCACTCATTCAGTCACACACACACCCTACCACTCAGTTACACACACCACACTTCCCAGTCTCACACACACATCACCCAGTTACACACAAACTACACCACACCACCCAGTCACACACACACCATCCAGTTACACACACACCACGCCACCCACCCAATCACACACTAACACACACCACACCACTCACCCAGTCACACATCACACCATCACACCCTCCTCCTTCAGCCTTTACACGTCACCGTACGCCATTACACACACACACCACCGCGTAGATACCATTTTGCGTGTGGTGAGGCTGTGGATGAGGGGTGCTACCAGCAAGTAGGTCTTGTAGCAGAACGGCGAGTCCTGCTGAGACAGCAGCTCACCAAACGCCTCGTACAGCGCGTCCACCGGTTCACAACCTGCTCGCTCACACTGCGCACAAACACCGAGATCCCACCCACACATCCTTCACCGGACACGGGGGCAAGTGCCGTTAGCGAGCGCCACGCCCGGCCGCCTTTGTCTCTCCAGTGCTGATGTGTTACACACCGCATGAGGTGCCCATTCAAGGCCGAGTCGACCTAGGGGAGGCCCAGGACCTGTTCAGATATTCGTCACTGGTGTTTGGAGTGGAAGATGGCGGCAGCCTTGGGGCGGCCCCCACTCTGTTGAGTGAGAAATCGCGACGAATGCCGTCAACCGCGGCGGCGGAACATCCATCATCGATCTCACCGCTTCTCCAGAGTAAACAACGCACGAACACACAGCACACTGGCGCTGACCGTGAGCGGGAGTCAAACTCCGGTCGCCAGAATATATAAATGTTGCGTCGTTAAAACCCGCCACCACCCGACACAGCCAACTAGTAAGGGTTGTCACGTAAACAGAACGTGGCCAATTCGTCAATAGTGCAGCACCACCGGTTGTGTGTCGGAGAGCCAAGCCACAACATTCACAACCTGAGTACGACGTTTCGCCAGTAATTACAACCAGCTGCATCAGGGCGACAGTAACAATGCACGCAGCCACAAATCCGGTGTAACCCGAGTTCGATTCCCGCTCACGGCCACCAACACCAGTGACGATTATCTGAACCGGTCCTGGGCCTCCCCAAGGTCGACTAAGCCTAAAATGGCACAATGTGTAAACATGGCCGCTGGGGAGACAAAGGCGGCCCGGCGTGGTGCTGGCCACCCACCCCTTCCGTGTGTCATTCCGGCCTTCATAGGCGCCACTCACAAACAGCACCTGCCCCAACAGTCTGTATAAGCTATACGGGGGATCTTTGTCTTTGCTTTGAGTGGAGCCACTCACCGCTGCTATGAGCGTCTTGAGGAGGAGGCGGCGGTAGGTGAGGGACGGGGGGAACCGCATCCCCAGGGGGTGCCGCACCGTCTGGGGGGGGGGGGACAGGTGGGGGGGGGGTCACGGTGAGCAACTCGCAGGTCAAGAGGTCACAAAGCAGAGGTCAATATGCGGAGGGACCTCACCTGCTCCAGCAGGGTGCGAGCTGTGTCCGGGTTGTCCCGGATCCGAGTCGCGTAGCCCTGCACAGCGTCACACCACGGCAAGGTCACACCATAGCAGTCACACCACATCCATCACACCATAGCATAGTCACATCACACCCATCACACCATAGCATAGTCACACCACACCCATCACACCATTGCATAGTCACACCACACCCATCACACCATAGCAGTCACACCACACCCATCACACCATAGCAGTCACACCACACCCATCACACCATAGCAGTCACACCACACCCATCACACCATAGCAGTCACACCACACCCATCACACCATAGCAGTCACACCACACCCATCACACCACAGCAGTCACACCCCACCCATCACACCATAGCAGTCACACCACACCCATCACACCATAGAAGTCACACCATAGCATAGTCACATCGTAGCATAGTCACACCGCAGCATCACGTCATAACATAGTCACACTGCAGCATAACCACGCGACATACTGTGTATATGGGTGTACTTGGTGTGTATGGGATAGTGGGTGTGTGCAGGGTGTGTATACTATGTGTATGTATACTGCGGGTGTGTGATGAGTGTGGTGTGAGAGTGGAGTGTATGGTATGGTGTGTATTGAGTGGTGTGTATAGAGTGGTGTGTGTGGTGAGTTGTGTGGTGGGGTGTGTGTGGTGTGTATGGTGTGATGTGTGTATGGTGTGGTGTGTAAGGTGTGTGTGGTGTGATGTGTGTGGTGTGATGCGTGTGGTGTGATGTGTGGTGGGGTGTGTGGTGGGGTGTGTAAGGTGTGTGTGGTGTGATGTGTGTGGTGTGATGCGTGTGGTGTGATGTGTGTGGTGTAAGCTGTGTGGTATGATGTGTGTAAGCTGTGTGTATGGTGTGATGTGTGTGTGTGATGTGTGTATGGTGTGATGTGATGTGTGTGATGCGTGTGGTGTGATGTGTGTATGGTGTGTGTATGGTGTGATGCATGTATGGTGTGTATGGTGTGTATGGTGTGTATGGTGTGATGCGTGCATAGTGTGATGTCATGTGTGTGGTGTGTCGGGTGTGATGCGTGTGGTGTGGTGTGTATGGTGTAAGGTGTGTATGGTGTGATGCGTGTATGGTGTGATGCGTGTATGGTGTGATGTGTGTATGTTGTGATGCGTGTATGGTGTGATGTGTGTATGGTGTGTGTATGGTGTGATGCGTGTATGGTGTGTATGGTGTGATGTGTATGGTGTGATGCGTGTCTGGTGTGATGTGTGTATGGTGTGTATGGTGATGCGTGTATGGTGTGATGCGTGTGGTGTGATGCGTGTATGGTGTGATGCGTATATGGTGTGGTCTTGAGCTGTCCTCACGTCTAGTGCCAGGAAGCGGAGAGGTCGCATGGCGAGGAAGGAGCGCGTCAACTCCACGTTACCGTGGCCATTCCGCTCCTCCATGTACCTCCACACACCCTGACGGCACACACACCCTGATCAATACACACTCACCCTGATCAATACACACTCACCCTGATCAATACACACTCACCCTGAATACACACACACTGATCAATACACACTCACCCTGATCAAGACACACTCACCCTGATCAATACACACTCACCCTGATCAATACACACTCATCCCGCGTCCCCCTCAACCCGCGTCTCCCTCACCTCACCCCGCGTCTCCCTCACCTCACCCAGCGTCTCCCTCACCTCGCCCCGCGTCTCCCTCACCTCACCCCGCGTCTCCCTCACCTCACCCCGCGTCTCCCTCACCTCGCCCCGCGTCTCCCTCACCTCACCCCGCGTCTCCCTCACCTCGCCCCGCGTCTCCCTCACCTCACCCCGCGTCTCCCTCACCTCGCCCCGCGTCTCCCTCACCTCACCCCGCGTCTCCCTCACCTCGCCCCGCGTCTCCCTCACCTCACCCTGCGTCTCTCTCACCTCACCCCGCGTCTCCCTCACCCCGCGTCTCCCTCCCTCACCTCACCCCGCGTCTCCCTCACCTCACCCCGCGTCTCCCTCACCTCACCCCGCGTCTCCCTCACCTCACCCCGCGTCTCCCTCACCTCACCCCGCGTCTCCCTCACCTCACCCCGCGTCTCCCTCACCGCACCCCGCGTCTCCCTCCCTCACCTCACCCCGCGTCTCCCTCCCTCACCTCACCCCGCGTCTCCCTCACCTCACCCCGCGTCTCCTCACCTCACCCCGCGTCTCCCTCACCTCACCCCGCGTCTCCCTCACCTCACCCCGCGTCTCCCTCCCTCACCTCACCCCGCGTCTCCCTCCCTCACCTCACCCCGCGTCTCCCTCACCTCACCCCGCGTCTCCCTCACCTCACCCCGCGTCTCCCTCACCTCACCCCGCGTCTCCCTCCCTCACCTCACCCCCGCGTCTCCCTCACCTCACCCCGCGTCTCCCTCACCTCACCCCGCGTCTCCCTCACCTCACCCCGCGTCTCCCTCCCTCACCTCACCCCGCGTCTCCCTCCCTCACCTCACCCCGCGTCTCCCTCACCTCACCCCGCGTCTCCCTCACCTCACCCCGCGTCTCCCTCACCTCACCCCGCGTCTCCCTCCCTCACCTCACCCCCGCGTCTCCCTCACCTCACCCCGCGTCTCCCTCACCTCACCCCGCGTCTCCCTCACCTCACCCCGCGTCTCCCTCCCTCACCTCACCCCCGCGTGTCCCTCACCTCACGCCCGGCGTTCTGTCAGAGCGCCGCTCCTCAGTACAGTTATCCTCTCTGTTTATGTAATTTAACGTTGCTCTTTATGTTATTGTAGTTGGTTGTGTTTGTTGTTGTTGTGTTTGTTGTTGTGTTTGTTGTCGTCGTGTCGCGTCTCCGCGCCTTCAATGAGGAGAGCGAAGAGGAAGAAGCTCGCGCGGTTCCCTTTGGCGGCAGCGGCGCCATTTGCCGCGTGTAGCACGGGGAGGGGCGGGGTGGGGGAGGGGCGGGGGATAGGCGGGAGAGGGGAGGGGCAGTGGGGGTGGGGGAGGGGCGGGGGGAGGGGCAGGGTGGGGGTGGAGGGGCGGGGGGGTAGGCGGGAGAGGGGCGGGGTGGGGGTGGAGGGGCGGGGGGTAGGCGGGAGAGGGGCGGGGTGGGGGGGAGGATGGAGGGGAGGGGGCGGGGGATATGCTGGAGTGGAACGCGATTTGGCCGCTCCATCTCCACCCCGAGGGTTCTCCCCTCGCTCTCGATGCTCCATTTCGTTTGAACCTTCTGACCCCGTGCCCCTACTGGGACGTCTGTCAAAAAAAGAGCTTTGTAGCTCATCGGATTTCCTCCGAATAACAAGAGATGATGATTCTGAACGTGACAAACAGCACACGTTGCAGCACGTGCCTAACTGCGCTAATCGGAGGTGGCGGGGGAAGGTCAACAACAATAAACACAACAACAACAAGAAGCAGTTCTAGCGAAATGAGTTTGTCATAGTAGACGATGATGATGTAAAAGTTGCACAGCCTCCAGTGACTGCCTAACACCGCAAGGGAAGAACGTTCCAGACGGCCGCTGAATCGCGTCTCTGCAAGCGCCGCGCGACGACGCCGCTGATGCGGTGACCGCCGCCTTGGCCCGACGGCTGAGCAGCCAAAAGCCGCCGCTGCTGCGGGCATGAGCGGAGTGTCACGTGGTGGTGGTGATGATGGTGGTGGTGATGGTGGTGGTGGTGATGGTGGTGGTGATGGTGATGGTGGTGATGGTGGTGGTGATGGTGGTGATGGTGGTGGTGGTGATGGTGGTGGTGATGGTGGTGATGGTGGTGGTGATGGTGATGGTGGTGATGGTCGTGGTGATGGTGGTGGTGATGGTGGTGATGGTGGTGATGGTGGTGGTGGTGATGGTGGTAGTGATGGTGGTGGTGATGGCTCGTGGTGGTGGTGATGGCTCGTGGTGATGGTGGTGGTGGTGATGGTCGTGGTGATGATGGTGGTGGTGATGGTTCGTGGTGATGGTTCTTAACTCCTCGACGAGATGAGCAGCGAAGGTGATTGTGGTGCACTCGTGGCGAGCACCTTGCGTGTTTGTGTGCGTCGTCGAGTGGCTATTGTGCAAAAATAAAACCATCGACACAGTTCCTGTAGAACTGTGCACACGTGCGGTGCCTCTCGTCTTACTCGCTAGGTCGCCACCACACGCGGATTTGGGCGAACGCGTACAGTGTCACCCATACGGTCCACACGTATTGGGTTTTCAGATCCATACGGCGGACAGCCGTTTCAATACGGGCAAAAAAAATAATTAAAAATGTGTTGTCTATGTGTTTGTGTTTCTACCTCGTGATGGGACTTTGTAGGATGAACGCTGAGATTTACCAGGGGCACGGGGTAACCAATAAGGTAGAGGAGGCAACTGATAAGGGGTTAATATACACTATACACTACACTCGAATACACTATACACTACTAATGTACATTTGACACTATACTACTACCATACACTACATACTACCATACCTGTCAAGCAACACGGTCTACCCGTATGCTTGTACAGGGAAATTGGGATTTTAGATCCATACGGCGGCGTACAGCCGTTTCATGATGGGACTTTGTGGGATGGACGTTGAGCTTTATAAGGGCACCACGGGGTGACCAATAAGGTCTGAGTGGGTCTGTGATAAGGTTGGCACTGATAAGGGGTTGACAGGTTTGCGAATGTGACCCCCCACTCATGGACAGCGGCGGCGGCGGCGGTGATGATGATGATGGACAAACTGGTGGACTGGTTTCGTTCGCGTTAGGACTCATCAGCACGCGATAGTAGCCGCTGCTCAGCCGCTGCGACCGCATTCGTTTGGCCGTTCCCACTGTGAACAAAAACGATTAAAAAAATTATATTTAAAAAATATATAAACTCAATTCCGCATGCAAATGAGGAAACGCTTCAACCAGTCAACTTCCACTCGCAGTTCATTCGGGGAAATAAAAATGAGACAATCAAGTAAAGGCTCAGCGAGCGGCCCAAAAAAAATCGACATAACACCGCAGATGCAAACCAACAGGTCAAGTCGCCTGTCGCCTGCTCTGTGCGTTATACATCAATGGGGGGACTTGTCTTTTTGCGCCACTATAGAAGTACGTGCTTTTGCCCTTTCTGGCAATGCAACAGGAGGCATTAACCACACAGGGCTACTTGTGTCGAACATGCAAACATACATGGCTCTGATAATATATGAAGAGGTTTTTACCCTTTCCGGCAATAAAATAGCAGGTGCTAAGATGTTCAAACACCAAATGGAAACCTTTTTTTCTGGCAAGAAAGGTCCCATGTCCTGATAGTGGCATTGTCTTTGTGCTGTTCGTCTTTTGACGTCCACTATTTGAGACTAGGCTCTAAAGAAAGCTGTCTTTGGTGTGCATCAATCAGTTTCAAAGACAATGCATCATCACATCCTACCAGAGCATGGTTTGTGTTTGTATGTTCACCACAAGTACCGTGTGTGTGGTTAATGCAGTGACATGATTCTTTACAAAAGGTTTAACATCTTAGAACGCAGCTGTTTTATTGCCAGAAAGGGTAAAACCTATTCTTATATTTTGATACTGCCAAGAAATGTCGCGTGATGCTCTGATAACACTGTGTAACAAAATTAAGTTTTTGTTCCTGGGTAGTAAGTGTTCTTTCCTAATTGCTTATGCCTCAAGAGTACAGAAAATGGCTATTATTATGATTCCCCACGAACTTTTCTATTGTGACCAGGACAGTGATAGTTTGAAATTGACCTACAGTATTTTCAATGAGAAAATGGGCGAATTTGCGTCTTTTCGTTCACGTAAAAAAACACAACATATTAGTCAAAATTTATATGTATTTATACTAAAGCAATACAAAAAATACCACACAAAGGTGCACCACCACAGGCGTGACTGGCCACAGCGGACCGAGTTCTCTGTGGGGAGGAGCAACGTCAAGTGAGAGCCACTGGTGGACCCCCGGAAGGTGCTGATGCCACCACTGCACATCAAATTGGGCCTCATGAAAAATTTGTCAGAGCTGTAGATAAGGAGTCGGCAGCCTTCAAGTACCTCCAAAACTTCTTCCCTAAGCTGTCTGAGTCAAAGATCAAAGCCGGTGTCTTCGTCGGACCACAGATAAAGAAGATCCTGGAGTGCAATGAATTCCCCGAGAAGCTCACTAGTAAGGAGAAAGCGGCTTGGAACAGCTTTGTCGCAGTGATTCGTGGCTTCCTGGGCAATCACAAGGTCGAAAACTATGTGGAGCTGGTTGAGACTCTGGTGAAGAACTACGGCACAATGGGCTGTAGGATGTCCCTCAAAGTCCATATCCTTGATGCTCATTTTGATCAATTCAAGGAGAACATGGGAACGTAAGGTGAGCGCTTCCACCAGGATATACTGGACTTTAAATGCCGCTACCAAGGACAGTAGAACGAGAACATGATGGGAGACTACATTTGGGGGCTGATTCGTGAAAGTGATTTACAGTATAGTCGTAAATTTCGAAAAACTACTTACTTCTAAATATTTTGTAGTAATTTTTGTATTATTTGGGTATAAATACATGTTAATTTTGATTCACATGTTGTTTTTTTCTGACTTATGTGAACGAAAATATACAAATTCGCCCGTTTTCTCATTGAAAATAGGTAAATTTCAACACCCTTATTCAGGCCGGGCTGAATGATTGAATATCGCGGTTTTGGCTTTCGCGGTACTTTTCAAGAACCCCCCCCCGCGATAACCAAGGGTCTCCCGCACACTTCTGATTCTGAAGACTGTGCTGCGGGCATCGCGTTTTGTTCAAGTTGATGCGATTATAATGCCTGTATCATTAACCTGTGTGCACGTTCTCTAACCCACGTGCACCTCGTTCCGTCTCTCAATGCAATCCCAAGCCTGCGTCTCCCTCCACGCTCTCCTGTGTGTGTGCGTGTTCCACGAGATATGGTGGATGGTCGCGGTGGCGTGATATTCATTCCCTCGCCTGGTATACAGGTCGTGGGTTCGCTCCCGACCCAGTCGCCTGCTGTATATTTGGAGTTGATGCTGTCTCTCTCTCCGTGGTGAGATGTTAACCACCTCGCCTGGTATACAGGAGGTCGTGGGTTCCATCCCGACCCTGATGGCTGCTGTATATTTAGAGTTTGCGTGTCTCTCTCTCTCTCTCTGTGGCGTGATGTTCATTCCCTCGCCTGGCATGCAGGAGTTCGTGGGTTCCATCCCGACCCTGACGCCTGCTGCTGTATATTTAGAGTTTGCGTGTCTCTCTCTCTCTCTTTCCCCGTGGTCGCGTTGATTTTTTTCCGGGTCCTCCGGCTGTTATAAATGTCCACGTAATGATAGGCCAACTTCGTTGAGCTATCGTTTGTGATCGCCAGGTCGCTTCTGTATACAGGAGGTCGTGGGTTCCATCCCGACCCTGATGGCTGCTGTATATTTAGAGTTTGCGTGTCTCTCTCTCTTTCCCCGTGGTCGCGTTGATTTTTCTCCGGGTCCTCCGGCTGTTATAAATGTCCACGTGATGATAGGCCAACTTCGTTGAGCTATCGTTTGTGATCGCCAGGTCGCTTCTGAAAAAGCGCTACACTCCTCAGTGGGGCCTTAACTGGTCTGTCGCCTACAGGCAACAAACGCGTGCACTGATTGCGGACTTCCTCTCTGAGTCACGGGCTACGTAGGGTGCGAAAGAAGTTCAACTAACATGCGCAGTGCGCCGTCACTCTTAATAATCATGTCTATGGGTAGTGTTAGTTTATGGGTAGTGGTAGTCTATGGGTAGTGGTAGTCTATGGGCAGTGTTAGTCTATGGGCAGTGTTAGTCTATGGGTAGTGTTAGTCTATGGGTAGTGTTAGTCTATGGGCAGTGTTAGTCTATGGGTAGTGTTAGTCTATGGGTAGTGGTCGTGTAATCGGAGGTGCGGGTGAAGGACGACAAACTGAAGACACACAACACGTTCATAATGATCCAGCACTCAGCTTTCAACAGCGCTCTTAGACCAGACTCTTGCCCATCTCATCACATCATCTTGTTGATCGCTGTTCATCCACCCCCCCATTCTCCACCCTGCACCCTCCACCCTGCATCCACCCCCCCACCCCCCATTCTTCACCCTGCACCCTGCATCTTCCACCTCCCATTCTCCACCCTCCACCCTGCATCTTCCACCACCCCCCACCCCCCATTCTCCACCCTGCACCCTCTATCCTCTTCAACCATCACCCTGCACCTTCCACCCTCTCCATCCATCACCCTCCACCCCCTGACCCCGCCCTTCCTCCTCCCCCCACCCCCACCCCCGCGCCTCGCCGGTCCGGATGCGCGCTTGATGCGGGGGAAGGGAGTGGAGGAAAAGGGGGGAGGGAGAAGGGATGGAGGATAGAGAGAGAGCTGGGGGGGGGGGGTGAAGCAGTAAGAGAAGGGACGCGATGGAAAGGGGGAGTTGATGGAGTAGAGGGAGGGGTGAGCAGCGGTAGCAGCAGCAGCAGCAGCGGCAGCCTCGCCGAGACGTCCCCGAGTCCCCATGACTCCCGCGCGCGTGCCGGGCGCGTGCCCCTCCTTGTCCACGTTCCCCTGGCGGGGCCGCGCGTCGAGGCGCGCGCCCAGCTCCCGTCCAAGAATGCGCTGCTGCCATTGCTGATGCTGCTGCTGGTGCTGCTGCTGCTGATGATGGTGGCGATGGTGGTGATGTGGCGTGGTGTGCGTCGGACGCGTTTTGGCTGCGCGCTGCTGCTGCCGCTGCTGCTGACGCTGCTTCTGCTGCGGCTGCCGGGACCCGAGCGCGACCTCTCGCCGGGTCCCCTCGGCGCTCAGGGGGCCGCGGCCCCCGTCGATGACCGGCGAGGAACGGGGGCCCGGATCCACGGTGGGGTAGCCGCGAGGGGGCAGGGATCGCTGCGGGGTTCGGGCAGCACCCTGTCGGGGGTCTTGCGCGCGGCGCAGCGTGAGGGGCGAGCGGCGAACCCCGTGGTGCCGGAGCCCTCTTTGGGGGTCGACCCCCCGCTGGGACCCCCTCTGGACCCCCGCGAGATCTTCTTGGCGGTGAAGACCACGCGTCGCTTTCACGAGGAGCGGGTGGCGCTGCTGTTGCGCACCTGGGTCTCGCGAGCGCGCGCGCAGGTGAGGAGCAATCGCTCACCGCGGCGACACTCACCATGGCAACACTCACCGCGGCAACACTCACCGCGGCAACACTCACCACGGCAACACTCACCATGGCAACAGTCACCATGGCAACACTCACCGCGGCAACAGTCACCGCGCCAACACTCACTATGGCAACAGTCACCGCGGCAACACTCACCGCGGCAACACTCACCATGGCAACAGTCACCATGGCAACACTCACCGCGGCAACAGTCACCGCGGCAACACTCACCACGTCTCTATGCAGACAGAGGGGGATCTCTGTGGTGAGAGAGAGATGGGGTCTCTATGGGGAGGGAGAGTGAGTTGGGGTGTCTATGGAGACAGAGTTGGGGTGTCTATGGAGAGAGAGAGACTTGGGGTGTCTATGGAGAGAGAGAGTTGGGGTCTCTATGGAGAGTTGGGGTGTCTATGGAGAGAGAGAGAGAGACTTAGGGTCTCTATGGAGAGAGAGTTGGGGTGTCTATAGAGAGAGACTTGGGGTGTCTATGGAGAGAGAGAGAGACTTGGGGTGTCTATGGAGAGAGAGACTTGGGGTGTCTATGGAGAGAGAGAGTTGGGGTCTCTATGGAGAGAGAGAGATTTGGGGTGTCTATGGAGAGTTGGGTGTCTATGGAGAGAGAGAGAGTCGGGGTGTCTATGGAGAGAGAGAGAGACTTAGGGTGTCTATGGAGAGTTGGGGTGTCTATGGAGAGAGAGACTTGGGGTGTCTATGGAGAGAGAGTTGGGGTGTCTATGGAGAGAGACTTGGGGTGTCTATGGAGAGAGAGAGAGACTTGGGGTGTCTATGGAGAGAGAGACTTGGGGTCTCTATGGAGAGTTGGGGTGTCTATGGAGAGAGAGAGAGACTTGGGGTCTCTATGGAGAGTTGGGGTGTCTATGGAGAGAGAGAGAGAGAGACTTGGGGTCTCTATGGAGAGAGAGTTGGGGTGTCTATGGAGAGAGAGAGAGACTTGGGGTGTCTATGGAGAGAGAGAGAGATACTTGGGGTGTCTATGGAAAGAGTGTTGGGGTGTCTATGGAGAGAGAAAGAGAGTTGGGGTGTCTATGGAGAGAGAGAGAGAGTTGGGGTCTCTATGGAGAGAGAGAGAGATACTTGGGGTGTCTATGGAGAGAGTGTTGGGGTGTCTATGGAGAGAGAAAGAGAGTTGGGGTGTCTATGGAGAGAGAGAGTTGGGGTCTCTATGGAGAGAGAGAGAGACTTGGGGTGTCTATGGAGAGAGAGAGACTTGGGGTGTCTATGGAGAGAGAGTGAGACTTGGGGTGTCTATGGAGAGAGAGTGAGACTTGGGGTGTCTATGGAGAGAGAGTGAGACTTGGGGTGTCTATGGAGAGAGAGAGACTTGGGGTGTCTATGGAGAGAGAGAGTTGGGTCTCTATGGAGAGAGAGAGTTGGGGTCTCTATGGAGAGAGAGTGAGACTTGGGGTGTCTATGGAGAGAGAGTGAGACTTGGGGTCTCTATGGAGAGTTGGGGTCTCTGTTTTTAATTAGCGCGCGTGCGAGGAGGCGCGTGCCAGGCGGCCGCATCTGAGAGCCATTAGAGACGGATTCCTGAGGCCGGGAACCCCTCTCAGAGAACCCCTCTCAGCACCCCCTCAGAGAACCCCCTCGCTAAACACCATCACAGAACCCCTCTCAGTACCCCCTCAGAGAACCCCCTCGCTAAACACCATCACAGAACCCCTCTCAGAGAACCCCTCTCAGTACCCCCTCAGAGAACCCCTCTCAGTACCCCCTCAGAGAACCCCCTCGCTAAACACCATCACAGAACCCCTCTCAGTACCCCCTCAGAGAACCCCCTCGCTAAACACCATCACAGAACCCCTCTCAGAGAACCCCTCTCAGCGCCCTCTCAGAGAACCCCTCTCAGTACCCCCTCAGAGAACCCCCTCGCTAACCACCATCACAGAACCCCTCTCAGAGAACCCCTCTCAGTACCCCCTCAGAGAACCCCTCTCAGTACCCCCTCAGAGAACCCCCTCGCTAAACACCATCACAGAACCCCTCTCAGAGAACCCCTCTCAGCACCCCCTCAGAGAACCCTCTCAGTACCCCCTCAGAGAACCCCCTCGCTAAACACCATCACAGAACCCCTCTCAGTACCCCCTCAGAGAACCCTTTCGGTAAACACCATCACAGAACCCCGCTCAGAGAACCCCTCTCAGTACCCCCTCAGAGAACCCCCTCAAAGATCCCTTCATAGACCCCTGCTCACAGAACCCCCTTCACAAGACTCCCTCACGTGACCCCAGAGTACCGCAGGTTCCCCTCAGACCCCCTCAGTTCCCTACAGCAAACCCCTCACAGAGAACCCCTTTGAGAACCCCCTCCCATTACACTCGCACGTCCTTCACGACGTTTGGCGTGGAAGAGTAGACCAAGTACACCTCTAGAGGGGATGGTGGAAGAGTAGACCAAGTACAACTCTAGAATGGATGGTGGAAGAGTAGACCAAGTACAACTCTAGAATGGATGGTGGAAGAGTAGACCAAGTACAACTCTAAAGGGGGTGATGGAAGAGTAGACCAAGTACACCTCTAGAGGGGATGCTGGAAGAGTAGACCAAGTACAACTCTAGAATGGATGGTGGAAGAGTAGACCAAGTACAACTCTAGAATGGATGGTGGAAGAGTAGAACAAGTACAACTCTAAAGGGGGTGATGGAAGAGTAGACCAAGTACAACTCTAGAGGGGGTGATGGAAGAGTAGACCAAGTACACCTCTAGAGGGGATGGTGGAAGAGTAGACCAAGTACAACTCTAGAATGGATGGTGGAAGAGTAGACCAAGCACAACTCTAGAGGGGATGGTGGAAGAGTAGACCAAGTACACCTCTAGAGGGGATGGTGGAAGAGTAGACCAAGTACACCTCTAGAGGGGATGGTGGAAGAGTAGACCAAGTACAACTCTAGAATGGATGGTGGAAGAGTAGACCAAGCACAACTCTAGAGGGGATGGTGGAAGAGTAGACCAAGTACACCTCTAGAGGGGATGGTGGAAGAGTAGACCAAGTACACCTCTAGAGGGGATGGTGGAAGAGTAGACCAAGTACACCTCTAGAGGGGGTGGTGGAAGAGTAGACCAAGTACAACTCTAGAGGGGATGGTGGAAGAGTAGACCAAGTACAACTCTAAAGGGGTGATGGAAGAGTAGACCAAGTACAACTCTAGAGGGGATGGTGGAAGAGTAGACCAAGTACAACTCTAAAGGGGGTGATGGAAGAGTAGACCAAGTACAACTCTAGAGGGGATGGTGGAAGAGTAGACCAAGTACAACTCTAGAGGGGGTGATGGAAGAGTAGACCAAGTACACCTCTAGAGGGGGTGGTGGAAGAGTAGACCAAATACAACTCTAGAGGGGATGGTGGAAGAGTAGACCAAGTACACCTCTAGAGGGGGTGATGGAAGAGTAGACCAAGTACACCTCTAGAGGGGGTGATGGAAGAGTAGACCAAGTACACCTCTAGACGGGGTGATGGAAGAGTAGACCAAGTACACCTCTAGAGGGGATGGTGGAAGAGTAGACCAAGTACACCTCTAGAGGGGGTGATGGAAGAGTAGACCAAGTACACCTCTAGAGGGGATGGTGGAAGAGTAGACCAAGTACAACTCTAGAGGGGGTGATGGAAGAGTAGACCAAGTACACCTCTAGAGGGGGTGATGGAAGAGTAGACCAAGTACACCTCTAGAGGGGGTGATGGAAGAGTAGACCAAGTACAACTCTAGAGGGGGTGATGGAAGAGTAGACCAAGTACACCTCTAGAGGGGGTGGTGGAAGAGTAGACCAAGTACACCTCTAGAGGGGGTGATGGAAGAGTAGACCAAGTACACCTCTAGACGGGGTGATGGAAGAGTAGACCAAGTACACCTCTAGAGGGGATGGTGGAAGAGTAGACCAAGTACACCTCTAGAGGGGGTGATGGAAGAGTAGACCAAGTACACCTCTAGAGGGGATGGTGGAAGAGTAGACCAAGTACACCTCTAGAGGGGGTGATGGAAGAGTAGACCAAGTACACCTCTAGAGGGGGTGATGGAAGAGTAGACCAAGTACACCTCTAGAGGGGGTGATGGAAGAGTAGACCAAGTACAACTCTAGAGGGGGTGATGGAAGAGTAGACCAAGTACACCTCTAGAGGGGGTGATGGAAGAGTAGACCAAGTACACCTCTAGAGGGGGTGATGGAAGAGTAGACCAAGTACACCTCTAGACGGGGTGATGGAAGAGTAGACCAAGTACACCTCTAGAGGGGATGGTGGAAGAGTAGACCAAGTACACCTCTAGAGGGGGTGATGGAAGAGTAGACCAAGTACACCTCTAGAGGGGGTGATGGAAGAGTAGACCAAGTACACCTCTAGAGGGGGTGGTGGAAGAGTAGACCAAGTACACCTCTAGAGGGGGTGATGGAAGAGTAGACCAAGTACAACTCTAGAGGGGATGGTGGAAGAGTAGACCAAGTACACCTCTAGAGGGGGTGATGGAAGAGTAGACCAAGTATAACTCTAGAGGGGGTGATGGAAGAGTAGACCAAGTACACCTCTAGAGGGGATGGTGGAACAGTAGACCAAGTACACCTCTAGAGGGGGTGATGGAAGAGTAGACCAAGTACAACTCTAGAGGGGGTGATGGAAAAGTAGACCAAGTACAACTCTAGAGGGGGTGATGGAAGAGTAGACCAAGTACAACTCTAGAGGAGGTGATGGAAGAGTAGACCAAGTACACCTCTAGAGGAGGTGATGGAAGAGTAGACCGACCAAGTGCACCTCTAGAGGAGGTGATGGAAGAGTAGACCAAGTACACCTCTAGAGGGGGTGGTGGAACAGTAGACCAAGTACACCTCTAGAGGGGGTGATGGAAGAGTAGACCAAGTACACCTCTAGAGGGGAAGAGAGGGGGGGGGGGTAGTCTCTCTCGGGCTCCCTGGAGTGGGTGGTCCCCTTTCCGCCAGCAGTTGCCGGGCTGCGCCTTTGGCTTTTGCCTACTCGGCTATCAGCCACCGGTGCATGGCGCCACCTCCGATTGGCAAGTTGTGAACGTTCACACGTTACAGTCTCCACGCTTCCAGGTACTGCACAGGGACTCCCTCTACTTATTCGACTTAAAACAAACCCGTCGCCCTATGCACAGTTGCCTGTTGGGATCGAGAGTCGTAAGTTTAACCAAACGTGAAGAACCAGTGGCATCTACATCTGCAGAACGTGAAGAACCAGTGGCATCTACATCTGCAGAACGTGAAGAACCAGTGGCATCTACATCTGCAGAACGTGAAGAACCAGTGGCATCTACATCTGCAGAACGTGAAGAACCAGTGGCATCTACATCTGCAGAACATGAAGAACCAGTGGCATCTACATATACAGAACGTGAAGAACCAGTGGCATATACATCTGCAGAACGTGAAGAACCAGTGGCATCTACATCTGCAGAACGTGAAGAGCCAGTGGCATCTACGTCTGCAGAACGTGAAGAACAGTGGTATCTAAATCTGCAGAACATGAAGAACCAGTGGCATCTACATCTGCAGAACGTGAAGAACCAGTGGCATCTACATCTAAGAACGTGAAGAACCTGTGGCATCTACATCTGCAGAACATGAAGAACCAGTGGCATCTACATCTGCAGAACGTGAAGAACCAGTGGCATCTACATCTGCAGAACGTGAAGAACCAGTGGCATCTACGTCAACCAGTGGCATCTACATCTGCAGAACGTGAAGAGCCTCTCTTCATAGGACTCTATGGGTGTCTCCGGGTCTCTATGTATCTCTATGTGTCCCTACGGGTCTCTATGTATCTCTATGTATCTCTGTGTCTCTACGGGTCTCTATGTATATCTATGGGTCTCTCTGTGTCTCTACGGGTCTCTATGTATCTCTATGTATCTCTATGTCTCTACGGGTCTCTATGTATCTCTATGAGTCTCTCTGTGTCTCTACGGGTCTCTATGTATCTCTATGAGTCTCTGTGTCTCTACGGGTCTCTATGTATCTCTATGTATATCTACGTGTCTCTACGGGTCTCTATGTATCTCTATGAGTCTCTCTGTGTCTCTACGTGTCTCTATGTATCTCTATGTATATCTATGTGTCACTACGGGTCTCTATGTGTCTCTACGGGTCTCTATGTATCTCTATGAGTCTCTATGTGTCTCTACGGGTCTCTATGTATCTCTATGAGTCTCTCTGTGTCTCTACGGGCCTCCCCAGCACTCCCCGGTGGGCCCTTGTTGTGTGCAGCTCGAGCAACACTTCCGTGGACGTCCCCGTGGCGGTGACCCTCGCCATTGTCCCGCGGTTCGCCGCCGCTCTTTTCTGTTTAATTTCTTTATCTGCGAGGCCGCGTCTGCTTCCTCCACTTCCTCGGTCGCACCCCTCCAACTTACTCACCCCACAGGCAAAGTTCCCCCGCGTAGCCTGCGGCGGACTGTCGGGGCAAGTGCTGTTAGCGAGCACCTATGAAGTCCGGCACGGCACACTCACCAATCTACAACAACACACTCACCCGCTCACTCACTCACTCACCCACCCACTCACTCACCCACTCACTCACTCACCCACCCATCCACCCATCCACTCACCCACCCACTCACTCACCCACTCACTCACCCACCCACTCACCCACCCACCCACTCACCCACCCACTCACTCACCCACCCACTCACTCACCCACTCACTCACTCACCCACCCACCCACTCACCCACCCACTCACTCACCCACCCACCCACTCACCCACTCACTCACCCACTCACTCACTCACCCACCCACTCACACACCCACTCACCTACCCACCCATCCACTCACTCACCCCCACACACTCACCCGCACACTCCCTCACTCACCTACCCACCCACTCACTCACCTACCCACTTAACCTCCCACATCACTCAATCTCTCACCCACTCACCACACTGCAGGTCACCTCACTGGTTCGCTCTCTCGCACTCATTCCCTGCGGAATAACCCCGCACCATCATCACCACCACCACCATCATCACCCATCATCATCACCACCCATCATCACCACCACCCATCATCACCCACCATCATCACCACCACCATCATCACCACCCACCATCATCACCACCCACCATCATCACCACCCACCATCATCACCACCATCATCACCACCACCATCATCACCACCCACCATCATCACCACCCACCACCACCATCATCATCACCACCATCATCACCACCACCATCATCACCACCCATCATCACCACCACCATCATCACCACCACCACCATCACCACCCATCATCACCACCACCCATCATCACCCACCATCATCACCACCCACCATCATCACCACCCACCATCATCACCAACCCCCTTCATCACCACCCATCACCACCATCCACCATCACCACCACCCACCATCATCACCCCCCACCCACCACCATCATCATCAACATCGTCAACATCTCTGCTCCCCGTATCACTAACAGCGACAGGAAACCTCGCGCTCCACGCAAGACGCGCGCCATGCCGCTCCCGTCGACTGCTCCTGCGACACTCCGACAGCGCCGCTTGGCGCCTCTGCGCCCCTACCCCGCTCGAGGAGCGGCTGTTTTGCGATAGCAAAGTCGATAAATAATAACACGAGGCACGCGGCGTTCTGTCCCCACGCAGACGCACATCTTCACGGACGAGGTGGACGAGAAGCTCCTGGCTGCAGCAGGTGAGAGTGGCGATCAATCATCCTCTGGAATTTGCCTGACGATGATCATGACGACGATGGTGGTGGTGATGTCCATGATGATGATGGTGGTGGTGATGTCCATGATGATGATGATGGTGGTGATGTCCATGATGATGATGGTGGTGATGTCCATGATGATGATGGTGATGTCCATGATGATGATGTCCATGATGATGATGGTGGTAGTGATGTCCATGATGATGATGGTGATGTCCATGATGATGATGATGATGTCGGTCATGCTGGGCGTGCAGGTGATGCCACCCACCCACCCACTCGTGTGCCACGTGCCGGTAGCCTTCATAGGGGTTGCTACTCGCTAACAGCACTTGCCCCAACAGTCTGTCACAGGCTACACGGGGGATCTTTGTCTTTGTAGGTGCTACTCGCTAACAGCACTTGCCCCTACAGTCTGTCACAGGCTACACGGGGGATCTTTGTCTTTGTAGGTGCTACTCGCTAACAGCACTTGCCCCTACAGTCTGTTACAGGCTACACGGGGGATCTTTGTCTTTGTAGGTGCTACTCGCTAACAGCACTTGCCCCAACAGTCTGTCACAGGCTACACGGGGGATCTTTGTCTTTGTAGGTGCTGCTCGCTAACAGCACTTGCCCCAACAGTCTGTCCCAGGCTACACGGGGGATCTTTGTCTTTGTAGGTGCTCCTCGCTAACAGCACTTGCCCCAACAGTCTGTTACAGGCTACACGGGGGATCTTTGTCTTTGTAGATGCTACTCGCTAACAGCACTTGCCCCAACAGTCTGTCACAGGCTACACGGGGGATCTTTGTCTTTGTAGGTGCTGCTCGCTAACAGCACTTGCCCCAACAGTCTGTCACAGGCTACACGGGGGGTCTTTGTCTTTGTAGGTGCTACTCGCTAACAGCACTTGCCCCAACAGTCTGTCACAGGCTACACGGGGGATCTTTGTCGGTAATGAGATCCTTCGGGAGACGCGTACTGTTAAGCCTCGACGATCAGTTGAAGATGGTATTCATAATGCAGGTTTTATTTGGTTAGATGATGGTATTGGTGATGTTGACGATGACAAAGATGTTGACGACGATGGTGTTGATGATGATGATGCTGTTATTGATGGTCTTGACGATGATGATGGTGTTGACGATGATGTTGATGATGGTATTGACGATGATTGTGTTGACGATGATGATGTTGATGGTGTTGACGATGATGATGATGTTGATGATGGTGTTGACGATGATGGTGTTGATGATGGTGTTGACGATGGTGTTGACGATGGTGTTGATGATGATGGTGTTGACGATGTCCCGCAGGTCCCCGGCTTATCGCCACCAACTGCTCCTCCATCCACAGCCGCCACGCGCTCTCGTGCAAGATGGCGGTGGAGCTGGACACGTACCTCGTGTCCGGGAAGACGTGAGACGCCCCCACCCCTACCCCTCCTCCACCCCTACCCCTCCTCCACCCCTACCCCTCCTCCACCCCTACCCCTCCTCCACCCCTACCCCTCCTCCACCCCTACCCCTCCTCCACCCCTACCCCTCCTCCACCCCTACCCCTCCTCCACCCCTACCCCTCCTCCACCCCTACCCCTCCTCCACCCCTACCCCTCCTCCACCCCTCCCCCTCCTCCACCCCTCCCCCTCCTCCACCCCTCCCCCTCCTCCACCCCTCCCCCTCCTCCACCCCTCCCCCTCCTCCACCGCTCCCCCTCCTCCACACCTCCCCCTCCTCCACCCCTCCCCCTCCTCCACCCCTCCCTCTCCTCCACCCGTCCTCCACCCCTCCCTCTCCTCCACCCCTCCCTCTCCTCCACCCCTCCCTCTCCTCCACCCCTCCTCCACCCCTCCCTCTCCTCCACCCCTCCCTCTCCTCCACCCCTCCCCCTCCTCCACCCCTCCCTCTCCTCCACCCCTCCCCCTCCTCCACCCCTCCCTCTCCTCCACCGCTCCCCCTCCTCCACCCCTCCCCCTCCTCCACCCCTCCCCCTCCTCCACCCCTCCCTCTCCTCCACCCGTCCTCCACCCCTCCTCCACCCCTCCCCCTCCTCCACCCCTCCCCCTCCTCCACCCCTCCCTCTCCTCCACCCGTCCTCCACCCCTCCCTCTCCTCCACCCCTCCTCCACCCCTCCCTCTCCTCCACCCCTCCCCCTCCTCCACCCCTCCTCCTCCACCCCTCCCTCTCCTCCACCCCTCCCTCTCCTCCACCCCTCCCCCCTCCCTCTCCTCCACCCCTCCTCCACCCCTCCTCCTCCACCCCTCCCTCTCCTCCACCCCTCCCTCTCCTCCACCCCTCCCCCCTCCCTCTCCTCCACCCCTCCCCCCTCCCTCTCCTCCACCCCTCCCCCTCCTCCACCCCTCCCCCTCCTCCACCCCTCCTCCACCCCTCCCTCTCCTCCACCTCTCCCCCTCCTCCACCCCTCCCTCTCCTCCACCCGTCCTCCACCCCTCCCTCTCCTCCACCCCTCCTCCACCCCTCCCTCTCCACCACCCCTCCTCCACCCCTCCCTCTCCTCCACCCCTCCCTCTCCTCCACCCCTCCCCCTCCTCCACCCCTCCTCCTCCACCCCTCCATCTCCTCCACCCCTCCCTCTCCTCCACCCCTCCTCCACCCCTCCATCTCCTCCACCCCTCCCTCTCCTCTACCCCTCCCTCTCCTCCACCCCTCCCCCTCATCCACCCCTCCCCCTCATCCACCCCTCCCCCTCCTCCACCCCTCCTCCACCCCTCCCTCTCCTCCACCCCTCCCCCTCATCCACCCCTCCACCCCTCCTCCACCCCTCCCTCTCCTCCACCCCTCCCCCTCAGCCACCCCTCATCCACCCCTCCCTCTCCTCCACCCCTCCCCCTCCTCCACCCCTCTTCCTCCACCCCTCCCCCTCCACCCCTCCCTCTCCTCCACCCCTCCCTCTCCTCCACCCCTCCATCTCCTCCACCCCTCCCTCTCCTCCACCCCTCCCCCTCCTCCACCCCTCCCCCTCCACCCCTCCCTCTCCTCCACCCCTCCCTCTCCTCCGCCCCTCCTCCGCCCCTCCCTCTCCTCCGCCCCTCCCTCTGAGCTGGGAAGCTCTTATTCAGAAGCGACCCGACCATCTCAAACGCTAGCTCAACCAAGTGGGCTCATCATCATCATCATCGACGTCGTGTAGGAAATTTGCAGCCACCAAAGGACTCTTGAACGCCACCCGACTGACCGACCACCCCTTGGGAAGGCAGCAGTGGGTCGCTGCGTGCCGGCGTCGCCCATCCCATAACATCGCCCAGAGTTGATGCATTTCTCCCGGCAAGTTGCTCAAGCGGAATCACACGCGGCGGCAGCAGCAGCAGCGTCAACATCGCCACCCGGCCAACCCCCTGCCGTGAAACCGTCGCGGGCTGTGTCTGTGACACGCAGCGGCGTCGCCGTTCCTGTGCGACCACACAGCCCTGTGTCCACGCAGGGACAGCTGCCGCTGGGGGTGCCCCGCGAGGCTAGACCACCGCAGCAGCAGCAGCAGCATCGTTACTCCCCCCCCCACTCGCCCTACCCTGAACGTTCGCACCGCTCAGCTTAGAGGCGGCCGCTTCGGCGCCACCCCACGGACCGCTGGGCCCTCAATTGGCCGGGTCTCACCCGACCCTCCCTGGACCCCCCCCCCCCACCTCCTTGCCCCTCTGTGTGCCCCCCACCCCTCCAGCTGGTTCTGCCACGTGGACGACGACAACTACGTGAACGTGGGGGCCCTGGCGCGCGCGCTGGGAGCCTACCCCAGCTCGGGCGAGGTGTACGTGGGCCGGCCCAGCCTGGACCACCCCATCCAGGCCCTGGAGCGCGTGGGCAACGTCTCGGTACGGGCGCGGCCTCGCTACCCTCACCCCACAACCCACACCGCCCCATCCGCCACGCGTCGTTAAGTCGGATGTTAATTATCTCGCCTGATATACAGGAGGTCGTGGGTTCAATCCTGACCCCCAACGCCTGCTGTATATTTGGAGTTTGCGTGTCTCTCTCTCTGATCATCATCACGGTGGCTAGGAGATGTTAATTACCTCGCCTGGTCCACGGGAGGTCGTGGGTTCAATCCTGACCCTGACGCCTGCTGCTATTTGGAGTTTGCGTGTCTCTCTCTCTCGTCATCACGGTGGATAGATGTTAATTACCTCGCCGGGTATACAGGAGGTCGTGGATTCAATCCTGACCCTGACACCTGCTGCTGTATATTTGGAGTCTGCGTCTCTCTCTCTCTCGTCATCACAGTGGCTAGGAGATGTTAACTACCTCGCCTGGTTGGGGTGAACGCCTCCCCGGTGCTGCTGCCCCCCCTCCCCCTGCCCCCCGCCCCCTGCCCCCCGCCCCAGCACCTCACCTCACTGACCCCTCACCTTCCACCATGACTCCCATAACCCCCCCTATGACCCCTCACCCGTGACCCCACAGAGGCCCGTCACCTTCTGGTTCGCCACGGGCGGCGCCGGATTCTGCCTCAGCCGCCCGCTGGTGCTGCGCATGCGGCCCTGGGCCAGGTGAGCCCGGGGGGGGGGGGGGGAGGGGAGTCAAGGGTCAGGGGGGTCAGGTATGGGGGGGTCACGTGAGAATGGTCAGCTGTGTGGGGCCAGGGGTCAGGTGTGTGTGATCAGATGCGAGGGGTCAGGCGGGGTCAGGTGTGAGGGGTCAGGTGTGAGGGGTCAGGTGTGAGAGATCAGATGTGAGGGGTCAGGTGTGAGGGGTCAGGTGTGAGGGGTGTTGAGTCTACGGTGCAGTGTTGAGTGGATGGACATCTGTGACGACTGCGAAGTCTGCGTTGAAGAGCTTCCGAGCTCATCAGGATGGCTCCGGCAGAGTCAATATCTCTACGATTCTGATTGCTGAGTCTTTGCCTCTGGAGCGAGGGGGAGTTCGTCCGCACGAGCGAGCGGATCCGGCTGCCCGATGACGTCACCGTGGGGTACATCGTGGAGGCGCTGCTGGGAGGCCGCCTCTCAGCGTCGCCTCTCTTCCACTCACACCTGGAGAACCTTCCCCTGCTGCCTGCAGGGCGCCTCAGCCAGCAGGTGCCCTCACCGCTCGCTCACCGCTCACCTCTCACTCACCACTCGCTCACCGCTCACTCACCGCTCACTCACCAATCACTCACCATTCACTCACCAGTCACCACTCTTCCACTCACACCTGGAGAACCTTCCCCTGCTGCCTGCAGGGCGCCTCAACCAGCAGGTGCCCTCACCGCTCACTCACTGCTCACGATTCACTCACCTCTCACTCACCTCTCACTCACCACTCACTGCGGTGTGACGCCCACACAGGCGACGCTGAGCTACGGGGTGCTGGACCGGAAGAGGAACGTCATCACCCTGCCGGGTCCCTTCCCCCTTCACGCGGACCCCTCCCGGTGAGGCTCACACCGCATCCTCAGCAGCACGCGCGCGGCATCGCACACAGCACTGCACACACAGCATCACACACAGCATCACACACAGTACTGCCCACAGCATCACACACACGGCACGACACAACAGACAGCATCATACACAGCATCACAAAGATCTCCCGTGTAGCCTTAACAGGCTGTTGGGGCAAGTGCTGTTAGCGAGCGCCGATGAAGGCCGGCACGGTACACGAGGGGGTGGGTGGCCAGCACCACGCCCGGCCGCCTTTGTCTCCCCAGTGGCGATATTCACACACCGCACCAGGTACTCATTTGAGGCTGAGTCGACCTCGGGGAGGCCCAGGACCGGTTCAGATAATCGTCAGTGCTGCGATACGAACCTGGCGACCTTGGTCGCCACTAAGTGGCGGTGACGTCACCATGGCACTCGTGCCAGGCTAGGTGCACTTTGAGGTTATCACGTGAAGTGTCGAACTCCCGCTGGCAGGAGGTCACGGGACAGACCCAGCGGGATGCCACGGGTTGAGATGACTGAGATGACTGGCCGACCCGTCCACAGCACCACGCACAGCACCACGCACAGCATCACGCACAGCACCACGCACAGCACCACACACAGCATCACGCACAGCACCACGCACAGCACCACGCACAGCACCACACACAGCATCACGCACAGCACCACGCACAGCACCACGCACAGCATCACGCACAGCACCACGCACAGCATCACGCACAGCACCACGCACAGCATCACGCAGAACTTGCAGGCCAGACGGCTCGCACAGTCCTCGCAGCTGTAGTGCGGTCAGTCTTCAGACCCTCTCTCGAATCTGCGATGATCGCTCACCGCCCCCCCACTCACCCTCACTGGCCCCCCCTTCCCTCCACCAGGTTCCTGAGCCTGCACTGCCTGCTGTACCCCGACACCAGCTGGTGTCCACGGGGGACCCTGAGGTGACGACTGGGGGGGGGGGGGGGGGCGGACAAGGAGAGACACCTGGGACCCTGAGGAGACACGTGGGACCTCGAGGAGACACGTGGGGGTTATCCAGAGACACCTGGGACTCCGAAGAGACACGTGGGACCCCGAGGGGACACGTGGGGCCCCGAGGAGACACGTGGGGGTTATCCAGAGACACCTGGGACTCCGAAGAGACACGTGGGACCTCGAGGAGACACGTGGAGTTCATCCAGAGACACGTGGGGCCCCCCAAGAAGAGACACGTAGCGGGGACCCCCTCCCCGACTCCGGCGGGTGTGCGAGTGTAAATACGAGACCGGAGGCGCTTATTTATTGGATGCACTTTTTTGTCGTGTGAATTCTCGCCGGCCCGGGGAGGTGTCCGCGACCCGAATTAATTGGGTGCACTTTGTGAGCCCGCCGCTCCACTGTGGCCTGTCCCGCCGCTCCACCGTGGCCTGTCCCACCGCTCCAGCGTGGCCTGTCCCGCCGCTCCAGCGTGGCCTGTCCCACCGCTCCACTGTGGCCTGTCCCACCGCTCCACCGTGGCCTGTCCCACCGCTCCAGCGTGGCCTGTCCCGCCGCTCCACCGTGGCCTGTCCCACCGCTCCACCGTGGCCTGTCCCACCGCTCCAGCGTGGCCTGTCCCACCGCTCCACCGTGGCCTGTCCCGCCGCTCCACCGTGGCCTGTCCCACCGCTCCACCGTGGCCTGTCCCACCGCTCCACCGTGGCCTGTCCCACCGCTCCACCGTGGCCTGTCCCGCCGCCGCCGCCGCCATCGCCGTCGTAGTTTCCGCGAGCGTTATTTGTGAGGCCCCCAGGGGCCTCCATCCGGTCTGGTGGCCCGGCCCAGGGAAGAAGAACGACGAGCCCCCCCCCCCACCCCCTCTTAAAATTTTATTATTGAGTTAAACACGTGGGCACGCATAATGCGCATGCATAATGTACGTTGGCTCATTAATCCTCCCCCCGCCAACTTTACGCAAGAGCGCAGAAGTGCGGTCACCGCATCTACGCCTCTATATAAGGAACGAAACAGGTGGACTTCTCCACAAATCTGGCTGTCGCCTGATGAAGCTGGTTGTAATTACTGGCGACACGTCGTACTCAGGTTGTGAATGTTGTGGCTTGGCTCTCCAACACACAACCGGTGTTGCTGTACTAGTGACGAATTGGCCACGTTCTGTTTACGTGACAACCCTTACTAGTTGGCTGTGTCGGGCTGTGGCGGGTTTTAACGACACAACATTTATATACTTAAGCGATCTAACCCAAAAAAAACCTGTATTGATTATTTTCTAACAAATTTTCCGATCCACTTAATTCTCCAAAAATGTCCGGCTGCGAGAAATAAAAACATTCAAAGAAGTTCCGTTTCAGCGGTCGTAAGACGAACGAGCTTTGTCCGGAGTAAGGGGAACGTGGGGAAAATATATATATTTTTTTGTTAACGCAGCACCTCCTCGCGCAGACGAGAGGCGGGACTTGACGGGACCCTCAGGAGTAGTTCTGTGAGATCCGCTTGCGTGTTGCCGGGGGCCGTTCCGCGACGAGCAACGGAAGTGAATCTCAAAAGTTTTACGTTTGGCGCCGTTCACGCAGCGTTGTACAACACGATCCCCAGTAACATAAAAAAACTCCTTAAAACATTAAAAAAACTATCAGAGGAAAACAAACTCCCGCCCGCCCACCCCCCCCCCCCCCCAGACACGGGCGTTCTCGATCGGACGTTCCGTCCACCCGGGGCACGACAGCCGGGATCCAATGTTGAGATGGGCACGGCCTCGTTCCCAGTGTTCATGGAATGCGCAGCGGGTCCATGTTGGGGCCGGCTTGGGCACCCGTTTGTGAACCGTGCCGCTGTGTTTTGAGCCCAGTGCACGCCTCGTTTTCCACTGCATAACCGAGCCAGGCTGGGGTCTAAACTAAAAGTAAACTTTTGATTTAAAGCTTTCGTGACTGCAGGGATTCATATTCTTGGTTCTTTCGGTAAAGCCACGTAGAAGGGAAAAAATGAAATAAAAATATAAAATAAAATTCTCACTATATTTTTATTATTGTATTGTCTCCCTTCTACGTGACTTTACCGAAAGAACTAAGAATATAAAAGTAAACTTTTTTTTGTCTAGCTCTGTTTTTTCGGAAGCCACCTTGCTATCACAATCGACAGCTCAACTGAGTGGCTTTTCATGTGAAATGTATAGCAGCCACATCTTCTAAAACGGCATGATTCTAAATGGTGGAGGGGAAAAACTGGAGAAAAATCCACGCGACCACGGGGAGAGAGCAGCAGCAGGCGTCAGGGTCGGGATCGAACCCACGACCTCCTGTACACCAGGCGAGGTGGTTAACATCTCATAGCCACAGCAGCGACATGGCAGAGCCAAGTGTCGCCACCGTCGACGATGGGAGAGGCATCGCACGCGGCTGTTTTGGTAAAACAACAAACGCAGAGCCCTCGGCATCGACAGAGTCACCGCCGGCGAATCGTGCGCCGAGCGGAGCGGCATCCCACTGCGGGCTCTGGGAGTCGTCACCCTCCACTCCACCATCCCTCTGCTGTCTCTGGGAATCGTCACCCTCCCCTCCACCATCTCTCTACAAGGTCTGGGAATCGTCACCCTCCCCTCCACCATCCCCAGGCTATGGGAGTCGTCACCCTCCCCTCCACCCCGTCCCGGCTTCCTTCCTTCTTCTCTGCTGACGTCCACGACTGGCACTGATGCAGACGATGGAGGGTGGAGGATGGAGGATGGAGAGGGTGCAGGGTGGAGAGGGTGGAGAGGGTGGAGGATGGAGAGGGTGGAGGGTGGAGAGGGTGGAGGATGGTGGATGGAGAGGTGGAGGGTGGAGAGGGTGGAGAGGGTGGAGAGGGTAGAGGATGGAGAGGGTGGAGGGTGGAGGGTGCAGGGTGGAGAGGGTGGAGAGGGTGCAGGGTGGACGAACTGGGATCAAAAAGATGAAATGGAGAGGTGGACGAGCGCTGTTGTCAACTTGATGACGATGAGTGCTGGATGAAGATGATGAAGTGTTTAGTTTTTAGTTTGTCATCCTTCCCACGCACCTCCGATTCGCAGGGTTGGCTACGTACGGTGCAAAATAAGTTCCACATGCACACATGATGATGAAGAGTGACAAGACACTGTACGTTGAACTTCTTTCGCACCGTACGTGCTAATTGGAGGAGCGCGTTCGTTCGTTCTTGAGGCCAGCGCTGCCCCGTGGATGGACACGGGGAGCGCCGTCATCGTCATCGCGACCTCCTCGCAAGCCCCAGCGCCGTCTAGGGGACCGTCCATAAATGACGTCACGCGATTTTGAACGATTGATGAGCCCCCCCCCTCGTCACACGGCGTCACAAAAAGTCAGAACCCCCCCCTCAAATATGACGTCACAAAGCTCTGCCCCCCCCCACCCCCCAAAACCATATTTCCATTTTGAAAATAGAATATGCTTCAAGTCGCTTTAAACTATTGTCATTGCAGTGCGTATGTAATGTGGCGCTGCACTCTGATGTTGTAGGAGAAAACATTTATTTAAAAAAAGTCTATTGAATTAAGTAGAACGTGTTGTCTAGATTCATTTAAAGTTGCGCATTTTGATGTGACGTCACATTCCTCAAACCCCCCCCCCCCTCGTCACGCATCGTCACAAATGTCTGACCCCCCCCCCCCCAGGTGGGTGACGTCATTTATGGACGGCCCCTGTTCCCATTCGTCCGTGGTTCCTCCTGCGCGCGCCTCCGAGTCCTCTCTCTCTACGAGAGCCGAAACAGCGCACCGCAAGGTGACATCGTTATCTGCAGGAGGGTCCTGCCAAAGTTGGCTGCGGTCGGAGGTTTGGGCGATGGTTGCCGTTGAGAGCGATCACAATCGATGGACATTTTTTCAAATCTTGCCACCCTGACGCCGGCACAAGGCAAAGATCCCCCGTGTAGCCTGTAACAGACTGTAGGGGCAAGTGCTGTGAGCGAGCAGCACCTAAGGCCGGCACTGTGGCACACGAGGGGGTGGGTGGCAGAAACCACGCCCGGCCGCCTTTGTCTCCCCAGTGGCGACGTTTACACACCGCACCAGGTACTCAGCTGAGGCTGAGTCTACCTAGGAGAGGCCCAGGACCGGTTCAGATAATCGTCACCGGTGTTGGCCGTGAGCGGGAATCGAACTCGGGTCGCTGGGTTCGTAGCGCAGCGTAGCGCTAACCGCTGCACCACCGCTCCGTCGCTATTGCGAGCGGCGTCACGGGGATCTTTAACGTCCACTACGAGTGACGTGGCCGTGGTGATGGTGGTAATGGTGGTGATGGTGATGATGGTGGTGATGGTGGTGATGGTGGTGATGGTGGTGGTGATGATGGTGGTGATGGCGGTGATGGTGACGGCGGTGATGGTGATAATGGTGGTGGTGACGGCGGTGATGGTGACGGCAGTGATGGTGGTGATGATGGTGGTGATGGTGGTGATGATGGTGGTGGTGATGGTGGTGATGGCGGTGATGGTAATGGTGGTGATAGCGGTGGTGATGGTGGTGGTACTCTCATTACGGTTATTCCACCCGTGGTGTAAATCAGGCGGAGACTGGCAGTGGAAACTGCTTTATTCAGCAGTCATGGTGACACCGACACGGTGTGCGTGTTTCCGAGCGTGTATATACGTGTGTATATGCGTGTATACGCATGTGTATACGTGTGCGTGTATATACGAGTGTGTGCCCGACAAGCCCCACCAAAAACAGCACCTGCCTGGGTATTTTAGGAGGGGCGGTGCATCCGTCGGTCAAGCGGCGTTACTTTTTCTTCCATCGGCTGCGTAACGCCGCCGTGTGGAAGCTACCTGGCTCTGTTACTCCACACGGAGCTCCGTGTCTTCTTCGGCCAGGGTAATTCCCACGCCCCCCCCACGCTCGTAAAACGTGGAGCCCATTTCAATGAACACCTGCACCGGTGCCAAACATTCAGGACAGCCTGCCTACGACCCGTCCTGGGCTTAACCGTGAGAATGGATTGTCACATATCCCTAAAACATCTCGACAAAGTCCCCACCATCGGCGATCTCCTCCGGCAGGCAAGGCTGGAGAGGTTACAAAAAATTCAGGCCGTAATTGTGTAACTTATTTCTTAGTTAGAATATTAGTGGATGGATGGCAAGCTTAAGCATGCTTAATCGTTTTTTGCAGAAAGTTCCTTAATCCTTAAAAAATATATATATAGTCTGCAAATACGCAGAGTTTTTTGATGGAACTGACAAGATAAATTTAGATAAAAAATCGCATCGCTTCCAAATATTAAGTCAAAATGCTTAAAATTCTCAGCCGTCATCAGCGGTAAGTGGCATTTTGGGAAGTCTTTGACAAGTGACACGTTAAATTCTTGTAGCCGCCTTCAAAAGACAAGAGAGTGGGACAATTCTCAGAAATTAAAAAGCTTCGCTTCGAACTTAATTGATCACCCAAGTTGGTACTAAAAGGGCACGAATAAAAAATACCGTACATTCGTACAGTGCCGTACCTGATGAAAAAAATATCGTGAAATAGAAACAAAAAAATCACATACCGTACCGTAATTTCAAACCGTACCGTATACTTCCACCGTTGCCGGCAGCCGAGGCCGTGTTGGCCGGTTCATGTAGCCCGTATGCCCGGCCACAGCATGCCCTGGCAGCTTCTGTTTGGCTAGGTAAAGGGGGAAGTAAACGGGCACGACACGGGCTAGAGAAGAGATGGAGTGACGCGGTACAGGAGGACGTGGAGCTGAGTGTACTTGCCGATGACTGGTACCAGCGGTGTCAAGATCGGCCTCCGTGGAGGAGGAGGCTCGTGAAGGACGCTGCTGGGCAGTTGGAGGCAGTCGCCCTCCAACAACAACGGAGGGCAGAGGAGCGACGCTCACAACAACGAGCAGAGCGCCGGGCGGCTAAAACGCAGCAAGTTGGCACAGCAGATACACAGCTTGTGCATCTGCCCATCATCTCAATCAACCCATAGCACCTGGGTCTGTCAAGTGACCTCCTGCCAGCACCAATAGCCTTCGACACTTCACGTGGCCTCGATGTGCACCTAGCCTGGCACAAACGTTGTGACGACAACGCTGCCACTAAGTGGCGAACGGTGGCTGTGAGTGTACCATGTGCGCGTATATACACAAGTTTGAGTGCATGCAAGCACGCGTGCAAATAAGTTTTGGGAATATATATATAAAACTCTCCGTGTGGTGCGAGACGCAACGAGCAGACAGCGCGCTCACACCAAGGCCTCCAGCACGGGGCAAGCGCTGCATCACCACTCACGTCCCCCCCCCACAGGGCCCGCTGAACCCCAACTGCAGGGCCTCGTGCCCTCGAGAGCCCGGTCCCTCGGCCTCACTCCCAAGGCCCCACACCACCTCCCCGACGCAGAGCCGATCGTCCGATGGACTAAAATATATCTTTATTTATTTATATCTGAAGAAAAGAAAAAAAACAAATTTGAGCTATGCTTCTTATACAGCACACACCCAAGCCGTGACCTCACGAACCCCCAGCCCTAACCCCGTGAACCCAAAACTATGACCCCAAGAACCCCTAACCCCAAAGAACTCGCCACAGCCCTAACCCCAAGTCCCCGCACGGCCCTGCCCACGAACCAGCCTCGTCCCCCATCGTCTCCTCGTCGTCGCGACGACCCCGGTGACCCCGGTGACCCCGGTGACCCCGGCCGTCTACAGAGCCCGCAACCCACGTGGCCGCGCGCGTCTACTGCCGCGGCGCCGCCGCCGCCGCCGCCAATCCGTCGCCGCGAGCGCCGTCCCCGCCGCCGGCGCCGTCCGCGCCGTCGCTCCCGGCGCCGGCGCCGTCGCCGTCTCCGGCATCGGCGGCGCCGCCGCCGCCGGCGGCCGTGTCGCGCGCCAGGCTCTGCAGGGCGCGGTACTGCGCCTGCATGCGCGCCAGCTGCGAGCGCATGGCGCCCGCCTCGCGGCTCAGCGCCGTCACCTCGGCCTGCAGGTGCGAGCGCTGCTCCTCGAGCACGGCGCGCTGCTCCGAGCGCTGCGCTCGGCAGTTGGCGGCGTAGCCGCGGTTCTTGAGCGTGCGCCGGCGCGTCTTCAGCCGCGCCGCCTCCTCGGGGCCCGCGGCGCGCAGCCGCCGGTTCAGCTCGCGCACCGGCAAGGACAGCAGCTCCGTGTCGGAGATGGAGGGCGGCCCGCCGGCGCCGCCGCCGCCGCCGCCGCCGGGCAGAGCGTCGGAGGAGACGTCGCCGCGCCGCGGAGCCTGGGAGAGCGAGCGCGCGACGGGCGTGAGGTGCATTGCTACTTTGAGGTGACGGTCTACGTCAAGTTTTCAAGTTTCGTTTATTAGGTAGAGCCCTGTGAGCCATGCGGCTCTTAAGTCGGGTGCAACCGCAACAAACAAAATATGAACAAAGAACATCCCAAAGCGACGACGTGCAAACAGAAACATCCTGGAATAAACCAGCAAATATTCCACACAGAAAACAAACCGTATTAAAACGCTGTGTGCAAAAAATCACAATGTGGTGCAAACCAACAACAACCATAAAACAATTTAGATTAACCATATGTTTTCGAATCACCAAAATAAAGCTATAAAAACAATGTAACAACAGTTATCATAGGAACTGTGATTTAAAATTTAACAATAAACGATATACATAACACGTACGACAAAAAATTTCAGCCATAGCTGGCAGCAGTTGAAGTGACAGTCTACGTCAGAAACAGGGTTCAGGTCACTGTCAGGGTTAGAGTCTAGGTTGTGGTGATGGTCTGGGTTAGGGTTTGGGTTCAGGTGAGGATCAGGGTTAGGGTCGAGGTCAGGGTTAGTGTCTAGGTTGTGGTGATGGTCTGGGTTAGGGTTTGGGTTCAGGTGAGGATCAGGGTTTGGGTTCAGGTGAGGATCAGGGTTAGGGTCGAGGTCAGGGTTAGGGTCTAGGTTGTGGTGATGGTCTGGGTTAGGGTATGGGTTCAGGTGAGGATCAGGCTTAGGGTCGAGGTCAGGGTTAGAGTCTAGGTTGTGGTGATGGTCTGGGTTAGGGTTTGGGTTCAGGTGAGGATCAGGCTTAGGGTCGAGGTCAGGGTTAGAGTCTAGGTTGTGGTGATGGTCTGGGTTAGGGTTTGGGTTTAGGTGAGGATCAGGCTTAGGGTCGAGGTCAGGGTTAGGGTCTAGGTTGTGGTGATGGTCTGGGTTAGGGTTTGGGTTCAGGTGAGGATCAGGGTTAGGGTCGAGGTCAGGGTTAGGGTCTAGGTTGTGGTGATGGTCTGGGTTAGGGTTTGGGTTCAGGTGAGGATCAGGGTTTGGGTTCAGGTGAGGATCAGGGTTAGGGTCGAGGTCAGGGTTAGGGTCTAGGTTGTGGTGATGGTCTGGGTTAGGGTATGGGTTCAGGTGAGGATCAGGCTTAGGGTCGAGGTCAGGGTTAGAGTCTAGGTTGTGGTGATGGTCTGGGTTAGGGTTTGGGTTCAGGTGAGGATCAGGGTTAGGGTCGAGGTCAGGGTTAGTGTCTAGGTTGTGGTGATGGTCTGGGTTAGGGTTCAGGTGAGGATCAGGGTTAGGCTCGAGGTCAGGCTCCCGGAGTCCCAGGCCACACCTTGCCAGAGCGATTTCCTTTCTTGCCGGAAGCGGCAGCCATGGCAGCGCTGACCAGCACGGCGTCCTGGAAACGCAACACAGAGACAACACAGAGACACATCAACAACACAGATTACACACAGATTACACAGAGACACATCAACAACACAGATTACACACAGATTACACAGAGACACATCAACAACACAGATTACACACAGATTACACAGAGACAAATCAACAACACAGACACACAGATTACACACAGACACACATCAACAACACAGACACACAGATTATACATCAACAACACAGACACACAGATTACACATCAACAACACAGACACATTACACACAGAGACAACACAGAGACACATTACAAAGACACAGGGACATTACACACAGACACAATACAGACACAATACAGAGATGCAACACTCAGAGACACGTTACACAGGCACACATTACATAGATACACACAGACACGTTACAGAGAAACACACAGACAGAACAGAGACGCATTACTCACACACACAGAGACACATTACACAGATACATTACACACACACTACACACACCGTGTACATTACACACACACTGTACATTACACACAAACTACACACTGTACATTACACACACACTACACACACCGTGTACATTACACACACACTACACACACACTGTACATTACACACAGACCCTGTACACACACACCCTGTACACACCCTGCACACACACACCCTGAACACACACACCCTGAACACACACAGACCCTGTACACACACACATACCATGTACACACACATACCATGTACACACACACCCTGTACACACACACCCTGTACACACCCTGTACACACACAGACCCTGTACACACACACATACCATGTACACACACACCCTGTACACACACACACACCCTGTACACACACACACCTTGTACACACACCCTGTACACACACACCCTGTACACACGCACCCTGTACACACACACTCTGTACACACACACACCCTGTACACACACACAAACACACCCTGTACACACACACACCCTGTACACACACACCCTGTACACACACACACCCTGTACACACACACAAACACACCCTGTACACACACACCCTGTACACACAAACACACCCTGTACACACCCTGTACACACACACACCTTGTACACGCACACAAACACACCCTGTACACACACACACACTAAACACCCCCTTACACAAACACACCCTGTACACACACACACCCTGTACACACACACACACCCTGTACACACACACATACCATGTACACACACACCCTGTACACACACACACACCCTGTACACACACACACACACCCTGTACACACACACCTTGTACACACACCCTGTACACACACACCCTGTACACACGCACCCTGTACATACACACTCTGTACACACACACACCCTGTACACACACACAAACACACCCTGTACACACACACACCCTGTACACACACACCCTGTACACACACACAAACACACCCTGTACACACACACCCTGTACACACAAACACACCCTGTACACACCCTGTACACACACACCTTGTACACACACACAAAAACACACCCTGTACACACACACACTAAACACCCCCTTACACACATACACCCTGTACACACACACACAAACACACCCTGTACACACACACACACCCTGTACACACACACACACACCTGTACACACACACACACACCTGTACACACACACAAACACACCCTGTACACACACACACCTTGTACACACACACATACTACACACCCTGTACACACACACACCCTGTACACACACATACACACCCTGTACACACACACACCCTGTACACACACACACTACACACCCTGTACACACACCCTTTACACAACAGCCATTCGCCACTAAGTGGCGGTGACGTCACCACACACACCCCCTTACACACACACCCTGTACACACACTGTACACAAACACACTACACCCCCTTACACACGCACACCCTTACACACACACCCTGTACAGACACACACCCTGTACACACACACACCCTGTACACACACACACCCCCTTACATACACACCCTGTACACACACACACCCTGTACACACACACACACTACACCCTGTACACACACACCCTGTACACACACACCCTGTACACACACACCCTGTACACACACACACACTACACCCCTACCCTACACACAAACCCGACACCCACTGTACACACAGAGGTCACGCGGCGCCCATGACTCAGCGAGACAACAGCCTCCACACAGCTCCAAACTACCCGTCTCACCAGGGGTACACCTACCCGTCTCACCTACCCGTCTCACCCTGGGTACACCTACCCGTCTCACCTACCCGTCTCACCTACCCGTCTCACCCTGGGTACACCTACCCGTCTCACCTACCCGTCTCACCCTGGGTACACCTACCCCCTCGGAGAACCCTGTCCCTTTAAGACCCCTGGTCCCCCTATCCAGCTCCCCCACCCCTATACACCCCCACCCCTATACACCCCCTCTCCACCATCCCTATAGGAACCCCTCTTCCCACCACGCACCCCCTATCCCACCCTGGACCCCCTTCGCCCTCTCTGGGGGGGTGGGGGGGGAGTGGTCGCGCTTACTCTGAGACGATCACCGCGGACCCCCCTGTCGACTGTCCTCCTCGCTCCCAACCCCCAACCCTCCCCCCGCCAAGGGACCCCTGAGGACCCCCTCCGGGTACCCCTGAAGAGCAGCCCCTGGATACGGGGGGGGGGGGGGTGTGGGCAGTCGAACCCCGGCTGCGAACTTCGCCCCCCAGCCTCCAAGCCCACGTGCGCGATCAACCAACAGGGGGTGGGGGGGTCGACTTCCTCGATTATAGAATCGGCTGCGCCTCGCGATTCACGAATCGACCGCTAGCGCGGCGACGAAGGCGGGTTCGACGCGTGCGCGCGCGCAGGGGGGGCGGGGAATCGATACGCGGCGTAAATCGGTTTATCGATTCGCACGCCGGCGAGCGAGCGAGCGGCAACTCCTCTGTGGGAATCGACGAACTTGCGGAGTCGAGTCGACGACGGGGAATCGCGATCAGCTGTTTTTGGTGAAGGTGAGGTCGAGAACCGCGTGGGGAGGGGGGACGCTCGATCCACTGCTGGATGAGACGTGGGGGGGGTCTCTGTGCTCGATCCACTGCTGGATGAGACGTGGGGGGGGTCTCTACGCTCGATCCACTGCTGGATGAGACGTGGGGGGGGGTCTCTACGCTCGATCCACTGCTGGATGAGACGTGGGGGGGGTCTCTGTGCTCGATCCACTGCTGGATGAGACGTGGGGGGGGTCTCTACGCTCGATCCACTGCTGGATGAGACGTGGGGGGGGGTCTCTACGCTCGATCCACTGCTGGATGAGACGTGGGGGGGGTCTCTGTGCTCGATCCACTGCTGGATGAGACGTGGGGGGGGTCTCTACGCTCGATCCACTGCTGGATGAGACGTGGGGGGGGGTCTCTGTGCTCGATCCACTGCTGGATGTGGGGGGGGGGTCTGTGTGCTCGATCCACTGCTGGATGAGACGTGGGGGGGGGGGGTCTCTGTGCTTGATCCACTGCTGGATGAGACGGGGGGGGGGGGGGTCTCTGTGCTTGATCCACTGCTGGATGAGACGTGGGGGGGGGTCTCTACGCTCGATCCACTGCTGGATGAGACGTGGGGGGGTCTCTGTGCTCGATCCACTGCTGGATGAGACCCGGGAGCCGTGGGGGGTGCGGTTATGGTTAAGGGGGGGGGGGGCTGCTTGACCATGCTTGACCATACTTCACCACTGTGGTCAGTCGATCATTACAAATTATTGTTGTTGAAAGCTGTGGGGGTAAACTTTAAACATTGGGGGGCATAGTACAGTGCAATAATTACAGTACAGTGTTAATGATCACGCGGGTGCTGGGAGGGGTGGTGGGGGGCTGCCCCCCACCAACCTGACGAAGCCTATAGCACCTGTTATGCAGCGTGGTGATATTGGTAGCTCCGTGTGTCTATCTCCGTGTGTCTCCCTCGCCACTGATGTCAGCCGTGCCCCCAGGGGGGTTGTTGACATTGCGTGGGGTGGATTTTGTTGTGTATAACCGGCTTATGTTGCCTATAACTGGCTTATGTTGCCTATAACCGGCTTCTGTTGCTTATATACGGTTTATGTTGCCTATAACTGGCTTATGTTGCCTATAACGGGTGTATGTTGCCTATAACCGGCTTATGTTGCCTATAACCGGCTTCTGTTGCTTATATACGGTTTATGTTGCCTATAACAGGTTTATGTTGCCTATAACAGGTTTATGTTGCCTATAACAGGCTTATGTTGCCTATAACTGGCTTATGTTGCCTATAACGGGTGTATGTTGCCTATAACCGGCTTATGTTGCCTATAACCGGCTTCTGTTGCTTATATACGGTTTATGTTACCTATAACAGGTTTATGTTGCCTATAACCGGCTTATGTTGCCTATAACGGGTTTATGTTGCCTATAACCGGCTTCTGTTGCTTATATACGGTTTATGTTGCCTATAACCGGTTTATGTTGCATATAACCGGCTTATGTTGACTATAACCGGCTTATGTTGCCTATAACGGGTTTATGTTGCCTATAACCGGCTTCTGTTGCTTATATACGGTTTATGTTGCCTATAACCGGTTTATGTTGCCTCTAACCGGCTTATACCAGGAGGTCGTGGGTTCGATCCTGACCCTGACGCCTGCTGCTGTATATTTGGAGTTTGCGTCTCTCTCTCTCTCCCTCTCCCCGTGGTTGTGTGGATTTAGCTTCGGGTCCACTGGTTTATCCCTCCACAATTAGAGTCGACATCACCACGCGTGCAGAGTATTTGGCGGCTGCTGTGAATTTCCGCACGTTTGGAGGTAGCCAGGTCGCTCACGAAAAAAGAGCGACGTTTCTCAGTGGGGGGGGGCCTTACCTGGTAAAAAAATAAAAAAGTATTATTTTTTAAGTTAACCGAGTCACCGAGGGCAAATCGATCGTTACCATGCGGTGACTCAAGACCGCCGTGCGGTTTGTGCGTCTGTGGTCGTGCCGAAACGTCGGTTCCGTTCATTTGCCAGCATTACAACTGAAAGCGGCAGCGGCTTAATAATTGCCTGTGAGCGTTGGACAACCATTAGTCCGCAGTGGATAAGACCGTGGCCGCTGATGGTGGTGATGGTGACGATGATATATATATTTTTCTTTTCCGCTTGTGTGTTAATCTGTGTGTACCCCGGATATTTTAAAGATGTCAATTCTCCTGCTGTGTATCCTACTGCTGTTCCTCCCGGCCATATCTAGTGCCACACTCAACTCTACAAACGGCTACCCTCGTTACTTTGCGTCCATACTTGTTCGATTTGCCACTACACCTGCAAATGAAACAGCTTATAGACACTTCTACACGCCATCATTGTATCCTTTTAAACCCTATCTTTGTCCCATAACTTCACCAGCACTCCTTCCAAACTTCATTCTGCTCCTAAAAATAACACCATCTGCGAGCTGCTGCTATTCGTCCAAGGTTCGCCGCTCTTCATCCTTTCACAGAAAATACTTGTGCAAACTATTAATTCTACTTTTCTTATTTCTGGGTGGTATTGAGCTTCATCCTGGCCCAAATGTAAAGAACTCGTATAATTCTGTAGATTTTTCTGGCAGAAAAGGTGTTGGTGTTCTACATGTCAACATCAGAGGGCTTGTGATTAAATTAAGTCAAGTAAAACTAGAAGTGGCAAATCTTGACCCGGAGATTTTTTTGCCAAACAGAAACATTTCTCACTCCTGCCGTCAATGACTTGCAGATTACGATTGACAACTACAACCTTTTTCGGCTTGACCGAGGATCTAAAGGAGGTGGAATTGCCATCTCTGTTGGTAATACTATTGCATATTCACCAGCTCACTCCTTGTTTAAAAATGTTGCTTTGAAGGTCTGGCTCTCAGAATAACTCTCCCAAATAATCAACAGATATTGGTAGTGTGCTGCTATAGACCGCCTCGTGGGAAGGATATTGAAGCTGCATCTGCACTGAGATAGCTTTTTGGGGGCCTCCCGAAAGGTGAAATAGTTTTTCTCGCACCCAAATTGTATTCACAGATGGTTGGAGGTCAAACAGTGTTGAGATAACAAAAGGTGTTCCACAGGGTTCCATCCTCGACCCCCTCTTGTTCTCTCTTTATGTCAATGACTTGGGCACTGACCTGGATCATGCCAGGGTAAATCTTTTTTTTTTACTGCTGGCGTGATTGCTTAGCTACAGGGTGATTTCAACAAACTACAACATCAGCTAGTTGCTCTTAAACTAGTCCTGAATACCTCCAAAACCAAGGTGTGCTATGCTTCTCACCAGGACTAAAGCAGGAAGTTATTTTTCCCCAATTACATTCATTAAATCATCAAGTAGAGCGAGTCAAGATCTATAAGTATCTTGGGGTCATCCTGGATTCAAAACTGAATTTTGAAGATCACATTGATTATATTGGTAAAAAGACAAAAAAATGGTTTTCTGTATCGACACAAGCACTGCTTCCCCCCTATGTTCCGTTTGGAATTGATCAAAACTACCATACTGCCTCTACTTGATTACTGTGACATCGTGTGCCCTCTCTAGGTCGACTCAGCCTAAAGCGTCTCCCGCCACCCCCTTGCAGGCGCTTCCCCTGACCCCTGGCTGTGAAAGGGGGCGGCGGCAGCCATGGATATCCTGGGGCGCCTGGTGAGGGGGGCCCTGTCGGCCGTGGCGCCGGGCCTCGCGGGCCCCCTGCAGGCACGGGAGGTGTCCCTGGGCGACTACCGGGGCCTGGAGGCCGTGGCCCAGGAGGGGAGTCTGACGCTGCTGCGGCTCGGCGGCTCCTGGGACGGCCTCCTGCAGCCGGGGCCTGGGGCCACGGTGGCACTCAGGTGCTCGCACACGCACACACGCACACACGCGCACACGCACACACGCACACACGCACACATGCCACCGTGTACACCACACACGCGCACACGCACACACGCCACCGTGTACACCACACACGCGCAGACGCACACACAACAACAACAACCGCCATTCGCCACTAAGTGGCGGTGACGTCACCACGACGCTTGTGCCAGGCTATGTGCACCCTGAGGCCACGTGAAGTGTCGAACGCCCGCTGGCAGGAGGTCACGGGGCAGACCCAGGTGCCACGGGTCGACTGACTGAGATGACTGGCTGATGCACCACCTGTGCCCCCTACTGTGGCAACCTGCTGTGCTTTAGCCACCCGGCGCTCCGCTCGTTGTTGTGAGCGTCGCTCCTCCGCCCTTCGTTGTTGTTGGAGGGCGACTGCCTCCAACTGCCCAGTAGCGTCCTTCACAAGCCTCCTTCACAGAGGCCGATCTTGACACCGCTGGTACCAGTCATCGGCAAGTCCACTCAGCTCCACGTCCTCCTGTACCACATCACTCCATCTCTTCTTTAGCCCGTGCCGCGCCCGCTTAGCCCCCTCAATCCGGCCGAACAAAAGCTGTTTTGGCATGCGGTTGCTGGGCATGCGGGCTACATGACCCAGCCATCGCAGCCTTCCCCGCCGGAGGAGCTCACCGATGGGACCTTGCCCAGATCTTTCAAGGATTTGTGAGCTCCTCACACAATCCAGTCTGGTTAAACCCAGGATGGATCGTAGGCAGGCCAGCCTAAATGTTTCTAACCGGCGAAGATGTTCCATTAGGGGGGTCCACGTTTCGCAAGCGTAGAGAAGGGAGGGAATGACCGTGGCCGAGAAGACGTGAAGCTTAGTGCGGAGCGACAGACCAGGTAGCTTCCACACAGCGTTACGCAACCGATGAAAAGATATTGCCGCTTGACTGATTCGGAGTGAGACCTCTGTTGTTAAACTGGAGCCAGTCATAAGCACACTGCCCAGGTATGGGAAACTCTCCACTCTCTCCACAACTGCCCCATCACCGATTGGGAGTTATGGGGGTGGAGTGTCCGATGGTACAAAATACCCAGGCAGGTGCTTAGTTTTGGTGGGGCTAATGGTAAGGCCCCACCTCTTAGTGGCACGCTCCAGTCTCAGCAGCAGCGTCTCCAACTCCTCCTCTGAATGAGCAGCTATTACCAAATCATCAGCATACATAACGTGGTTGAGCAATAGGGAGCCATCCCTTGACCGCACCCGGGCATCGATCAGCCTCCCATTATATCTGTACCATATGGAGATTCCCCCGGTACAGCTATTGAAGGCTTCACGAACTACGTGGTCAGAATAGATGTTAAATAATGTGGGAGCCAGAGGACATCCCTGTCGCACCCCAAGGTGTACAGGGAATGGCTCTGACTCCCGGCCACGTAGTTTTACCCGGGCCCGCTCACCATTATGAAGGTCCTTAATGATCGTGAGCAGAGGGTCAGGTACTCCAAAAGCACGAAGAACAACCCAGAGCCCAGGCCTACTGATGGTATCATAGGCCTTGACCAGGTCAATAAAGCAGAGATGTAGGTCTTGTTGGAATTCCCTACACCTCTGCTGTAGCAGACGGACAGAAAATATGGCATCTGTGCAGGACCGCCCTTTCCTGAAACCGCATTGGGGCTCCGCAAGCCTCTCCTCAGCGTGCCTGGTAAGGCGATGCTGAATAATCCTTGCCAGGACCTTTCCCGGCACACTGAGGAGTGAGATGCCCCTGTAGTTGTTACAGTCTGTGCGGTCCCCCTTCTTAAAAAGGGGGACCACCAGGGCATCCTTCCAATCCTGCGGAACCCGTCCAGTGGTCCAGACTGTTGTTATGATGTCATATAGGGCAGTCTGTGCACAAACGCCACCCTCCCTCAGCATTTCTCTTGGGAGATCATCTCTGCCTGCTGCCTTTCCTGGTCTCAGACTCTGGATCGCCTTCAGTATTTCCTCAACAGATGGGACCTCAGCCAGCCACTCATAGGGGGTGACCTCTTCCAATATTTGAAGCACCACAGCCTCAGCAGGGTCATCCTCACTTTGTGCCACGATGTTTTCCTGGCTGAGGGATTTTCCCTCCCCCAGGACCTCACAGAAGTGCTCAGCAAATCTGCAAACCTGTTCCTGGGGGTCGGAGATTGGGTCACCGTTTTTTCCTCTAATGATGGTAATAGGTGTGGCGCTGCAGATTACTTTTTTGATGGAGTTAAATAGAGATTTGCGATCACGGGCCACTGAGGCAGACTGCATCTCCTCAGCAACCCGCGACCACCACCCATCCTTGCAGCGCCTCACGGCTCTCCGAACCTCCGAGTGAAGGCTGCAGTAAGCCTCCTCATTCTCTGACGTGGGATTCTGTAGCCGATGACAGTGGACCTGTCGCTTTTTCTCAACCATCCTGAACACCTCCTCTGTAGCCAGGGTCTCTGGGGAGGTCTGGACCGCGTACCCAAAGCAGCCATTGCAGCTGCATGAGTCACAGTCCTAAACCTCGCCCATTTACCCTCGACATCAGGAGGAGTTGGGGACGATGCCAATCCCAGCCGCAAGCGATGATGAAATTCTCGCTTGCAACTTTCATCAGATAACTGAGACCAGGCCACTTTAGGTTGGAATGGGGTCCAGGGTGTACACCCACCACCGGAGTGGAAGAATGGCAGGCGCATCTTACAGATGACTAGTCGATGGTCAGAGGGCAGATCAACTCCACGGTAGGTCCTCGTGTCAAGGACATGGGCTCGCATCCGCTGGTCCGTCACTATGTAGTCCAGCAGACGTTCTTGCTTGGACCCGGCATGCATCCATGATGTTGTGTGGATGCGCCGATGCCGGAACAGCATGTTGGTAATTACAAGCCCATGGGCTGCACAAAAATCTAGCAGCCTCCTACCGTTGTTATTGAGCTGATCTGGCCCATGCCCTCCAATCACTCCAGACCAGGTGCCAGTATCATGACCAACTCGGGCATTGAAGTCACCCAACATAATGACTCTATCCCGAGGGGCCACTTTAGCCAGCACCTGTGACAGGAGGTCATAGAAGGCATCTGACTCATCGGCTTTGCCTGCATCCCTCCACGGATGTTCATCTTCGCTGGGGGCATAAGTAACCACGACCACCATTCCTCGCCTCCGGTTGATGGGAAGGCGAGCCCAAAGTAGCCTGGGGCTTACAGCTTCCCACACCTCACCGCCACGCTCCCACGCCCCCTTCATTCTTTTGTTCAAAGAAGACCCACACCCTGTTGTTTGGCAGTCTGCTGCCCCGAGTAGAGGACTGTCCACCCCTCATGGTGGCAGGAGCCAGAGCCGGTCCACCGGACCTCCTGAATGCCACATAGATCCAGGCGGTACCGGTCCAGCTCCCGACAGAGGAGTGGCAGCACACACGCACACGCGCACACACGCACACACGCACACACCACCGTGTACACCACACGCGCACACACACGCCACCGTGTACACCACGCACACGCACACACCACCGTGTACACCACACACACGCACACACCACCGTGTACACCACACGCGCACACACACGCCACCGTGTACACCACACACACGCACACACCACCGTGTACACCACACAACCGCGTGCGCTCACCGTGCCACCGCCACCGCCGCGTCACCGCCCACCGCCGTCTCCCCCCAGGCTGTTCCGCGTGTCCGGCGAGCCCGAGGCGCGCCGCCTGTTCGCGCTGCTCGCCGAGCGCGTCCTGCCGCTGGTGAGCGGCACCGGCGGCGCGGTGTGGCCGGGCGGCGCCGGCGCGGGGCCGGCCGCCTCGGCGCAGCGCGTGCTGGACGCCCTGCGCGAGCACCCCGAGTGGACGCCGGCCCACCTGGCGGCGCACGCCGGCCTCGTCCACGCCTTCCGGCACAACGCCGTCCTCAGGTAGTGGCGGCCGCGGGGAGCCGTTGGTCGGGACGCCGGTACCGCCGCCGACCCCAACGTTCCTCCTCCGTTGCCGTGTTACATCGCCCCGATCGCCAGGCCGCGTCCTGGACGATAGGTTCCGGTTCCGCGTCGTCACGGTGGCTGAGAGATGTTAACCACCTCGCCTGGTACGCAGGAGGTTCGTGGGTTCCATCCCGACCCTGGCGCCTGCTGCTGCTGTATGTTTGGAGTCTGAGTGTCTCTCTCATCATCATCACGGTGGCTAGGAGATGTTAACTACCTCGCCTGGTGTGCAGGAGGTCGTGGGTTCGATCCCGACCCTGCTGCTGCTGCTGTATATTTGGAGTCTGCGTGTCTCTCTCTCTCATCATCATCACGGTGGCTAGGAGATGTTAACTACCTCGCCTGGTGTGCAGGAGGTCGTGGGTTTGATCCCGACCCTGGCGCCTGCTGCTGCTGCTGTATATTTGGAGTCTGCGCGTCTCTCTCGCGTGGATTTTTCCCCACGCGATAGGCCGCTTCCTCGAGCTCTCGTTTCACGACGGCGGTCGCTTCCGGGAAAAAAGCAGCCAAAGAGCTCAGCGGGCCCTCGCGCGCGTTCAAATGAAAAGCGGCCGTCTTGTTGCTGGGCGGCGGAGTGTTCGACGGCAACAAGTTTTGCGGCGTCGCCCATCGCCGTCTCCCCCCCGGCTCGCCCGCGCAGGGACGTGGAGAGCGGCGCCGGCGGAGCGACGCCGCTCGTGGTGGCGGTGAGCGCCGGGGAGCTGGCCTGCGCCTCCGAGCTGCTGGCGTGCGGAGCGCGTGTCGACACGCGGGACGCGCGCGGGGACACGGCGCTGCACCTCGCCGCACGCCGCACCGACCCCGCCCTCCTGCAGGTGCGACGCGCCGCGCTGCGCCGCGCTGCGGCACAACGCACCGCACACACACACACACGCACGCACACACACGCACACGCGCACACACACGCACACACGCGCACACGCGCGCCGGGCGGTGTCGACCCGACCGCCGCTCGCTAACAGCGTGGGTTATGCCGGGGGGGGGGGGGGGGGGCGGCACCTTTTGTTGTCTCGCCGCGTGGCTCAGTGTCTGTGCGAGGCGGCGCACGGCACGCTGGACGGGCCCAGCGGCGCCGGCGAGACGGCGCTGCAGGAGGCCTGCCGGCTGGGCCGCGAGGACGCCGCCCGAGTCCTCCTCCTCGCCGGGGCCGGCACGGGGGGGCCCGGCGCGGGGGGGCCCGGCGCGGGGGGGCCCGGCGCGGGGGGGCCCGCGGGGGAACACGCGGTGCACACCGCCCTGCGGCACGACCAAATCGGGTGCCGTGACTCCCCACGTTACACGTGACACGTGACACACACACACACACACACGCACACACGCACACACACACGCGCGTTGTACACCGCGGACTGTCGGGGCTGTTAGCAGGCAGCAGCGCCTACGACGGCCGGCACGGCGCACGAGAGGGTGGGTGGCCAGCACCGCGCCCTGCCGCCTTTGTCTCCCTAAGTGGCGATGTTTACGCGCCGCACCGGGTACTCATTTGAGGCTGAGTCGACCTAGGGGAGGCCCAGGATCGGTCACCGGTGTTGGCCGTGAGCGGGAATCGAACTCGGGTTCGCAGCCGGGTTCGTGGTACAGCGTAGCGCTAACCGCTACACCACCGCTCCCCACAGAGAGACCCACAGCTAAACGCCCACACACCTTACACACGCCTTACACACACGTATATAATTCAGCGCATGTGTGTACACGTAGGTGTGTATGCGCGCGTGCGTGTATGTGCGTGCGTGTGTGTGTACGTGTACACGCTTCTACGTGTGCGTGTGTTACGGGACAGTTTTTGTGTACGAGTTGGCACAGTAGCGGGGGTACAGCTGGTGGTGCATCTACCAGCGGTCATCTCAGTCAGCCAACCCATGGCACCTGCTGGGTCTGTCCCGTGACCTCCTCCTGTCAGTGAGCCTTCGACACTTCACGTGGCAGCCTCAAAATGCACCTAGCCTGGCACAAGCGCCGTGGCGACGTCACCGTCGCTTCGCGGCGAATGGCGGTTGTGTTGGTATTGGTGCGTGTGTGGGTGTGTGTGTGTGTGGGTGTGTGTGTGTGTGCGTGTGTGTGTGTGTGCGTGTGTGCGTGCGTGTGTGTGTGGGTGCGTGTGTGTGTGTGGGTGCGTGTGTGTGTGTGTGCGTGCGTGCACACACACACAGCGGTAGTGTAGCGGTTAGCGCCCTGCGCTATGAACCTGGCGACCCGGGTTCGATTCCCGCTCACGGCCAACACCAGTGACGATTATCTGAACCGGTCCCGGGCCTCCCCTAGGTAGACTCAGCCTCAAATGAGTACCTGGTGCGGTGTGTAAACATCGTCACTAGGGAGACAAAGGCGGTCGGGCGTGGTGCTGGTCACCTACCCCCTCGTGTACCGTTCCGGCCTTTATAGGTGCTCGCTAACAGCACTTGCCCCTACAGTCTGTTAAGGCTATACGGGGGATCTTTGTCTTTGTGCGTGCGTGTGCGTGTGTGCGTGTGTGCGTGTGTGTGTGTGTGTGTGCGTGTGTGCGTGTGTGTGTGTGCTCGTGCAGCTGTGTGCAGCTGCTGCTGGATCTGCGCACGGAGCAGCTGGACGCACGCGACGCCAAACACGGAGGCTCGCCCATGCACTGGGCCCGCAGCGCACAGGTTGGGAGTGTGAGCGAGTGTGAGCAAGAGAGTGAGCTACAGAGTGAGCACGTGTCAGCAAGTGTGAGTGTGAGCGAGTGTGAATGTGAGCGAGTGTGAGCGACTGTGAGTGTGAGCGAGCGTGAGCTAAAGAGTGAGTGTGAGCGTGAGCGAGTGTGAGCAAGAGAGTGAGCGAGTGTGAGCGAGACAGTGAGCGTGAGCTAGAGTGTGAGCTAGAGAGCAAGTGTGAGCGAGTGTGAGCAAGTGTGAGCGAGTGTGAGCTAGAGAGTGTGTGAGCGAGTGTGAGTGTGAGCGAGAGAGTGGGTGAATGTGAGCGAGTGTGAGCTAGAGTGAGCAAGTTTGAGTGTGAGCGAGTGTGAGTGTGAGCGAGTGTGAGCTAGAGTGTGAGTGTGAGCGAGAGAGTGAGCGAGTGTGAGTGTGAGCAAGTGTGAGCGAGAGAGTGAGTGTGAGCGAGAAAGTGAGCGAGAAAGTGAGCGAGGAAGTGAGCGAGAGAGTGAGTGTGAATGTGAGCGAGTGTGAGCAAGTGTGAGCGAGTGTGAGCGAGTGTGAGCGAGAGAGTGAGTGTGAGCGAGTGTGAGTGTGAGCTAGAGTACTCTCTCTCTGTGTGTACTCTCTCTCTGTGTGTACTCTCTCTCTGTGTGTACTCTCTCTGTGTGTACTCTCTCCCTGTGTGTACTCTCTCTCTGTGTGTACTCTCTGTGTGTACTCTCTCTCTGTGTGTACTCTCTCTCTGTGTGTACTCTCTCTGTGTGTACTCTCTCTGTGTGTGTACTCTCTCTGTGTGTACTCTCTCTCTGTGTGTACTCTCTCTCTGTGTGTACTCTCTCTGTGTGTACTCTCTCTGTGTGTGTACTCTCTCTGTGTGTACTCTCTCTCTGTGTGTACTCTCTCTCTGTGTGTACTCTCTCTCTGTGTGTACTCTCTCTGTGTGTACTCTCTCTGTGTGTGTACTTTCTCTGTGTACTCTCTCTCTCTCTGTGTACTCTCTCCCTGTGTGTACTCTCTCTCTCTGTGTGTACTCTCTCTCTGTGTGTACTCTCTCTCTCTGTGTACTCTCTCTCTCTCTGTGTACTCTCTCTCTCTGTGTACTCTCTCTCTGTGTGTACTCTCTCTCTGTGTGTACTCTCTCTCTGTGTGTACTCTCTCTGTGTGTACTCTCTCTCTGTGTGTACTCTCTCTCTGTGTGTACTCTCTCTCTGTGTGTACTCTCTCTCTGTGTGTGTACTCTCTCTCTCTGTGTACTCTCTCTCTGTGTGTACTCTCTCTGTGTGTACTCTCTGTGTGTACTCTCTCTGTGTGTGTACTTTCTCTGTGTACTCTCTCTCTCTCTCTCTGTGTACTCTCTCCCTGTGTGTACTCTCTCTCTCTGTGTACTCTCTCCCTGTGTGTACTCTCTCTGTGTGTGTGTACTCTCTCTCTCTGTGTACTCTCTCTCTGTGTGTACTCTCTCTCTGTGTGTACTCTCTCTCTGTGTGTACTCTCTCTCTGTGTGTACTCTCTCTGTGTGTACTCTCTCTCTCTGTGTACTCTCTGTGTGTACTCTCTCTCTGTACTCTCTGTGCAGGCGGTGCGCCTGCTGGCGGCGCGGGGCGCTGCGCTGGAAGGGCGCAGCCGCAGCGGCGACGCGCCGCTGCACGCGATGGCGCGCAAGCGGCGCCACGAGGCGGCGCTTGCGCTGCTCACGCAGGGAGCGCAGGCGGAGACTCGCGGCGCTCACGGGGACACGCCGCTGCACATCGCCATGCGGGTACGGCGGCGGGGGTCTCCGGGGAGCGCCGTGGGGTCAACGCAGGGGACTCGCGGGGACGCGCTACACGCTACACGCACTACACGCTACACGCTACACGCTACACGCACTACACGCACTACACGCTACACGCACTACACGCACTACACGCTACACGCTACACGCTACACGCACTACACGCACTACACGCTACACGCACTACACGCACTACACGCTACACGCTACACGCTACACGCACTACACGCACTACACGCTACACGCACTACACGCGCTACTAGTGCTACACGCACTACACGCTACACGCTACACGCACTACTAGTGCTACACGCTACACGCTACACGCACTACACGCGCTACTAGTGCTACACGCTACACGCTACACGCACTACACGCTACACGCGCTACTAGTGCTACACGCGCTACACGCTACACGCACTACACGCTACACGCGCTACACGCGCTACTAGTGCTACACGCGCTACACGCTACACGCACTACACGCACTACACGCTACTAGTGCTACACGCGCTACACGCTACACGCTACACGCACTACACGCTACACGCACTACACGCACTACACGCTACTAGTGCTACACGCGCTACACGCTACACGCACTACACGCGCTACACGCTACACGATGCACACCACGCACTACACGCTACACGCACTACATGCACTACACGATGCACACCACGCACTACACGCTACACGCACCACACGCACTACACGCTACACGCGCTACACGATGCACACCACGCACTACACGCTACACGATGCACACCACGCACTACACGCTACACGATGCACACCACGCACGCAACGCGCACCGTGCGGTTCGATGACCGCTACGCTACCGCTCCCCACGCACGTAGATGCGTGCGACACACACGCACACGTGTGTCACACACACACACACACACGTGTGTCACACACACACATACGCGTGTGTGTGTGTGTGACACTCGCGGCGCTGTCCGTGGCTGTAGCTGGACCATCTGGAGATGATCAAACCCCTGATCGTGTTCGGAGCCCAGATGGACTCCACCAACGACGACGGGGAGACCCCCGGGCTCCTGCTGGCTCGCAACAGCACCGGTACCCCCCCCCGGACCCCCCCAGTACCCCTCCACACTCCCTCCCTCCCACACTCCCTCCCCAACTCCCTCCCTCCACTCCCCTCCCTCCCCCCCTCCCTTCCTCCCTAACTCCATCCCTCCCCCACTCTCTCCCGCCACTCCCCTCCCTCTCCCTCCCTCCCTCACTCCCTCCCTCCCTCCTTTCCCTCCCTCCCTAACTCCATCTCTCCCACCCCTCCCTTCCTCCCCCACTCCCTCCCCTCCTCTCCCTCCCTCCCTCCCTCTACCACTCCACCACTCCATCCCTTGGCAAATTAGACTCCTATCCTGGCCTCTTGACTCGTCACCTGGTTCCACAAAATCGACGTGAACTTGATATAATTACAATTATTATTATTATTATTCATAATTATTATTTACATATTTAAGCAAGATGTCCACACTGATATTTTCGGCAAGCAGCGGCGAGTTGTCCTTGCAATCCACGCGGGAGCAAACCGGAGCACCCGGGGAAAACCCCACGCCTTGCGCGAGGGGGCAACGCTCTATCCCCCGCGAGCAGATTGAATCAACGGGCGGAGGCCAGTCCGCTTTCCACACACTGGCTTCTCCCGGCGAGCTAGGCCACGTCTCCTCCTCGACGCCCACCCATCTTCGCGGCGACCCACCGGCCCTCGCCCCCCGCCTCGGCAGCCTAGTGGCCACCGCCGGCTCCGCCGCGCGGGGTTTTCTGCGCCGTGCCGACGTCGCCGTGCCGTTTCCGCCGCGTCAGGTGGGAACCGCCCCGTGCTCATGGAGATGCTGCACAGCGTGGGGGTCGCGCGGTGCTTCCCTGCCGGGTCGACCCCCGCCCCCCCCACATCGCCCTCCTCGGCGTCGTCCCGGCCCGGGACCCCGGCCCGGCCTCCCCCGCCCAGGCAGAGACCAGCGCGGCCCCTGGGTGAGAGGAGGCGGCGGCGGAGGAGGGCGCCGCCGGTCGCTCGGCCGCCACTCGCCAGGGGGGGGGGGAGCGTCCGAATACAGCAGAGGCACAGCGCGGAACGCACGCGTCAATTTAACACGGAACGCACGTTATAACGCAGAACTCACACGCCATCATAATTTCCGAACACGCACGCCGTTATAACGGTGGAACGCGCGCGCTGTTACAACGCAAAACGCATGAAGCGCTTCTGCGGCCGTCTGGAACGCTCTTCCTATATTAGGAAGCCATCGAAGCTGTGCAGTTTTAAATCACCACCACCATCATCATCATCATCATCCAGATTGACGAAACGAATTTCTTTAGAACTTATTTTTGTTGTCCTCTCGGCTGCGTGCGGTGCGACAGAAGTTGAACATTCACACACACGTACAGGACCCAGGTGATTCTCGCAAACGAGACTCTCCATCCCGGGCTGCCGAGTTCTCAGCCGGGGGAAGGATACGAACGTGGAACTCTGCGTGCCTCCCCCCGCAGGCTTTGATGACGTGGTCGCCATGGCGACGGTGATGGCTCCCATGCTGGACATGACGGACGGGCCGCCCCCTCAGCAGCGGTGCGTCACCATGGCAACGCTCGCGGCCACTGCCGTTCCCCCCCCCCTCTCGTGCCGCGTCTCCGCGTGTCTCCGTCTCTGTGTGTCTTCGTGTGCCCCTGTCCACTTGTGCCCGTGTCCCATTTCCTGTGTCCCCATGTCCACGTGTCCCCATGTCCACGTGTCCCCATGTCTCACGTCCCCATGTCCCCGTGTCCCCGTGTCCCCGAGTCCCGTGTCCCATGTCTCCGTGTCCCGTGTCCCCGAGTCCTGTGTCTCATGTCCCCGTGTCCCGTGTCCCATGTCCCCGTGTCCCTGAGTCTCAAGTCCCCATGTCCCCGTGTCCCGTGTCCCATGTCCCCGTGTCCCGTGTCCCCGAGTCTCACGTCCCCGTGTCCCGTGTCTCACGTCCCTGTGTCTCACGTCCCCGTGTCTCACGTCCCCGTGTCTCACATCCCCATGTTCCCGTGTCCCCGTGGCTCATGTCCCCGTCTCCCGTGTCTCACGTCCACCGTGTCTCACGTCCCCGCGTCCCCCGCGGTGTCCGCGCAGGCGTGAGCGCGTGCTGAGCCTGGACGGCGGAGGGATCCGCGGCCTGGTCCTCATTCAGATGCTGCTGGCGCTGGAGAGGGAGAGCGGCCGCCCCGTGCGGGAGCTCTTCGACTGGGTGGCGGGCACCAGCACGGGCGGCATCCTGGCGCTGGGCATCGTCCACGGTGCGGCCGCCCGCGCGGGGAATCCGCTCGCGAGCACTCGCACGCTCACGGCCACGCACTCACGGCCACGCACGCTCGCACGCTAACGGGGCGAGCGAGAGCGCGCGTGTCCATGTCCCCGTAACTCCCCACGTGTCCCCGTAACTCCCCACGTGTCCCCGTATCTCCCCGTGGGTCCGTGCGTATCCCCGTGCACCAGGCAAGTCGCTGGGCCAGCTGCGGGCGCTGTATTTCCGCATGAAGGACGAGGTGTTCCGGGGAGGCCGCCCCTACGACTCGGCGCCGCTCGACAGCTTCCTCAAGCGCGAGCTCGGCGAGCACACCAAGATGACGGACGTCACGCACCCCAAGTGACTACGAGACGCACGCTCGCTCGCGTCACACGGCGTCACACGGCGTGACGCGTCACGCTCGCGTCACACGTCACACACGCACGTGTCACACGCGCGTCACACGCACGCGCGTCACATGCGCGTCACACATCGCACGCACGTGTCACACGCATGTCACACTCGCACGTGTCATGCACGCGTCGCACACTCACACGTCACACACGCACGCGTCACACACGCACGTGTCACGCACGCGTCGCACACGCACGCGTCACACGTCACACGTCACACACGCACGTGTCATACGCGCGCCACACTCGCACGCGTCGCACACACTTGCGTCGCACACGCACGCGTCACACGTCACACACGCACGCGTCACGCACGTCACACTCGCACGCGTCGCACACACTTGCGTCGCACGCGTCACACGTCACACGTCACACGTCACACACGCACGCGTCACACTCGCGTAACGCGCACTCGCACGCGTCCGGGCACACGTCGCGCACACACACTCGTCACACGCACTCGCTCGTGCGTCACACGCACATACAAGCCACAAACACACGTATCACGCACCCATGTGTATGCACGTGCTGCGTGTGTGTGTGGTTTATGTGTGGTGAGCGGCGGTGTAGTGGTTAGCGCTACGCTGCGCTACGAACCTGGCGACCCGAGTTCGATTCCCGCTCACGGCCAGCACCAGTGACGATTATCTGAACCGGTCCCGGGCCTCCCCTAGGTCGACTCAGCCTCAAATGAGTACATTCTGTGGTGTGTAAATATCGCCTTTAGGGATACAAAGGCGGCCGGGCATGGTGCTGGCCACCCACCCTCGGCCTTCATAGGTGCTACTCGCTAACAGCACTTGCCCCTACAGTCTGTTCAGGCTACACGGGGGATCTTTGTCTTTGTTGTCGTGTGCAGGGTGTTGGTGACGGCTGTTCTGGCAGATAGACACCCGGCAGAGCTACACCTCTTCCGGAACTACACCCCTCCCACGCCAACAACACCGCCAGCCTCACCCTGCCACTCACCCAGCGAGACGTTCCAGCCTCTCACCCCACCCAGCGGTACCACTCGCCACTCACCGCACGCCACTCACCGCACACCACTCACCACACACCACTCACCACACACCACTCACCACACACCACTCACCACACACCACTCACCACACACCACTCACCACACACCACTCACTGCACGCCACTCACCGCCCGCCACTCACCACTTACCGCACGCCACTCACCGCACGCCACTCACCGCACACCACTCGCCACGTGTCACTCACCACACACCACTCACCATCCGCCACTCACCGCACGCCACTCACCGCACACCACTCACCACACACCACTCACCACACACCACTCACCACACACCACTCACCACACACCACTCACCACACACCACTCACCACACACCACTCACCACACACCACTCACCGCACACCACTCACCGCACGCCACTCACCGCCCGCCACTCACCACTTACCGCACGCCACTCACCGCACGCCACTCACCGCACACCACTCGCCACGTGTCACTCACCACACACCACTCACCATCCGCCACTCACCGCACGCCACTCACCGCACGCCACTCACCACGCGTCACTCACCACACCTCACCACGCCTACCGTGTGCCCCCCCCCTGTCTCCTCCACGCCCCCCGCGTTTGTTCCCCCTGAGCGTTCCTCCCCCCCGTGCCCCCCCCGGCCCCCCCCCGCGCCCCCCCCCGCGCCCCCCCCGCGCCCCCCCCCGCGCCCCCCCCCCCCCCCCCCGAGTAGAGCAGCTGGTGTGGCGTGCGGCGCGCAGCAGCGGGGCGGCCCCCACCTACTTCCGTCAGATGGGGCGCTTCCTGGACGGGGGCCTCCTGGCCAACAACCCCACGCTGGACGCTCTCACAGAGCTGCAGCAGCACCGCACGCAGCACGTGGGACAGCCTGTCTCACCCACGTGTCTCCATCTGTCTCACCGTGTCTCCGTCTGTCTCACCGTGTCTCCATCTGTCTCACCGTGTCTCCGTCTGTCTCACCCGTGTCTCCGTCTGTCTCACCGTGTCTCCATCTGTCTCACCGTGTGTCCGTCTGTCTCACCGTGTGTCCGTCTGTCTCACCCACCCGTGTCTCCGTCTGTCTCACCGTGTCTCCGTCTGTCTCACCCACCCACCCCGTGTCTCCGTCTGTCTCACCCCGTGTCTCCGTCTGTCCCCCACACCCCCCCCCCGTGTCTCCGTCTGTCCCCCACACCCACCCGTGTCTCCGTCTGTCCCCCACACCCCCACCCGTGTCTCCGTCTGTCCCCCACACCCACCCGTGTCTCCGTCTGTCCCCCACACCCCCCGTGTCTCCGTCTGTCCCCCACACCCCCCCCGTGTCTCCGTCTGTCCCCCACACCCCCCCCGTGTCTCCGTCTGTCTCCCCCACCCCCCGTGTCTCCGTCTGTCCCCCACACCCACCCGTGTCTCCGTCTGTCCCCCACACCCCCCGTGTCTCCGTCTGTCCCCCCCACCCCCCGTGTCTCCGTCTGTCCCCCACACACCCCCCCGTGTCTCCGTCTGTCCCCCACACCCCCACCCGTGTCTCCGTCTGTCCCCCACACCCACCTGTGTCTCCGTCTGTCCCCCACACCCCCCGTGTCTCCGTCTGTCCCCCACACCCCCCGTGTCTCCGTCTGTCCCCCACACCCCCCGTGTCTCCGTCTGTCCCCCCCACCCCCCCGTGTCTCCGTCTGTCCCCCACACCCCCCCGTGTCTCCGTCTGTCCCCCACACCCCCCCGTGTCTCCGTCTGTCTCACCCACCCCTGTCTCCGTCTGTACCCCCCCGTGTCTCCGTCTGTCCCCCCCACCCCGTGTCTCTGTCTGTCTCACCCCCCCGTGTCTCCGTCTGACCCCCCCACCCCCCGTGTCTCCGTCTATCCCCCACCCCCCGTGTCTCCGTCTGTCCTCCCCCGTGTCTCCATCTGTCCCCCCCCCCGTGTCTCCGTCTGTCCCCCCCCGTGTCTCCGTCTGTCCCCCCCCCGTGTCTCCATCTGTCTCACCCCCCGTGTCTCCGTCTGTCTCACCCCCCGTGTCTCCGTCTGTCTCACCACATCTCCGTGTGTTCCCCGTGTCTCGGTGTGTTCCCCTGTGTCTCCGTCTGTCTCCATCTGTCTCCGTCTGTCTCCGCCTGTCTCCTCACATCTCCGTGTGTTCCCGTGTGTCCCCCGTGTCTCCCGTGTCTCCGTATCATGGTGGCCTGGTATGCAGGAGGTCGTGGGTTCGATCCCGACCCTGACACCTGCTGTATATTTGGCGTTTAGAGTATTTTACTGCTACAAATTTCCACACGACGATGATCAGCTACTTTCGTGAGCTATAATTTGTGGCCAGGTCACTTCTGAAAGAGAGCTTTACAGCTCAGTGGGCCTTACCAGGTAAAATATAAAATAGTTTTTAATCGTATCTCCTGTGTCTCCCTGTGTCTCCCCATATCTCCCCATGTCTCCCCATGTCTCTCCTGTTTTCCCGTGTTTTCCCATGTCTGCCCGTGTCTCTCCGTGTCTCCTTGTCTCTCTCTGTGTCTTCCCCGGTGGCCTGTGTCTCCTCGTGTCTCTATGTGTCTCCCCGTGTCTCCCCTGGTGCCCTGTGTCTCCCCATATCTCCCCTTGTCTCCCCATGTCTCCCCATTTCTCCCCATGTCTCCCCATGTCTCCTTGTGTCTTTCCTGTTTCCCCGTGTCTCCCCGTGTCTCTCCGTGTCTCCCCGTCTCTCCCTGTGTCTTCCCTGGTGGCCTGTGTCTCCCCGTGTCTCCCTGTGCCTCCTTGTGTCTTCCCTGGTGGCCCGTGTTTCCCCGTGTCTCCCTGTGTCTCCCCGTGTCTTCCCATGTCTCACTGTGTTTTTCCTGTCTCCCCGTGTCTCCCTGTGCCTCCTTGTGTCTCCCCTGGTGCCCCGTGTCTCCCCGTGTCTCCCCATGTCTCACTGTGTTTTTCCTGTCTCCCCGTGTCTCCCTGTGTCTCTTTGTGTCTCCCCTGGTGCCCCGTGTCTCCCCGTGTCTTTCAATGCCTCTCCCCGCCTCCTCGCGTCTCTACGTGGGATGCAGTGGCGCTGGGCGGTCAGCGCCCTGCGCCACAAACCCCCGAGTTAGGTCGACTCAACCTTAAAGGAATGCTTAGCGTGGTCTTAATTAAAACGTCGCCGCTGGGGAGACAAAGGCGGCCGAGGCGTGGCGCTGACCGCACCGCCAACCTCGCGCGCCCCGCCGGCCTTCACACAGCCGCCGCTGCTCGCTTGACAGCACTTGCCCCGGCAGTCTGCGAAGGCTACACGGGGGAACTTTGTGGTTGGTGTACGTGTGCATGGGGAGCGGTAAGCGCAGCGGTTAGCGCTACGCTGCGCTACGAACCTGGCGACCCGGGTTCGATTCCCGCTCACGGCCAACACCGGTGGCGATTATCTCAACCGGCCCTGGGGTCTCCCCTAGGTCGACTACTTAGGGCGGTGTGTGTAGTAGTAAACGTCGCCACTGGGGGACACAAAGTCGGCAGGGCGTGGGTGCCTGCCACCCACCCCCTCGTGCGCCGTGCCGGCCTTCACAGGTGCCGCTCGCCAACAGCACTTGCCCCAGCAGTCTGTTAGGCCTACACGGGGGACCTTTGTCTTTGTGTGCCGCAGGGGTGCGCGGGCCCCCTGCGGGCCGTGGTGCTGTCGCTGGGCACGGGGCGGCCCCCGCGGGAGCGCGTGAGCTCTGCGGACGTCTTCCGCCCCACCAACCCCTGGCAGCTGGCACAGAGCGTGTTTGGAGCGCGGGAGCTGGGCCGCCTCATGGTGGACTGTGTACGACGCTCACGCTCGCTCGCCCGACCGCTCGCTCGACCGCTCGCCCGTTCGCCCGCTCGCTCAATTGCTCGTACAGAATCGGAGTCAGAATGCTTATTCGCACTGGCTGAATCCGATGAGCTACAAAGCTCTTTTTCACAGGCGGCAAGTCGGGCCGGGACAGAGCGTTACCACCACGCTCGCCACGCTCGCTCGCTTGGTCGCTCACACGCTCAAATGTTCGCTCGCTCGCTCTCGCTCGCTCTCGCTCAATCTCTCACACTCCTCGTGTCCCCTCGTGTCCCCTCGTGTCCCCTCGTGTCCCCTCGTGTCCCCTCGTGTCCCCCCGTGTCCCCGACTCTCCCCCCGTGTCCCCTCGTGTCCCCGACTCTCCCCTCGTGTCCCCGCCGCGTGTCCCCTGTGCAGTGCACGGACGCGGAGGGGCGCCCTGTGGACCGGGCCCGGGCCTGGTGCGACTCCCTGCAGGTTCCCTTCTTCCGGTGCGACTCTTGGCCCAGGCGACGCTCACCGCAGTCACCACGCTCACCACAGTCACCACGCTCACCACAGTCACCACGCTCACCACGGTCACCACGCTCACCACAGTCACCACGCTCACCAAGCTCACCACGCTCACCTCTGCATGTTACTGCGTGTGCTGTGTTTTCTGTGTGTGCCGCGTTTGTGTATGAGTGTGCTATGTGTGTGTGCGTGTATGAGTGTGCTATGTGTGTGTGTGCGCGTGTATGAGTGTGCTATGTGTGTGTGCGTGTGTGCGTGTGTGCGTGTATGAGTGTGCTACGTGAGTGTGCTACGTGTGTGTGCGTGTATGAGTGTGCTATGTGTGTGTGTGTGCGTGTATGAGTGTGCTATGTGTGTGTGTGTGTGCGTGTATGAGTGTGCTATGTGTGTGTGTGTGTGTGCGTGTATGAGTGTGCTATGTGTGTGCGTGTGTGCGTGTGTATGAGTGTGCTGTGTGTGTGTGTGCGTGTATGAGTGTGCTATGCGTGTGTGCGTGCGTGTATGAGTGTGCTATGCGTGTGTGCGTGCGTGCGTGTATGAGTGTGCTATGTGTGTGCGCGTGTATGAGTGTGCTGTGTGTGTGTGCGTGTATGAGTGTGCTATGTGTGTGTGCGTGTATGAGTGTGCTATGTGTGTGTGTGTGTGCGTGTATGAGTGTGCTATGTGTGTGTGTGTGCGTGTATGAGTGTGCTATGTGTGTGTGCGTGCACGTGTATGAGTGTGCTATGTGTGTGTGCGTGCACGTGTATGAGTGTGCTATGTGTGTGTGTGTGTGCGTGTATGAGTGTGCTATGTGTATGAGTGTGCTATGTGTGTGTGAGTGTGCTATGTGTGTGTGCGTGCATGCGTGTATGAGTGTGCTATGTGTGTGAGTGTGCTATATGTATGAGTGTGCTATGTGTGCGTGCGTGTGCGTGTATGAGTGTGCTATGTGTATGAGTGTGCTATGTGTGTGTGTGTGTGCGTGTATGAGTGTGCTATGTGTGTGTGTGTGCGCGTGTATGAGTGTGCTATGTGTGTGTGTGCGTGTATGAGTGTGCTATGTGTATGAGTGTGCTATGTGTATGAGTGTGCTATGTGTGTGTGTGCGTGTATGAGTGTGCTATGTGTATGAGTGTGCTATGTGTGTGTGTGCGTGTATGAGTGTGCTATGTGTGTGTGTGTGTGCGTGTATGAGTGTGCTATGTGTGTGTGCGTGTGCGTGTATGAGTGTGCTATGTGTATGAGTGTGCTATGTGTATGAGTGTACTATGTGTGTGTGTGCTATGTGTATGAGTGTGCTATGTGTATGAGTGTGTTATATGTGCGTGCGTGCGTGCCGCGCGTGCAGGCTGAGCCCCCAGCTGCGCGAGGACGTGGCGCTGGACGAGGTGCGTGATGCCGTGCTGGTGGACGCGCTGTGGGACACGCAGGTTTACCTGCACTCACAGCGTGCGCAGCTCTCCCGCCTCGCTCGACTCCTCACCACCGACACCGACGCCCCGTGACCCCGTCCTCGCCGCCGTCGCCGCCCCGTGACCTCCTCACCGCCATTCTCCTCCTCGCCCACCTCCTCACCACTGCCACCAAATTCCGGTGACCTCACCACCCACCACCGACTCCCCGTGAGCTAGTCGCTCACCTCGCCCACCACCAAACTAGTGCCTCGTAATTTCACCCCAGACCCTCGTGACCTCACCTCACCTCTCACCTCCCCTCTCACCTCCCCTCTCACCTCCCCTCTCACCTCCCCTCTCACCTCCCCTCCCTCCTCACACCTCCTCACCCCTCACCTCCTCACCAGACCCCCTCATCCGTCACGTGACCATGCAACTACTGCTATGGGCCGCCAGCACAGCGGGTGGTGCTGCTGGTGGTGGTGGTGGGGGGTTGCCACCCATCTTGGTTTCCCCAGGGGTTGTCTCCTCGAGGAGAAGGCAGCAGCTCCGCTCCCGGGAGATCTCTGCCTCCTCCCGGGAGATCTCTGCCTCCTCCCGGGAGATCTCTGCCTCCTCCCGGGAGACGTCAAGAGCCCCCCGGGTTTTTGTCTGGAGGGTTGGCGCGTCACTCGCGCGCGAGCTCCTGCAACTCCATTTCCAACAGACGAGCGCCTGCAAAGGGCGCTCGTGTAACCGGCACTGCCAGCAATGAATTGCCCAAGTTCTGCGGTCCTGTGTTGTGGGTGCGCGGCCAGCTCCATTTGTTACGTGCGCCGGGGAAAATCCACGGCCTTGCGCGAGGGGGCAACGCTCTATCCCCCGCGCTGGAGATTAGCCCACGCGCTTTTCCGTCCCGCGTTCGCCTGGGGGGTACGTCCCCTCCTCGACGCCCACCCGCGCGTAGAAGGGTGGGGAGTTCCACGGCCCCATCCGTGTGTGACCCACCAACCCCGACCCTCGCCGCTGCCTCCACGGGCGCTAGCCACCCCCCCCCCTCCGCCCGCCCGCAGCCCCCCGCTAGTGCGGCGGCGTGAATGAAGTTGCCCTCGGTGCCCGCCCTGAGCCCGTGAGGGTGACCGTGGCATTATGGGGAGATCCCTAATCTGATGGAAGCCCCTCCGCTCACTTGCCACTCGTCGCTCGGTCGGCCGATCGGCTGAGCCGCGGTGAGCTGACGCGCTCCGTGGACGCCGGGGGGGGGGGGGGGGGGCGACGGGGGAGGGAGGGGGATGGAGGGGGGTCAGGGGGGGGGGCACTGTCCCCTCTCCGTGGGGGGAGGGGGCGCAGTGTTTGTGTGGCGTCACGGCTGCGCTCCCACGAGTCCCTTGGTTTCAGGTCGTGGCCAGAAATCGGTGATGGCGGACGCCTGGAGCGGCGGTCCCTGGCCTCCTCCTCCTCCCCGTAGATCGCCTCGGCCTTAATTATGTACCTGGCGTGGTGTGTAGTAAAGTAAGTAAAGTGTAAAATAAAAACTTGATCAGGGCTGGGGAGACAAAGGCGGCCGGGCGTGATGCTGGCCACGCAACCCCTCGTTGTCGCTACTTCGCTAAAACAGCACTTGCCCCAAGACCCTGTGTGGGCTACGTGGGGAGGGGGGGGGGGGTCTTTGTCTTTGCTTGTGTTGTGTGTTTATTGAATTGTTGCTGATAATAGTTTATTTGATTCCGTGTTGCCCGGTGATAATCTACTATATATGTGTTGGATAGCGGGTGAGTGGGCGGATGAGTTGGGTGAGTTGTAGATTGGTCGCGTTAGTTGCAGATGAGTCGGTGAGCGAGTGAGCGGGTGAGTTTGGCAGCTGGGTTGTTAGCGAGCAAATGAAGAATATGGTTGTGCGCGTGGGTGGATGATTGCGAGTAGGAGTGGGTGGGCAGGTGGGTGAGTTGTACAGATGAGCAGTCTCGTGAAGGACGCTGCTGCTGCTACTGGGCAGTTGGAGGCAGTCGACCTCCAACAACAACGGAGGGCAGAGGAGCGACGCTCACAACAACGAGCGGAGCGCCGGGCGGCTATAATGCAGCAAGTTGACACAGTGGGGGGTACAGCTGGTGCATTGGGCACTCATCTCAGTCAGCCAACCCATTGGCACCTGCTGGGTCTGTCCCGTGACCTCCCGTCAGCGAGCCTTCGACACTTCACGTGCCCACAAAGTGCACCTGGGTTGGCACAGGTGCTGTTGGCTCAACATTGGCATTGAGTGCGCAGATGAGTAGATTTTAGGTGGGTGAGTAGGTGGGTGAGTGCACACAGGAGCAGATCGGGTGGGGGTGGTGGGCGAGTGGGCACGTGGCGAGTGAGCCGGTTGGGTGGGTGATCGTGCGGGCGGCGAATCGAGTCCGAGCGGACGGTTTTTCATTCCTCCCGACCGCCCGTGCCGTGTCGTGCCGACGAACGCCACGGGCCTCGCGTGTTCCCCTCCTATGCCTCGCCTAATAAAGCCCCGGTCTATCGCAGCAGTTTCAGCAGCAAGAGCGGCCGTCTTCCCTCCCCGCGCCGCCTGCGGCCGTCCACTCCCGGGCGGCGGTTTCCCGCGCGCGGTCCCTGAGCTGCGGCGTTTTGGGTGGCGGCAGCGGGCCGCCAGCGCCCGCTGCCCGGGTGTCCGGACACGGGCAGGCCGGGTCGCTGGCGTCGCCGTCGCTTTGATCCCCTCGGTTGGCTCCTCCTGCTCGCCTGGCGCACTCTCGTAACGAGCACGCGCGAGGCTCCTGTTGTGTCGTCACCCCACCACCACCAACACCAACACCACCCCACCCACCACCGTCACCCCACCCACCACCGCCACCCCACCCACCACCGCCACCCCACCCACCCCACCACCGTCACCCCACCCACCCCACCCACCACCGTCACCCCACCCGCCACCCCACCCGCCACCCCACCCACCACCGCCCCCCCCCCACCATTGCCACTGCGTCGTGACGGACGGGATAAGTGGAGTCGTAGGGAACCCCGCCGTGTGTCCCGCTCAGCGTATCGCGATTCGTTCATTGCGTTGAATCTCCGCGTGGTGAGAAATGGTGTGGTGGTGAGCAGTGGTGGTGAGCAGTGATGGGGTGAGCAGTGGCGTGGTGGTGAGCAACGATGTGGGGAGCATTGGGTGCAGTGGTTTGGTGGTGAGCAGTGGTGGTGAATGGTGAGCAGTGGCGTGGTGATGAGAAATTGTGGTGGCGAGAATTGGTGCGGTGGTGATCATTGGTGCGGTGGTGATCATTGGTGCGGTGGTGATCATTGGTGCGGTGGTGATCATTGATGCGGTGGTTGGTGGTGGTTGTTGGTGATGGTGGTGACAACTCCCACTTTCCAAGTTAGTCTGGGGAAGAGTAGGCCAAATACCCTCACGGAAAAACGTGGTGGTGTGGGGGGGGGGCAGGGGGGGCGAGGGGCTGTCTCCTCTCTCAGCGATGGCCTCTTGAGTTTGCAGGGACCCCGAGCAAGCAGTTGCAGGGCCGCGCCTTTAGCAAGCTCGGCCCGTGGCAAATAAAAAAAAACACGGCCTGCCAAGTTCTGACTTTTAAAATAAAAATAGTTCGTTTCAAATTGGCCCGTGAAGTACTCAAACTAAACTAATTTAAAGTTTGTGTTTTATTTCTGACCAGGTAAGGTCCCACTGAGCGATGTAGCTAGTTGTGTTTTTTTTAAGAAGCGACCTGTGTGGCCTCATCGTTACCGCGTGGATATTGACAGCAGTGGCCAGATGAACTCCAAACGCGTGGGTGATGTCGATTCGAAATGTGGGGAGGGAGACCCCAGAGAAAATCCAACAGAGAGAGAGACACGCAGACTCCATAGATACAGCAGCAGCAGGCGTCGGGGTTGAACCTACGACCACCTGTGTACCAGGCGAGGTAGTTAACATCTCCTAGCCACCGTGGCGCGCGCCCCCACGACTCGGCACGGGGGGGGCGGGGGCAGGACGTCGCTCGCAAACACAAAACACCGCACGGCAGCAGCAGCAGCAGCATCACGCGGAGACCGTCTGGACTGCGCGGGGTACGCGGAGGTGTTTATTGGTGATAGTGATCATGGTGGTGATTGTGATGATGGTGCTGGTGGTGGTGATGGAGGTGGTGACGATGGTGGAGATGATGGTGGTGATGATGGTGCTGGTGGTGATGATGGTGGAGATGGTGGTGGTGGTGGAGATGATGGTGATGATGGTGCTGGTGGTGATGTGATAGTGGTGATGATGGTGGAGATGGTGGTGGTGGAGATGATGGTGCTGGTGGTGATGTGACAGTGGTGATGGTGATGATGGTGCTGGTGATGATGGTGCTGGTGATGATGATGGTGATGATGGTGGTGGAGATGATGGTGGAGATGGTGGTGATGGTGATGATGGTGCTGGTGATGATGGTGGTGAAGATGGTGGTGGAGATGATGGTGGAGATGGTGGTGATGATGGTGCTGGTGATGATGGTGGTGGAGATGATGGTGGAGATGGTGGTGATGGTGATGATGGTGATGATGATGGTGGTGGTGATGATGGTGATGATGGTGATGTGAGAGTGGTGATGATGGTGCTGGTGATGATGGTGATGATGATGGTGGAGATGATGGTGGTGATGGTGATGATGGTGATGATGGTGATGTGATAGTGGTGATGATGGTGGTGATGGTGATGATGGTGATGATGATGGTGGAGATGATGGTGGTGATGGTGATGATGGTGATGTGATAGTGCTGATGATGATGGTGGTGATGGTGATGATGATGGTGGAGATGATGGTGGTGATGGTGATGATGGTGATGTGATAGTGGTGATGATGATGATGATGGTGGTGATGGTGATGATGATGGTGGAGATGATGGCGGTGGTGATGATGGTGATGATGGCGATGTGATAGTGGTGATGATGGTGCTGGTGATGATGATGATGGTGGAGATGATGGTGGTGGTGATGATTGATGATGGTGATGATGGGACCCGGCGCGATACTCTCCAGCTGCCACTGCCTGCCGGTGGGGGTGGTGGCCGGGATCGGTGGGGGGGGGGGGGGGTTGGGGTCGCTCCACGGCGCTCCACGGCGCTCAGACGATGCCGTCAGATGATTCCGTACTGCGCCAGCTCGTGCAGCTCCAGGTGGTTGAACGCCTCCCACGGGCAGATGACGGTGATGTCTGCACGCCAGGGAGAGGAGAGGTCAGCCGCCGATGCTGCTGCGTCTGCTGCGTCTGCTGTTGTGTCTGGGACAGCATCGGCGGTGCGCGTGGTGCCGCATCGCACCGCCGATGAGGCACGGCTGGCTGACGGACGGCACGACAGGAGGTCGACGGGCGATTCATCAACATCGTCGGTCACCCGTCCGGCGCGTGCCCAAGGCTCCCCACCCCGGGTCACATCGCCTCTGGGGCTCCGGCCGGCCGGCCGGTGGCGATGGGCGGAGGCGGCGTGAGCGGTGAAGCGCGCCGCCGCTACGAACCTGGCAACCTAGGCGCCGGTGACGCCTAGGTCGACTCGGCCTCAAATGGGTGCCCGTCGGCGGTGTGCAGTAAGAGACAAAGGCGGCCTCGGGCGTGGTGCTGCCCACCCACAGTGCCGCCCTGCAGAGGTGCCGCCACTCGCTTACGGCACTTGCCCCGGCGGTCTGTTGAGGCTACACGGGGGACCTTTGTCTTTGTGGAGGTGCAGTACACTATACACTACTACAGCACTAGTGTATAGTGTAGTGTATAGTGTAGTCTACTAGTACAGCACTAGTGTATAGTGTAGTGTATAGTGTAGTATACTAGTGTATAGTGTAGTATACTAGTACAGCACTCGTGTATAGTGTAGTGTATAGTGTAGTGTATAGTGTAGTCTACTAGTACAGCACTAGTGTATAGTGTAGTATACTAGTACAGCACTAGTGTATAGTGTAGTGTATAGTGTAGTCTACTAGTACAGCACTAGTGTATAGTGTAGTGTATAGTGTAGTATACTAGTACAGCACCAGTGTATAGTGCAGTATACTAGTACAGCACTAGTGTATAGTGTAGTGTATAGTGTAGTGCATAGTGTAGTATACTAGTACAGCACTAGTGTATAGTGTAGTGTATAGTGTAGTGTATAGTGTAGTATACTAGTACAGCACTAGTGTATAGTGTAGTGTATAGTGTAGTATACTAGTACAGCACTAGCGTATAGTGTAGTATACTAGTACAGCACTAGTGTATAGTGTACTGTATAGTGTAGTGTATAGTGTAGTATACTAGTACAACACTAGTGTATAGTGTAGTGTAGTATACTAGTACAGCACTAGTGTATAGTGTAGTATACTAGTACAGCACTAGTGTATAGTGTAGTGTATAGTGTAGTGTATAGTGTAGTATACTAGTACAGCACTAGTGTATAGTGTAGTATACTAGTACAGCACTAGTGTATAGTGTAGTGTATAGTGTAGTCTACTTGTAAAGCACTAGTGTATAGTAGTGTATAGTGTAGTATACTAGTACAGCACTAGTGTATAATGTAGTGTATAGTGTAGTCTACTAGTACAGCACTAGTGTATAGTGTAGTATACTAGTGTATAGTGTAGTATACTAGTACAGCACTAGTGTATAGTGTAGTATATAGCGTAGCATACTAGTACAGCACTAGTGTATAGTGTAGTGTATAGTGTAGTATACTAGTACAGCACTAGTGTATAGTGTAGTATGCTAGTACAGCACCATCGGTAGTGTGTTGGAGAGCCAAGCCACAACATTTACAATCTGAGTACGACGTTTCGCCAGTAATTACAACCAGCTTCATCGGGCGACAGCATTCAGATATCTGGAGAAGTCCTCCTGTTTGGTTCCTTATGTTGTGGCTGGGTTTGTGGGTGGGTGGCAAGCCCCGTCGACCCACAGACGTTGTTGATGATAACCTCTCGAGCAGTGGGACACCGTCGCCTGTGCCCAGCCACGGCTTCCCTTCAGCCGGGTCGCGAACCCAAACGTCGTACACCAGTGGCCTCCCGTCGCAAGGCCAACACGGGGCCACCGGTGGCCTTTCGTGCGGTCCCCCCATCGTCGGCGGTGCTGCTGTCAAACCCAACAAATTATTTCAAATGTGTGGCGGCCCTCACACTGATGATGTCTTATCGGCCGAAGTGTCCCTCCCTCCCCCCCCCCATTGAAGATTAGTGAAGAGCACTGTTTTATATACGAAGTCTGCACACCACGTCCAGTATCCGTCACTCTCACGACTGCTCGCGGGATCTGATGAGTGGCGCTGCACCGACTCGCGTGTACGCGCACACGGAGAGAGCGGCGCGCCCGCGGCAGACGATCACGTGGCGGTGCGGCGAGTGTATTCGAGTCTCCCATGGGTACGGCGATTGATTGGGTGCTGCCCGGCGTTCTCGCACGCTTTTTGGGGTTTTCTCCGGGAACTCTGCGCTGCCTCGCACGTGTAGCATCGATCACATTTCTTGGATCGTGCTACTGCTGCTGATGCCACCATCCTAGAATCTCACCACTCAGACCCAGCAGAACGCTGCTGCTGCTGATGTCACCATCCTAGAATCTCACCACTCAGACCCAGCAGAACGCTGCTGCTGATGTCACCATCCTAGAATTTCACCACCCAGACCCAGCAGAACGCTGCTGCTGCTGATGTCACCATCCTAGAATCTCACCACTCAGACCCAGCAGAACGCTGCTGCTGATGTCACCATCCTAGAATTTCACCACTCAGACCCAGCAGAACGCTGCTGCTGATGTCACCATCCTAGACTCTCACCACTCAGACCCAGCAGAACGCTGCTACTGCTGCTGATGTCACCATCCTAGAATCTCACCACTCAGACCCAGCAGAACGCTGCTGCTGATGTCACCATCCTAGAATCTCACCACTCAGACCCAGCAGAACGCTGCTACTGCTGCTGATGTCACCATCCTAGAATCTCACCACTCAGACCCAGCAGAACGCTGCTGCTGCTGATGTCACCATCCTAGAATCTCACCACTCAGACCCAGCAGAACGCTGCTGCTGATGTCACCATCCTAGACTCTCACCACTCAGACCCAGCAGAAGGCTGCTGCTGCTGATGTCACCATCCTAGAATTTCACCACTCAGACCCAGCAGGACGCTGCTACTGCTGCTGATGTCACCATCCTAGAATCTCACCACTCAGACCCAGCAGAACGCTGCTGCTGATGTCACCATCCTAGAATCTCACCACTCAGACCCAGCAGAACGCTGCTACTGCTGATGCCACCATCCTAGAATCTCACCACTCAGACCCAGCAGAAGGCTGCTGCTGCTGATGTCACCATCCTAGAATCTCACCACTCAGACCCAGCAGAACGCTGCTGCTGATGTCACCATCCTAGACTCTCACCACTCAGACCCAGCAGAAGGCTGCTGCTGCTGATGTCACCATCCTAGAATTTCACCACTCAGACCCAGCAGGACGCTGCTACTGCTGCTGATGTCACCATCCTAGAATCTCACCACTCAGACCCAGCAGAACGCTGCTGCTGATGTCACCATCCTAGAATCTCACCACTCAGACCCAGCAGAACGCTGCTGCTGCTGCTGTCATCATCCTAGAATCTCACCACTCAGACCCAGCAGAACGCCGCTGCTGATGTCACCATCCTAGAATCTCACCACTCAGACCCAGCAGAACGCTGCTACTACTGCTTCTGATGTCACCATCCTAGAATCTCATCACCCAGATCTGGATGAACGCTGCTGCTGCTGCACGAACCGAGTGAAGCAACACGGACGTCCACATTAATCAACACCTCCGCATTCGAGACCCAAAACGTCACCATCGAACCTCCTCCTGCCTGTGACATTCCTCCTCCTCGTCGGAGACACTGGTGGTGGACCTATCATCCTCAGCGGAACGTAAACTACGGGTGGATGGGCACGTTTCCTTCACAGTTGGGAGAATTCAAGACGCGAGCCATAGCAGACCGACTGTGATCATGCGACCCTAAACTGTGGACCATGTAGCGAAGCCACTGAGACACAGAGATACGTAGAGACCCATAGAGATACATAGATGATACATAGAGACCCATAGAGATACACAGAAACCCATAGAGATACACAAACCCATAGAGATACATAGATGATACATAGAGACCCATAGAGATACATAGAGATACACAGAAACCCATAGAGATACATAGATGATACATAGAGACCAATAGAGATACACAGAAACCCATAGAGATACATAGATGATACATAGAGACCATAGAGATACATAGAGACCCATAGAGATACATAGATGATACATAGAGACCCATAGAGATACACAGAAACCCATAGAGATACATAGATGATACATAGAGACCCATAGAGATACATAGATGATACATAGAGACCCACCGAGATACATAGAGACCCATAGAGATACATAGATGATACATAGAGACCCATAGAGATACATAGATGATACATAGAGATACATGGATGATACATAGAGACCCATAGAGATACACAGAAACCCATAGACACATAGATGATACATAGAGATACATAGAGATGAATAGATGATACATAGAGACCCACCGAGATACATAGAGACCCATAGAGATACATAGATGATACATAGAGACCCATAGAGATACATAGATGATACATAGAGATACATGGATGATACACAGAGACCCATAGAGATACACAGAAACCCATAGACACATAGATGATACATAGAGATACATAGAGATGAATAGATGATACATAGAGACCCATAGAGATACACAGAAACCCATAGATATACATAGATGATGCATAGAGACCCATAGAGATACAGAGATACACAGAAACCCATAGAGCTACATAGATGATACATAGAGACCCATAGAGATACACAGAAACCCATAGAGATACATAGATGATACATAGAGACCCATAGAGATACATAGATGATACATAGAGATACACAAACCCATAGAGATACATAGATGATACATAGAGACCCATAGAGATACATAGATGATACATAGAGACCCATAGAGATACACAGACACCCATAGAGATACATAGATGATACATAGAGACCCATAGAGATACATGGATGATACATAGAGACCCATACAGATACACAGAAACCCATAGAGACCCATAGAGATACATAGATGATACATCGAGACCCATAGAGATACATAGAGACCCATAGAGATACACAGAAACCCATAGAGACCCATAGAGATACATAGATGATACATCGAGACCCATAGAGATACATAGAGACCCATAGAGATACATAGAGATACACAGAAACCCATAGAGATACATAGAGACCCATAGAGATACATAGATGATACAGAGACCCATAGAGATACATTAAGACAAGAAGTTCACGCATGCAAACCACAATCTGTGGACCGCACAGTAAAACCACTGTGGCCTACGCTGCTTCAACGCAGGAGGAGGAGGAACAGCGACACGACACGAACTCTCTGTCTCTGCTGAAGGCCTCTCTCGTCGTGGCCATCAGCAACAGGAGACCTCCACATTGGCATCGAGATTCTGAACCATGCTGCTGCCACACGGCATGCATACATAGTCTATAGGTACAGTGTTAGTCTATGGGTCCAGTGTTAGTCTATAGGTCCAGTATTAGTCTATGGGTCCAGTGTTAGTCTATAGGTCCAGTAATAGTCTATGGGTCCAGTGTTAGTCTATGGGTCCAGTGTTAGTCTATGGGTCCAGTGTTAGTCTATGGGTCCAGTGTTAGTCTGTGGGTCCAGTGTTAGTCTGTGGGTCCAGTGTTAGTCTATGGGTCCATTGTTAGTCTATGGGTCCAGTGATGGGTCCAGTATTAGTCTATAGGTCCGGTGTTAGACTATGGGTCCAGTGTTAGTCTATGGGTCCAGTGTTAGTCTATGGGTCCAGTGTTAGTCTATGGGTCCAGTGTTAGTCTGTGGGTCCAGTGTTAGTCTATGGGTCCATTGTTAGGCTGTGGTTCCAGTGTTAGTCTGTGGGTCCAGTGTTAGTCTGTGGGTCCAGTGTTAGTCTATGGGTCCAGTGTTAATCTATGGGTCCAGTGTTAATCTATGGGTCCAGTGTTGGTCTATGGGTCCTGTGTTAGTCTATGGGTCCAGTGTTAGTCTATGGGTCCAGTGTTAGTCTATGGGTCCAGTGTTAGTCTATGGGTCCAGTGTTAGTCTACGGGTCCAGTGTTAGTCTATGGGTCCGGTGTGAGTCTATGGTGTCCAGTGTTAGTCTATGGGTCCAGTGTGAGTCTATGGGTCCTGTGTTAGTCTATGGGTCCGTGTTAGTCTATGGGTCCGTGTTAGTCTATGGGTCCGTGTTAGTCTATGGGTCCGTGTTAGTCTATGGGTCTGTGTTAGTCTTTGGGTCCAGTGTTAGTCTATGGGTCCAGTTTTAGTCTATGGGTCCAGTGTTAGTCTATGGGTTCAGTGTTAGTCTGTGGGTCCGTGTTAGTCTATAGGTCTAGTGTTAGTCTATGGGTCCAGTGTTAGTCTATGGGTCCGTGTTAGTCTATGGGTCCAGTGTGAGTCTATGGGTCCAGTGTTAGTCTATGGGCCAGTGTTAGTCTATGGGTCCAGTGTTAGTCTATGGGTTCAGTGTGAGTCTATGGGTCCGGTGTGAGTCTATGGTGTCCAGTGTTAGTCTATGGGTCCAGTGTTAGTCTATGGGTCCAGTGTTAGTCTATGGGTCCAGTGTTAGTCTATGGGCCAGTGTTAGTCTATGGGTCCAGTGTGAGTCTATGGGTCCAGTGTTAGTCTATGGGCCAGTGTTAGTCTATGGGTCCAGTGTTAGTCTATGGGTCCAGTGTTAGTCTATTGGTCCGGTGTTAGTCTACGGGTCCAGTGTTAATCTATGGTTCCAGTGTTAATCTATGGGTCCAGTGTTGGTCTATGGGTCCTGTGTTAGTCTATGGGTCCAGTGTTAGTCTATGGGTCCAGTGTTAGTCTATGGGTCCAGTGTTAGTCTATGGGTCCAGTGTTAGTCTACGGGTCCAGTGTTAGTCTATGGGTCCGGTGTGAGTCTATGGTGTCCAGTGTTAGTCTATGGGTCCAGTGTGAGTCTATGGGTCCTGTGTTAGTCTATGGGTCCGTGTTAGTCTATGGGTCCGTGTTAGTCTATGGGTCCGTGTTAGTCTATGGGCCAGTGTTAGTCTATGGGTCCCGTGTTAGTCTATGGGTCCAGTGTTAGTCTTTGGGTCCAGTGTTAGTCTATGGGTCCAGTGTTAGTCTATTGGTCCGGTGTTAGTCTATGGGTCCAGTGTTAGTCTATGGGTCCGGTGTGAGTCTATGGTGTCCAGTGTTAGTCTATGGGTCCAGTGTGAGTCTATGGATCCAGTGTGAGTCTATGGGTCCAGTGTTAGTCTATGGGCCAGTGTTAGTCTATGGGTCCAGTGTTAGTCTATGGGTCCAGTGTTAGTCTATTGGTCCGGTGTTAGTCTACGGGTCCAGTGTTAGTCTATGGGTCCGGTGTGAGTCTATGGTGTCCAGTGTTAGTCTATGGGTCCAGTGTGAGTCTATAGGTCCTGTGTTAGTCTATGGGCCAGTGTTAGTATATGGGTCCGTGTTAGTCTATGGGTCCCGTGTTAGTCTATGGGTCCAGTGTTAGTATATGGGTCCAGTGTTGGTCTATGGGTCCCGTGTTAGTCTATGGGTCCCGTGTTGGTCTATGGGTCCAGTGTTAGTCTATGGGTCCCGTGTTAGTCTATGGGTCCAGTGTTAGTATATGGGTCCAGTGTTGGTCTATGGGTCCCGTGTTAGTCTATGGGTCCCGTGTTAGTCTATGGGCCAGTGTTAGTCTATAGGTCCAGTGTTAGACTATGGGTCCAGTGTTAGTATATGGGTCCCGTGTTAGTCTTTGGGTCCAGTGTGAGTCTATGGTGTCCAGTGTTAGTCTATGGGTCCTGTGTTAGTCTATGGGTCCGTGTTAGTCTATGGGCCAGTGTTAGTCTATGGGACCTGTGTTAGTCTATGGGTCCGTGTTAGTCTATGGGTCCTGTGTTAGTCTATGGGCCAGTGTTAGTCTATGGGTCCAGTGTTGGTCTATGGGTCTAGTGTTAGTCTATGGGTCCAGTGTTGGTCTATGGGTCCGGTGTGAGTCTATGGGTCCAGTGTGAGTCTATAGGTCCTGTGTTAGTCTATGGGCCAGTGTTAGTCTATGGGTCCAGTGTGAGTCTATGGGTCCGGTGTTAGTCTATGGGTCCAGTGTTGGTCTATGGGTCTAGTGTTAGTCTATGGGTCCAGTGTTGGTCTATGGGTCCAGTGTTAGTCTATGGGTCCAGTGTGAGTCTATGGGCCAGTGTTAGTCTATGGGTCCAGTGTTGGTCTATGGGTCTAGTGTTAGTCTATGGGTCCAGTGTTGGTCTATGGGTCCAGTGTTAGTCTATGGGTCCAGTGTTGGTCTATGGGTCCAGTGTTAGTCTATGGGTCCAGTGTTGGTCTATGGGTCCCGTGTTAGTCTATGGGTCCTGTGTTAGTCTATGGAGAAGCGGCACGACACGAACTCTCTGTCTCTGCTGAAGCCCTCTCTCGTCGTGGCCAGCAGCAGCAGGAGACCTCCACATTGGCTTCTAGCTTCTACACAATAACCACAGTGCTGCTGCTGCAGGCATCGTGCGGGAGAATAGAATTCATGGAGTCGGCCAAACATCCCAATGTAGGACAGCAGAGCTTGGGCAGTTGTTGGCGGTGCCGATTCTGCAGGCGGTCTTCTCACCCTCGTCTCTCGCCTCCACCCCGCACCGCTCACCCCGCACCGCTCACCGCTCATCCCCTCACCCCTCACCGCTCACCCCTCACCCCTCACCCCTCACCGCTCACCCCTCACCCCTCACCCCTCACCGTTCACCCCTCACCGCTCACCCCGCACCGCTCACCGCTCACCCCTCACCCCTCACCCCGCACCGCTCACCCCGCACCGCTCACCCCGCACCGCTCACTGCTCATCCCCTCACCCCTCACCGCTCACCCCGTGGTGAGCGCAGTGAGCGAGTCGCCACTTACCCCTCACCGCTCACCCGGCACCGCTCACCCCTCACCGCTCACCCCTCACCACTCACTGCACTCACCGCTCACCCCGCGGTGAGTGCAGTGAGCGAGTCGCCACTCACCACTCACCCCTCACCGCTCACCCCGCGGTGAGTGCAGTGAGCGAGTCGCCACTCACCAGTGCCCAGACCCTCCATGCCGGGGATGTCGTCCCCGAACCTGCGGAGAGGCAGAAAGGAGAGCGGCAGTGAGCGGGCAGGCCTCTGGCTAAACAACAACTATTAACTCGTATTAACTATTAACTCGTATTAACTATTAACTCGTATTAACTATTAACTCGTATTAACTATTCACTCGTATTAACTATTAACTCGCATTAACTATTAACTCGTATTAACTGTTAACTCGTATTAACTCGTATTAACTCGTATTAACTATTAACTCGTATTAACTATTCACTTGTATTAACTATTAACTCGTATTAACTATTAACTATTAACTCGTATTAACTATTAACTCGCATTAACTATTAACTCGTATTAACTCGTATTAACTATTAACTCGTATTAACTATTAACTCGCATTAACTATTAACTCGTATTAACTATTAACTCGTATTAACTATTAACTCTATTAACTATTAACTCGTATTAACTCGTATTAACTATTAACTCGTATTAACTATTAACTCGTATTCACTATTCACTCGTATTCACTATTAACTCGTATTAACTCGTATTAACTATTAACTCGTATTCACTATTAACTCGTATTAACTATTAACTCGTATTCACTATTCACTCGTATTCACTAGTAACTCGTATTCACTATTAACTCGTATTAACTCGTATTAACTATTCACTTGTATTAACTATTAACTCGTATTAACTATTAACTATTAACTCGTATTAACTATTAACTCGTATTAACTATTAACTATTGACTTGTATTAACTATTAACTCGTATTAACTATTAACTCGTATTAACTATTACCTCGTATTAACTATTAACTTGTATTAACTCGTATTAACTCGTATTAACTATTAACTCGTATTAACTATTAACTCTTATTAACTATTAACTTGTATTAACTAGGATGAACTAGGATTAGCTTTACCAGGGAAGGTTTGCCGAGCTGTGAAGCTCTTGTTTTTTATTATTTGACGCTTTTATTTAACTCACTCTGTCGTTGTTGTATCCTCAAATCTTGTAACTCAATTGTAACCCACTTCCCAATGTGGTATCGACTGCAAACTTGGTATACTAATATAATACTGATGACAATACTATATTCTATCAAAAAAAATATTTTTAAAGATGCATTTGTATATGTTATGTTTCGGCTTGGGTCTAATTGCCCACGCTCAACTAACGTTGGCTGTAATTGCCCACGGTCCCCCTAGCGTTGTGGCAAGCTTCGGGCCCACTTTCTGGACTCGTGGAGTTCTTCCATTACTAGTACGGTACACTTCATTAAAGCGTGTTTATATATTTTTTTTAAGTATTTTTTTAAATATTACTTATTTCAGAAGCCACCTCATCACCGCAGATGATAGCTCAATGAAATGGGGATCATCATCGCCTGGACATTCATGGCAGCAGGCAAATTCTCTGACCCAGTGGAACTTCTTAACCGGTGGGGGGGGGGGGCACGCTGCACCCCCAGGGGCTGCGAGGCGCGGCCCAATTTGTTTTATTTATTTTAGAAGGGTAGATCAGCGAAAACACAAATTAAGCACGGGTACGTGAATACAATTCGCGTTGATCCATCAAACCCCTGCGTACTCTTTGGTTCTATTCGGTAAAGTCACGTAGGTAAAAAATAAAACAACAAAAATCACGACGTTTCGGCCACAACACAAGTGGCCTTCATCAGGTGAAGGGACCAGGCTGTCTCGAGGACAGCGCTGGAGTGAAACACAGCCACGCTCAGACCGCGACCTTTAAGCTGTGTGCGAGGAAACAAGGTGCCTTGACAAAGGAATTGGTATCGACTGCAAACTTGGTATTTATGAACATTTTTCACTTTTGTTTTAAGCATTGAGAACTAAAGGGGATGCCAGGATGCATTAGATTCGAGACGCGTGTTTCTAAAACGAAACTACAAACGAGTTTTTAGTTTTTATTTCACCAGGTCAGGCCCCACTGAGCCGTGAAAAATGTTTTTCAGCAGCGACTTGGCCATCACAAATGATAGCTCAAGGAAGTTGGCTTATCATCATCATCACGTGGACATTTGTATCAGTAGTTAAGTACTCCAAACGCGTGTTATTGATTCTAAATGTGTGTACGTATCTCCGTGTATGTGTGTATCTCTGTATGTCCGTGCGTATGTGTGTATCTCTCTGCGTGTATCTCCGTGTGTGTATCTCTGTGTTGTCTCTGTATGTAGCTCTGTGTGTGTATCTATGTGTATGTATCTGTGTGTGTATTTCTGTGTGTATCTCTGTGTATGTATATGTGTGTGTATCTCTGTGTATGTATGTGTGTGTATCTATGTGTATGTACATGTGTGTGTGTCTCTGTGTGTATCTGTGTGTGTGTATCTCTGTGTGTATCTGTGTGTGTGCGTCTCTGTATCTGTGTGTGTATCTCTGTGTGTATCTCTGTGTGTGTATCTCCGTGTGTGTGTATCTCCGTGCATGTATGCCTCTCTGTATGTCCGTGGGTATGTGTGTATCTCTCTGCGTGTATCTCCGTGTGTGTATCTCTGTGTGTGCCTCTGTATATAGTTCTGTGTGTGTATCTCTGTGTGTATCTGTGTGTGTATTTCTGTGTATCTCTGTGTGTGTCTCTGTATGTAGCTCTGTGTGTGTATCTCTGTGTGTGTATCTCTGTGTGTATATATCTCTGTGTGTATGTGTGTATTTCTGTGTGTATCTCTGTGTGTGTCTCTGTATGTATCTCTATGTGTGTGTATCTCTTCTAGATTTGAAGCTTTCGTGACTGCAAGGATCCATACTCTATATCCATACTCTATATCGGGGAGCGACATGTCTCTGACCGAATTCGCGAGCACAAATCAGATTTGAAACACGGCAGAACGAATTCTTCTGCCGTGGCTGACCACTGTTACAACGCTGTGGGTGATCACGATGTAGTGTTCTCCGATACAAAGGTCCTTTACAAACCTATAGGTTATCATCAGAGATGTGTCCACGAGGCAATTCAGATTTACAAACACAGACACAGTTTCGACCGAAAAGATGGTTTCAAATTAAGCAATCATTGGAAAGATGTTCTAAATCATACCAAACATTAAACTTATTTTCAATGGTACAGTATATTTATCCAAGTAGTGATATACCAAACTTTCACAGCAGCTTATTTCCCTTCAAAACAACGTTTGTAAACTCCCTCCCCCCCCGTGTTGTTACTCTATCAGCACTTTATGCTAATTCCTTTGTCAAAGCGTTTGGTTTCCTCCCACACAGCTTAAAGGACGCGACCTGGCTTGACTTTCTTAATTCCTACGCTGTCTTCGTGACAGCACGGTCCATTCACCTGATGAAGGCCACTTGTGTTGTGGCCGAAACGTCGTGATTTTTGTTGTTTTATTTTTTACCTGTGTATCTCTGTGTATGCATGTGTGTGTGTATCTCTGTGTGTATCTGTGTGTGTGTATCTCTGTATGTACCTGTGTGTGTATCTCTGTATGTACCTGTGTGTGTATCTCTGTGTATGTATCTGTGTGTGTATCTCTGTGTATCTGTGTGTGTATCTCTGTATGTACATGTGTGTGTGTCTCTATGTATCTGTGTGTGTGTGTATCTCTGTGTGTATCTGTGTGTATCTGTGTGTATGTATCTATGTATGTACCTGTGTGTGTATCTGTGTGTATGTATCTCTGTGTGTGTATCTCTGTGTGTATCTGTGTGTGTATCTGTGTGTGTATGTATCTATGTATGTACCTGTGTGTGTATCTCTGTGTGTATGTATCTCTGTGTGTGTATCTCTGTGTGTATCTCTGTGTGTATCTGTGTATGTATCTATGTATGTACCTGTGTGTGTATCTGTGTGTGTATGTATCTCTGTTTGTGTATCTTTGTGTGTATCTGTGTGTATGTATGTATCTATGTATGTACCTGTGTGTGTATCTGTGTGTGTATGTATATATGTATGCACCTGTGTGTGTATCTATGTGTGTGTATGTATCTGTGTGTGTATATCTCGGTGTGTGTGCGTGTGTGTATCTCGGTGTGTGCGTGCCCACCCACCCCTGTATGCCTTTCTTGGGCGGCTTGCTCTTGAACTGCCGCGTCTGGCGCTGCTTGAACTTGGAGGGGCCCCTCCGCGGTGTGGCGGGGCCCCCGCTCACTTTGGTGGGGGCCATCAGGGCCCCCGAGGTATTGGCAGTCGCCAGGTTCATCGCGGGTCAACTTTGACCCCCACAGCTCCGCCGCCCCTCCCCCCAAAATCCCTTGACCTTTGGGATTGACCTTGCCGCTGCTGCCGCTGCTGCCGCGTGGTTCGGGTCACCGGACGGAGGAGAGTTCAGGTCACCGCTCTGTCTGCAACGTCAAAGTCCATCACTCCGTAACATCATCAAGCGGAGTCGGAGTCCTCTTAACAGTCGTCGTTAACATCATCATCGCTAACACCATCATCATCGTCGTCGTTAATATCATCATCATTGTTATCTTCATCATCATCATCATCGCTTACACCATCATTGTCGTCGTTATCACCATCATCATCGCTAACACCATTGTCGTTGTCGTCGTTAACATCATCATCGCTAACATCATCATCGCTAACACCATCATCATCGCTAACACCATCATCATCCCTAACACCATCATCATCGCTAACACCATCATCATCGTCGTCGTTAACATCATCATCGCTAACACCATCATCATCGCTAACATCATCATCATCGCTAACACCATCATCATCGCTAACACCATCATTATCGTCGTCGTTAACATCATCATCGCTAACACCATCATCATCGCTAACATCATCATCATCGCTAACATTATCGTCCCACCGGTGGTATATACTTTGGGCTCTGCTCGACCCTTTTTATTCGCCATCAGAACCAATGCCGGATTATAAGCTCGGTGCGGGGCCTGTAGCATGATGTTATAAAATAAAATAAAAAGACGTAAATATTAAAACACAAATTGTTTTACTTGCGCAGTAAAGTAATTGTATTTTTTCATTTGCTACACAGCCAGATAATACGACAAATCGATAACCTTGAACACTCATTCGTTCGTAAAAGTTGAATACCAGTATAGTACTATAGTAATAGATGCAGAATCACTGAAGCGGAATTGATATCCTGGAAGCATTTAGCGCGGGGCCCTTGAAAGTGCGGGGCCCGTAGCTACACGTGCAGTAGCTACTGCACGTGTAGTAGCTACTGCACGTGTAGTAGCTACTACTACTACACGTGTAGTAGTAAGTAGTAGCTACTACTACACGTGTAGTAGTAGTAGCTACTGCTCAGTGAGGGACAGTATAAAAGTTGGTACCCGGAGAGCTGAGAGGAGTTCGACTCAAGCAAGATAAAGAGCCAGTGAAGAAAGAAGAGCGACTAGCCAGACCCTGGGACTCCTTTGGCTCGCTGTCCTTTTGAGGGCCGGGCAAAGCAAGCCAGGCTGTGACCCCAGAGCCGAGAGGCCCGATGTCCTTCTGAGGGCCGGACTCGTGGGGCTGGTGGTCGGGACCTGCGCCGAAGCTGGGCCAGGTCAGATAGCATCCTGAGAGAGGACCAGGATAGAGGGAACCAGGGAGCTAGCGTGGGCTAGAGCTCGGGGAACGTTCCCGCTGTAGAGTACGGGTGAAGAGGCCGTTACCTCTTCAAGTATCAGATTCGCCACTGTAATTGAAGCGTCTGTAATAAATACGTGTTGCCTCCAATGAACAGTCTCCGACGTCAATAAGGCCACTACACTCGTATACACTCTACACTACACACTAGTGCTGTACTAATAACGAATTGGCACGTTCTGTTTACGTGACAACCCTTAAGAGTTGGCTGTGTCGGGTCGTGGCGGGTTTAACGATGCAACATTTATATATTTACGCGATCTAACCCAGAAAAATCCCTCTTATCTTGTGTTTTTACCCATCCCATCAGCCGCTCACAGAGCCTTCTGTGGGGAGTCCACCATCCCATCAGCTGCTCACAGAGCCTTCTGTGGGGAGTCCACCATCCCATCAGCCGCTGACAGGGCCTTCTGTGGGAGGTCCACCATCCCATCAGCCGCTCACAGGGCCTTCTGTGGGAGGTCCACCATCCCATCAGCCGCTCACAGAGCCTTCTGTGGGAGGTCCACCATCCCATCAGCCGTTCACAGAGCCTTCTGTGGAAGGTCCACCATCCCGTCAGCCGCTCACAGGGCCTCCTGTGGGGAGTCCACCATCCCGTCAGCCGCTCACAGAGCCTTCTGTGGGGAGTCCACCATCCCATTAGCCGCTCACAGGGTCTTCTGTGGGGAGTCCACCATCCCATCAGCCGCTCACAAGGCCTTCTGTGAGGAGTCCACCATCCCATCAGCTGCTCAGGGCCTTCTGTGAGGAGTCCACCATCCCATCAGCCGCTCACATGGGCCTTCTGTGGGGAGTCCACCATCCCATCAGCCGCTCACAGGGCCTCCTGTGGGGAGTCCACCATCCCATCAGCCGCTCACAGGGCCTTCTGTGGGAGGTCCACCATCCCATCAGCCGCTCACAGAGCCTTCTGTGGGGAGTCCACCATCCCATCAGCCGCTCACAGAGCCTTCTGTGGGGAGTCCACCATCCCGTCAGCCGCTCACAGGGCCTTCTGCGGGAGGTCCACCATCCCATCAGCCGCTCACAGGGCCTTCTGTGGGAGGTCCACCATCCCATCAGCCGCTCACATGGGCCTTCTGTGGGGAGTTCACCATCCCATCAGCAGCAGCAGCGTGCTCTGCGCGAAAGGGAAACTCTGCACAGGTTTTGGCACTCGGAGTCTCATCAGCAGTGAGAGTCGCGCTCGGTCGAACAGACGCCGGTGATCTGCTGCCCGGATGTAATGTTACAGGCAAACATGAAACCTCTCTCTCTCTATCTCCTCCTCGTCTTTATTTTATTGAATGTTTAAATCTTACCAGGTAAGGCTCCAATGAACAAACGTGGCTCTCTTTTTTTTCTTTCCAGAAACGACCCCTGCCTATCGCGAATGCTCGCTGTACAAAGTGGCTTCTTGTTATCATCATCACCACCACCACGTGCAAATGTTGCAGCAGTCGCTAGATACTCTAAACGCGTGCTCGTTGATTCTAAATGCGGAGTGGGGGGGGAAAACCCCGGAGAACAATCAACGCGATCGTGGGGAGAGAGAGAGAGGGAGAGACACGCAGACTCCAAATATACAGCAGCAGCAGGCGTCGGGGTCGAACCCACGACCTCCTGTGTACCAGGCGAGGTAGTTAACATCTCACCACAGAGAGAGACACGCAGACTTCAAATATACAGCAGTAGCAGCAGGCGTCGGGGTCGAACCCACGACCTCCTGTGTACCAGGCGAGGTTGTTAACATCTCACCACAGAGAGAGACACGCAGACTTCAAATATACAGCAGTAGCAGCAGGCGTCGGGGTCGAACCCACGACCTCCTGTGTACCAGGCGAGGTAGTTAACATCTCACCACAGAGAGAGACACGCAGACTCCAAATATACAGCAGCAGCTGCAGGCGTCGGGGTCGAACCCACGACCTCCTGTGTACCAGGCGAGGTAGTTAACATCTCATAGCCACCAGCAGCACCACGGGGACGTCGCTCGCAAACACAAATCACCGCACGACAGCAGCAGCAGCAGCATCACGCGGAGACCGTCTGGACTGCGCGGGGAACGCGGAGGTGTTTATTGGCGATGGTGGTGGTGATAGTGATGGTGGTGATGGTGGCAGTGATGGTGATCGTGGTGATGGCGATGGAGTTAACATCTCTCCCACGGTGGCGCCCCAGGATGCGTCCCGGTTCCACGCGGAATGACAACAACACACGCAGACGTGGTGGTGTCTCCGCACAGATAGATTCGAGAATCCCTTGCTGTGCCACCATCCAATGGCCACAACTTTCATGATCATCGTTATCATTATCATCACACACCGGCGATTATTGCTTTTGCTTTGACTGCTAAAGAGTTAGGTACCTGTCTGGGCTGATGCTGCTGCTGCTGATGACGCTGCTGATGGTGCTGCTGCTGATAGTGCTGATGCTGCTGCTGATGACGCTGCTGATGGTGCTGTGGCAGATGGTGCTGATGCTGCTGCTGCTGCTGCTGCTGATGACGCTGCTGATGGTGCTGTTGCTGATAGTGCTGATGCTGCTGATGATGACGCTGCTGATGGTGCTGTTGCTGATGGTGCTGATGCTGCTGCTGATGGTGATGCTGCCACTGCTGCTGATGATGGTGCTACTGCTGATGATGATGCTGCTGGTGATGCTGCCGCTGCTGCTGATGATGGTGCTACTGCTGATGATGATGCTGCTGGTGATGCTGCCACTGCTACTAATGATGGTGCTACTGCTGATGATGCTGCTGGTGATGATGCCGCTGCTGATGATGATGATGTTACTGCTGCTGATGATGATGCTGATGCTGCTGCTGCTGGTGATGATGCCGCTGCTGCTGATGATGCTGATGCTGGTGTCAGGTTGGGTCGGTCGGTGTGAGCATCTGGCAGGATTAGAGTTGGGATGGATTTTCAACACGGATTAAATATAATCTTACTCTGGTATTACCCTGCTTATTAGAGCGGCATCACTATCACTACACCATCACTATCACTACATAATCACTATCACTACATCATCACTATCACTACACCATCACTATCACTACACCATTACTATCACTACACCATCACTATCACTACATCATCACTACACCATCACTATCACTACACCATCACCATCACTACACCATCACTACATAATCACGATCACTACACCATCACTATCACTACACCATCACCATCACTACACCATCACCATCACTACACCATCACTATCACTACACCATCACCATCACTACATCATCACTATCACTACATCATCACCATCACTACACCATCACTATCACTACACCATCACTATCACTACACCATCACCATCACTACACCATCACTATCACTACACCATCACTATCACGACACCATCACTATCACTACACCATCACTATCACTACACCATCACTACACCATCACCATCACTACATAATCACTATCACTACACCATCACTACACCATCACCATCACTACACCATCACCATCACTACACCATCACTACACCATCACCATCACTACACCATCACTACACCATCACTATCACTACACTATCACTACATCATCACTATCACTACATCATCACCATCACTACACCATCACTATCACTACATCATCACCATCACAACACCATCACTATCACTACACCATCACCATCACTACACCATCACCATCACTACATCATCACTACATCATCACCATCACTACACCATCACTATCACTACACCATCACCATCACTACATCATCACTATCAGGGTCCCCCGCCATCCCCCAGGTCCCCTTCACCAGGGCCCCCTCTCACCCCAGGTCCCCCCAGGTCCCCTTCACCAGGGCTCCCTCCTCTCCCCCCAGGTCCCCTTCACCAGGGCCCCCTCTCCCCCCAGGTCCCCTTCACCAGGGCTCCCTCCTCTCCTCCCAGGTCCCCTTCACCAGGGCCCCCTCTCACCCCAGGTCCCCTTCACCAGGGCCCCCTCTCACCCCAGGTCCCCCCAGGTCCCCTTCACCAGGGCTCCCTCCTCTCCCCTCAGGTCCCCTTCACCAGGGCCCCCTCTCCCCGCAGGTCCCCGTCACTCCGAGGCGACAATGGCCGGAAAGGAGACGCCGCCCATTGCCCATCCTGTGTCCCCGTGTCCCCCACGTGCGGCACCGCGACTCGCGGAGACCCCCATTGTCTCCACGTGTCCCCATCGTGTCCCTGTGTCCACGTGTCCCCATCGTGTCCCTGTGTCCACGTGTTCCCATCTCCCCATCGTGTCCCTGTGTCCCCGTCTCCACGTCTCATTATCTCTGTGTCTCCACAGTCTCCGTGTCTCCCTGTGTCCACGTCTCCACGTCTCCCCATCTCCCTATCTCCACAGTCTCCACGTGATCTCGTGTCCCCGTCTACACGTGATCCTGTCTCTCCGTGTCCCCGTGTCCCACGTGCCTCTGTCTCTCCGTGTCCCCGTGTCCACGTGCCCCTGTCTCTCCGTGTCCCCGTGTCCACGTGCCCCCGTCTCTCCGTGTCCCCGTGTCCACGTGCCCCTGTCTCTCCGTGTCCCCGTGTCCGCGTACCCCTGTCTCTCCGTGTCCCCGTGTCCACGTGCCCCTGTCTCTCCGTGTCCCTGTCTGCTCGTGTCCCCACGTGTTTGAGGATTGGTGGTTGGAGTCTCGGTTGGGATTAGGGGTACGGACTAGGGCAGGGGTTGGAGTTGGGGTTAGACGAGGGATAAGGCTCGGGTTAAGGCGGGGTTGGGGTTCGGGATATGGTTGAGGTTGGGGTGAGGGATGGTGTTAGGATTGGCGTTAGGGATGAGGGTGGAATCAGGGTTGCGGAGTTCGTGTCGTGCCCAGGGGGTTAGGGTCCATGGCACGTGCGGACAGGATTGACTGGTGGACTCGGGGTTCGGGTTGGAGCGGGGGCGCGTGGTTGTTTGAGTCTGGGGAATCAGTGAAACCACACTCCTGTATCTGAGAGCAAACACACACCACTCACCACTCACAAAGATCCCCCGTGTAGCCTTAACAGATTGTAGGGGCAAGTGCTGTTAGCGAGCACCTATGAAGGTCGGCACGGCACACGAGGGGATGGATGGCCAGCACCACGCCCAGCCGCCTTTGTATCCCCAGTGGCGGTGTTCACACACCGCACCAGGTACTAATTTCAGGCTGAGTCGACCTAGGGGAGGTCCAGGACCGGTTCAGATAATCGTCACTGGGTGTTGGCCGTGAGCGGGAATCGAACCCGGGTCGCCAGGTTCATAGCGCAACGCGCTAACCGCTACACTACCGCTCCCCACAGACACACAGACACACAAACACAGACACACCTCCTAACACACAGACACACACACACACACGTACAGACACACAGACACCCAGACACACAGACATACCTCCTAACACACAGACACACACACGTACAGACACACATACACGAACAGACACACAAACACAGATACACCTTCTAACACACAAACACACAGACACACGGACACTCAGACACACAGAGACCTCTCCTAACACAGACACACGGACACACAGACACACCTCCTAACACACAGACACACAGACACACGGACACCCCTACTAACACACAGACACACAGACACCCCTACTAACACACAGACACACAGACACCCCTACTAACACACAGCCCACACACGGGCTCGCTATCTCACTCCGCGTGGGGCGGTGAGGGTTTACTGCCGATAAGAGGCTGATGAGGGGTGGTCTGGCGATGGGGGTGATGGGGGCTGGTACAGGGTGATGGGGTGGTGATGGGGGCTGGTACAGGCTGATGAGAGGGGTGATGGGGGCTAGTATAGGGTGATGGGGTGGTGATGGGGGCTAGTACAGGGTGATGAGAGGGGTGATGGGGGCTAGTATAGGGTGATGAGAGGGTGATGGGGGCTAGTATAGGGTGATGGGGTGGTGATGGGGGCTAGTACAGGGTGATGAGAGGGGTGATGGGGGCTAGTATAGGGTGATGGGTGGGGTGATGGGGGCTGGTACAGGCTGATGAGAGGGGTGATGGGGGTAGTACAGGGTGATGGGAAGGGTGATGGGGACTAGTATAGGGTGATGGGAGGGGTGATGGGGCTAATACAGGGTGATGAGAGGGGTGATGGGGCTAGTACAGGGTGATGAGAGGGGTGATGGGGGCTAGTACAGGGTGATGGGAAGGGTGATGGGGACTAGTATAGGGTGATGAGAGGGGTGATGGGGCTAGTATAGGGTGATGGGAGGGGTGATGGGGCTAATACAGGGTGATGAGAGGGGTGATGGGGCTAGTACAGGGTGATGAGAGGGGTGATGGGGGCTAGTACAGGGTGATGGGAAGGGTGATGGGGACTCGTATAGGGTGATGGGAGAGGTGATGGAGCTAGTATAGGGTGATGGGAGGGGTGATGGGGCTAGTACAGGGTGATGAGAGGGGTGATGGGGCTAGTACAGGGTGATGAGAGGGTGATGGGGGCTAGTATAGGGTGATGGGAAGGGTGATGGGGACTAGTACAGGGTGATGGGAGGGGTGATGGGGGCTAGTACAGGGTGATCGTGGTGGTGATGGAGGGGTGATGGGAGGGGTGATGGAGCTAGTATAGGGTGATGGGAGGGGTGATGGAGCTAGTACAGGGTGATGGGGGGGGGTGATGGGGGCTAGTACAGGGTGATGAGAGGGGTGATGGAGCTAGTACAGGGTAATGGGGGGTTATGGGGGCTAGTATAGGGTGATGGGAGGGGTGATGGGGGGGGTGATGGAAGGGGGTGATGGAGGGGGTGATGGAGGGGGGTGATGGGGGGGGGTGATGGGGGGCTAGTATAGGGTGATGGGAGGGGTGATGGAGGGGGGTGATGGAGGGGGGTGATGGAGGGGGGTGATGGAGGGGAGTGATGGAGGGGGGTGATGGGAGTTCCCTAATCAATGAGACGGCCTGGTGACGTCACGCCGGTCCCTCTCTCTCCCCCCGCGGAGCCTCCAAACGGAGAGAGCGGCGGTAGCGGCAGCGCGGAGCGGAGAGAGAGCGCAGACGAGGAGGCGGAGAAGATGATGGTGCGTGTGGGAGACGAGGTGGGGGTGATGGTGGGAGACGAGGTGGGGGGGGTGATGGGAGACGAGGTGGGGGGGGGGGGTGATGGGAGACGAGGTGGGGGAGTGTTGGTGGAAAACGAGCTGGGGGTGATGATGGGAGACGAGGTGGGGTGGGGGGGGGGTGATGGGAGACGAGGTGGGGGAGTGATGGTGGGAGACGAGGTGGGGGGGGGGTGATGGGGTGATGGTGGGAGACGAGGTGGGGGTGATGGTGGGAGACGGAGGAGAGAGTGGGAGAGGAATGAGAGTGTGGAGAGAGAGAGAGGGAATGAGACGCGAGGCGACGCAGAGATGATGGTGGGCAGGGAGACAGCGGGAGACGGGGGGGAGGAGATGGTGATGAGAGAGGGAGAGTCGTGGTACATGGGGTGGGGTGTGGTGGGAGATGAGAGAGAGAGTGGGGGGGGTGATGGTGGCAAGTGACCGGGAGATGCGTTGATGGACGCGGCTAAGGAGGGAATTCGAGAAGACGCGAGCCAGGGATGGGAGATGAGAGGGAGTGGGAGGAAGGACAGGGAGACACGGGGGGACAGGGAGACACGGGAGGGGGGTGGGGGGGACAGCGTGACATGGGGGGGGGGTGGGAGTCGGGGGACAGGGAGACAGTGGGACAGAGACACGGAGACGGGAGGACACGGATAAGACGACGCGCACAGGAGGCGCGTCCTCTGATCCTGACCCCCCTCCCCCCCCCATCTGGACCCCTCTGCACCCCCCCCCCCCCGCCAGTGATGCCCCTGCTGCGGCAACTCCTCCCGGGGTCCCCCTCGCGGCGGCACGGCTCGCGTGGGGAGCTGCGTGCGGACATGATCAGCGCGCCCCTGCAGGACTTCAGGCACACGATGCACGTGGGGCGAGGCGGAGCCGCCTTTGGAGACACCGCGTTCCTGAGCGGTGGCACCACCGCCACCGCCTCCTCCTCATCCTCCTCGCCACCGACACCACCGCCGGCCTCGCGCCGCCCATCCCCGCACAACCTGCTGCTGCTGCTGCCCTGGGGCAGGGTGCGGAGGAGCAACTCCGGGCAGCAACAGCAGCAGCAGCGGCGGGAAGGTGCCGGGGAGGCGGACGGGCAGCTGGGTGAGATTCCACCGGCCGGGCAGTCGCCCATCATCAAGAACGCGCTCTCGCTGCCCGCGCTCACGGGGCCCAGGTTCACTCTGGCCAACTCGGGGTCTCGTAGCGCCACGGCGACCCCGGTGCGCGTGACCCCGACGGTTTCCGGGACCCCTGCTGGGCAGGCGAGGGGACCCCCCAGAGAAGAGGAGGAGGATGGAGATGAGGAGGAGGAGGGACCCGGCGGCCTGGGATCTTCCTCCCGCCGGCGCGCCGCCTTTCCGCACACGGACTCCGTGCTCTCGTTCCACGTGGACCTGGGACCCTCCATGCTGGGCGATGTTCTCGGCGTGATGGATGTGGTGGATGAGGCCCAGGGCGGAGCGGGCCCCGCCGGCGTGGTTGGCCCAGCGCGGAGCTCCGAGCTGGAGCCGCCGCCGCCACCGCAGGGTGCGGAAGGTCGGGCGGATGGCGATGGTGATGTTGATGATGGGGATGTTGATGATGGTGATGCGGATGATGGGGATGTTGATGATGGTGATGCTGATGATGGGGATGTTGATGGGGTGTTAGACGGGGCAGAGACTCGCGGGGCAGGGGAAAGGGCAGGGCCCAGGGGAGGGCGGTCGAGGCTCGGGGGCAGTCACGGAGGAGGGCATGAAAGGACAGACGCAGAACGAAGGTCAGACGCTGCTCCAGGGGGATCCGTGAATGTGGGGGCAGTGGTAGGGGCAGGGCAGGAGACATTGCAAGGGGCAGCGGAGGAGGCTCATAAAGAGAACGGACAGCGGGCAGCAGAAAGGGCGGGGGATGGGTCGAGCGAGGGGGCAGTGGTAGGGGCAGGCCAGGATGTGAGAGATGGGGCAAGGCAAGAGAAGACATTGGAAGGGGCAGAGCAAGGGACGAGGGATGGGGCGAGGCTAGGGGCGGTGGGAAGTGAAGGGCAGGAGACCTCGCAAGGGGCAGTGCAAGAGAGTGGGCAGGGGCCAGGGCAGGGATAGGACCCGGCTGCGGACGTCGCGAACGTGTAAACACCGCTGTCGCGACCCGTGTCGCGACCCGGAGAGGAAGAGGAGGTGAGGGGAGGAGGTGGGGGGAGGAGGTGGGAGGAGGTAGGGGGAGGGGAGGAGGCGGGGGGGGAGGTGGGGGGAGGGAGGAGGTGGGAGGAGGTGGAGTAGGGGAGGAGGTGGGGAGGAGGCGGGGGGGGGGGGGAGGGTGGGGGGAGGGGGGAGGTGGGGGGGAGGGGAGGAGGCGGGGGGGGTGCTGCGATTAGGAATGCGATGGAGGTTATCTCTCGGCGTGAGACCGGCAAATAGACCCCCCCACGTGCTGTCTCGGCGTGTCTCCGTGTGTACGTGTCTGTGTGTGTGTATATCTGTGTGTGAACACGTGTGTGTGGACGTGTCTGTGTGTGTGTATATCTGTGTGTGAACACGTATGTGTGCACGTGTCTGTGTATATCTGTGTGTGAACACGTGTGTGTGTGTACGTGTCTGTGTGTGTCTACGTGTCTGTGTGTGTGTATCTGTGTGTGAACACGTGTGTGTGTGTACGTGTCTGTGTGTGTATATCTGTGTGTGAACACGTGTGTGTGCACGTGTCTGTGTATATCTGTGTGTGAACACGTGTGTGTGTACGTGTCTGTGTGTGTGTACGTGTCTGTGTGTGTGTGTATCTGTGTGTGAACACGTGTGTGTACGTGTCTGTGTGTGTATATCTGTGTGTGAACACGTGTGTGTGCACGTGTGTGTGCATATCTGTGTGTGAACACTTGTGTGTGTGTGCACGTATCTGTGTGTGTGTACGTGTCTGTGTGTGTGTATCTGTGTGTGAACACGTGTGTGTGTACGTGTCTGTGTGTCTATCTGTGTGTGAACACGTGTGTGTGTACGTGTCTATGTGTGTGTATATCTGTGTGTGAACACGTGTGTGTGTGTACGTGTCTGTGTGTGTGTACGTGTCTGTGTGTGTGTATATGTGTGTGAACACGTGTGTGTGTGTACGTGTCTTTGTGTGTGTGTATATATCTGTGTGTGAACACGTGTGTGTGTACGTGTCTGTGTGTGTGTACGTGTCTGTGTGTGTGTATCTGTGTGTGAACACGTGTGTGTGTACGTGTCTGTGTGTGTGTATATCTGTGTGTGAACACGTGTGTGTGCACGTGTGTGTGCATATCTGTGTGTGAACACTTGTGTGTGTGTGCACGTGTCTGTGTGTGTGTGTATACAGTGAGGGAAAAAGTATTTGATCCCCTGCTGACTCTGTACGTTTGCCCACTGACGAAGAAATTATCAGTCTATAATTATAATGGTAGGTTTATTTGAAGAGTGAGAGACAGAATAACAACAACAAAATCCAGAAAAACGCATGTCAAAAATGGTATAAATTGATTTGCATTTTAATGAGGGAAATAAGTATTTGACCCCCTCTCAATAAGAATGATTTCTGGCTCCCAGGTGTCTTTTATACAGGTAACGAGCTGAGATTAGGAGCACACTCTTAAAGGGAGTGCTCCTAATCTCAGCTTGTTACCTGTATAAAAGGCACCTGTCCCCAGAAGCAATCAATCAATCAGATTCCAAACTCTCCACCATGGCCAAGACCAAAGAGCTCTCCAAGGATGTCAGGGACAAGATTGTGGACCTACACAAGGCTGGAATGGGCTACAAGACCATTGCCAAGCAGCTTGGTGGGAAGGTGACAACAGTTGGTGCGATTATTCGCAAATGGAAGAAACACAAAAGAACTGTCAATCTCCCTCGGCCTGGGGTTCCATGCCAGATCTCACCTCGTGGAGTTGCAATGATCATGAGAACCGTGAGGAATCAGCCCAGAACTACACGGGAGGATCTTGTCAATGATCTCAAGGCAGTTGGGACCATAATCACCAAGAAAACAATTGGTAACACACTACGCCGTGAAGGACTGAAATCCTGCAGCGCCCGCAAGGTCCCCCTGCTCAAGACAGCACATATACATGCCCGTCTGAAGTTTGTCAATGAACATCTGAATGATTCAGAGGACAACTGGGTGAAAGTGTTGTGGTCAAATGAGACCAAAATGGAGCTCTTTGGCATCAACTCAACTCGCCGTGTTTGGAGGAGGAGGAATGCTGCCTATGACCCCAAGAACACCATCCCCACCGTCAAACATGGAGGTGGAAACATTATGCTTTGGGGGTGTTTTTTTTTGCTAAGGGGACAGGACAACTTCACCGCATCAAATGGACGATGGACGGGGCCATGTACCATCAAATTTTGGGTGAGAACCTCCTTCCCTCAGCCAGGGCATTGAAAATGGGTCGTGGATGGGTATTCCAGCATGACAATGACCCAAAACACACGGCCAAGGCAACAAAGGAGTGGCTCAAGAAGAAGCACATTAAGGTCCTGGAGTGGCCTAGCCAGTATCCAGACCTTAATCCCATAGAAAATCTGTGGAGGGAGCTGAAGGTTCGAGTTGCCAAACGTCAGCCTCGAAACCTTAATGACTTGGAGAAGATCTGCAAAGAGGAGTGGGACAAAATCCCTCCTGAGATGTGTGCAAACCTGGTGGCCAACTACAAGAAACGTCTGACCTCTGTAATTGCCAACAATGGTTTTGCCACCAAGTACTATGTCATGTATTGCAGGAGGGGTCATAAAAAAACATGCGTTTTTCTGGATTTTTTTTTGTTATCCTCTCTCTCTCACTGTTCAAATAAACCTACCATTAAAATTATAGACTGATCATTTCTTTGTCAGTGGGCAAACGTACAAAATCAGCAGGGGATCAAATACTTTTTTCCCTCACTGTATCTGCGTGTGAACACGTGTGTGTGTGTGCACGTGTCTGTGTGTGTGTATATATATCTGCGTGTAAAGACGTGTGTGTGTGCACGTGTCTGTGTGTGTGTATCTGTGTGTGAACACGTGTCTGTGTGTGTATATCTGTGTGTGAACACGTGTATGTGTACACGTGTCTGTGTGTATATCTGCGTGTGAACACGTGCCTGTGTGTGTATATCTGTGTGTGAACACGTGTCTGTGTGTATATCTGCGTGTGAACACGTGTGTGTGCGTGCACGTGTCTGTGTGTGTATATCTGTGTGTGAACACGTGTGTGTGAAAACGTGTCTATATGTGTGTATATGTGTGTGCGGTGGTGTAACTCAGCCATAAATGAGTACAGGGACTCCTCGATTTACTAACAAGTTGGGTTCCAGAGGTCTGTGCGTAAGTCGATGTGTTCGTAAGTCCAACTTTATACCTGTAGAATCCAAACGTGTTATACGGCTTTAAAAGTTGTACAATCTCCTGTTGCCACTGGTTCTTCACGTTCTGTAGATGTAGATGCCACTGGTTCTTCACGTTCTGTAGATGTAGATGCCGCTGGTTCTTCACGTTCTGTAGATGTAGATGCCACTGGTTCTTCACGTTCTGCAGATGTAGATGCCACTGGTTCTTCACGTTTTGCAGATGTAGATGCCGCTGGTTCTTCACGTTCTGCAGATGTAGATGCCACTGGTTATTCACGTTCTGTAGATGTAGATGCCACTGGTTCTTCGCGTTCTGCAGATGTAGATGCCACTGGTTCTTCACATTCTACAGATGTAGATGCCACTGGTTCTTCATGTTCTGCAGATGTAGATGCCATTGGTTCTTCATGTTCTGCAGATGTAGATGCCACTGGTTCTTCACGTTCTGTAGATGTAGATGCCGCTGGTTCTTCACGTTCTGCAGATGTAGATGCCACTGGTTCTTCACGTTCTGCAGATGTAGATGCCACTGGTTCTTCATGTTCTGCAGATGTAGATGCCACTGGTTCTTCACGTTCTGTAGATGTAGATGCCGCTGGTTCTTCACGTTTTGCAGATGTAGATGCCACTGGTTCTTCACATTCTGTAGATGTAGATGCCACTGGTTCTTCATGTTCTGCAGATGTAGATGCCACTGGTTCTTCACGTTCTGCAGATGTAGATGCCACTGGTTCTTCATGTGGCATCTACATGACGTACGGGACAGCCTTGTTCGTATCTCTGAAAGTTCGTAAGTCGAATGTTCATAATCAGAGGAATCCCTGGACCTCGTGGCGGTGTGTGAACGTCAGCACCCATGGAGAGACAAAGACGGCCGCGCGTGGTGGCTCGCCACGCCACACCCCCCGCTCGTGAGTGTGCCGTGTCCCGCGACCTTTCACAGGGGCACGGTGACCCACGGATTCACGGCCTCCAAACAGCCTTGCGTGGGATACACGCAGTGGGGTCTTTGTCTTTGTTATAGTCACATCTCAGCGTCGTGAGAAATGGCGATAGCCTTCATCCAGCAGTGGAATGATCATGCCTACTGAGGATGATGATGATTTTTGTAAAGTTACTTTTGTTTTTTGTATCGATGCCGTCCGTGTTGGTGCCGTGTTGGTCGTGCAACGTGAACACTGCCGTGAATCTCAGAGGACCCCCTCGCCCATAGCTACCCCCTCACCCATGGCAACCCCCTCACCCATGGCAACCCCCTCACCCATGGCAACCCCCTCACCCATGGCAACCTCCTCACCCATGGCAACCCCCTCACCCATGGCAACCCCCTCGCCCATGGCAACCTCCTCACCCATGGCAACCCCCTCGCCCATGGCAACCCCCTCACCCATGGCAACCCCCTCACCCATGGCAACCCCCTCACCCATGGCAACCCCCTCACCCATGGCAACCCCCTCGCCCATGGCAACCCCCTCACCCATGGCAACCCCCTCACCCATAGCAACCTCCTCACCCATGGCAACCTCCTCACCCGTGGCAACCCCCTCGCCCATCGCTACCCCCTCACCCATGGCAACCTCCTCACCCATGGCAACCCCCTCACCTATGGCAACCCCCTCAGCTGTTTTAAATAAAGGTCTCCAACTTTCGCTCTCTCTCACAGACTCAATTCCTCAACCCTTAAGCTCAGGTGGAGTATATTACATCCATCCTTTGGCTGCCACTGCTGCATTATTCTTGGGAGCCGCGGTGGCTATGAGATGTTAACTACCTCGCCTGGTATACAGGAGGTCGTGGGTTTAATCCCGACCCTGACGTCTACTGCTGCTGCTGTATATCTGGA